TAGAATCTGGATTCAATGAAAATGTTGCTCATCATTTGTATATTAATGACAGTGCATCTCAGTGTCTTGTGATGATTTCACATTTATATTGAAAAGGAGCACTGACAAAACAGAATCCAGAAGGACTCTGCTTATGAAAGCATTTGGAGAGTGAGAGTAGTTACCCAGCACCACCTTCTGGGATCCCTTAAAAAGAAAACAGCAAGCTCATTGTAAGATCATACAGTACATTCCTGCAAGCAAATCAGCAATACCTCATGGTCAGCAGTACTAATGCACTGTAAAGTTCAAAACTAACCTTTTTCAAAATGTAATAATAAATACTACTAATAACTAATCTCCAGCTTGAATGTCCTTTAGCAACTGTATCACTCACAGGTGGTTGTAGAAATGACAGTGTGTTTCTGCTAGAATACTTATTTTGCACTTTGGCCCAAATCCTCAAAGGTAGTAATGGAAGTTAGGGGCCTAAATACCACTGAGGATCTGGGCCTTTCTGTCTCAAACAAATCAGATCCCAAAAGTCTCTGTCACACAGAGTGGCACCAAAGCTGAATGGAGACCAACTTCTGTCTTAATTTTGAATCTCCTTGCTTGTCTCAGTTTGTGTTGTGCTACTACCAGGTAGTTTAACCGCCTAATTTGCCCTAACTCATAAATTTTATAATCTGGTGAAAGGTTTGTCTGGGTTAGTTTGTTTACTTATATAAATCCAACTGCTGAGTTAAAAACGTAGCCACACTATATGTAGGACACACCAAACCTGTCTCTACAGCAGCAGCAGTTGCCTAGTAATCATTATTAGCAGCCCTGTACAGATTCTTGATATCACTGGAGGAAAAATATTAATTCCTTGTCAAATGGAAAAAGACTAAGGGCCCCCAATTCTGGAAACCACTTAAGCACTCCAGTCTCCTCTCTGTCTCATAATCAAAAAGGAAATAATCCTGAGAGTAGAAATGAGCTGACATGATTGAATGCAAAACACCCATGACAAATACATGAGTGCATAGTTTTTATGTGTTAAATGTCTCAAACAGTTTATTTTTAAATGTATCAAAACCATCATTTATTAGAATAAACTTGTACCAAATTTAATCAAAGCCTTTCACTTCCTGTACATGTTGAGAAATTAATTAATTAAATACAACCCAGGGTTGTTTTTTTTTTTTCAACACATGGAAACTTAAAAACTGCCAAATAATAAATAAATAAATCACACCCTCAACAAGACATTCCTGTTCAGTTTTTAGTGTAGGGTGAGTTTTGTTTATAAGCTTGCTGGTAAACTCACTGTTAGAGTGAAATGTGCAGTGTACTATGTGAATTTTGAATATTATTTTGATACTGTGAATCTTAAAATTTTGTAAAATCACCCAGAGCATGTAATGGACACTCGCTGATGTTTTTATAAACCAAATCAAAATAAAATTATTTTATTTATTTAATTATTAGGGAAACCCAATCATGTTAACAGCAACATTATGAACATCTTTTGCAACATTAACTTCTCATTAGCCTATCCAAACTCCTCTAATAAATAGGAGTGCTCCCAGCAATAACATTGCACTGAACACAAATACATTCACAGAAAAGCAGGAAACAGCTTAACAATCAAGTCTCATGACCAACTACATAGGGAAGAACTACAGTGGTGTTTTCCCAGGATGTTAAAAAAATTTCCATGTGGTTTTTATGACAATACTGACTGCAAAGAAGATGATGAGTCTGTGATGTTATTACTAGAACATCTTCTCTGTGTACTGTAGCAACTTGTCCTGAACCTAGATACTTTATCTGCGCTGTGGAATTTATTCTCCCTTGTGTCTCAATATTTATTTTAGTTTTAAAGTGAACTTTTAGTTCTTGTGAAGGGTGCCAGATTGAGAGCACGAGTAATGTTAGTCTTTGGTTTATCCAAAGAACATGTAGAGTATAGCACAGACAGTGGCAGCTCTAGATTTTCCTTCTTGGCAATACACCTTGACCCTGGAGGAATGGCATTTTGGAGGAAGTAAGACCACCTCCAGAGCCAAAGAAGTATTTAATTCTTCATTCCATCTCTGGCATCTCTGCTGAGGCTGTCTGTGAAGGTGTCTGTCAATGCTACTTGTGACCAGGGGTCAGCAATGCGTCCGTACACGGATACAAGCGTCCATGATAACATTTTTGAGGTCTGTGGTAATTTTTCAAAAAATGGAATGACTGAATAACATAATCCAACCCCTCCAACATCCGTCGCTAAGTACGGTAATTTTGTCAAGTGTCCATCGCACCAAATGGTGGTGCCGAACCCTGATTGTGACATAGATGCCTGTTTACTATAAAATGGATAGAGATCTCCAACCAGAACATCAAAGAACTGTTTAATGTTAACTAAAGCTAATGGCTTTTAATAAACAGCAATCATCTGATGAAACATCTGATGAAGTGAGCTGTAGCTCACGAAAGCTCATGCTCAAATAAATTGGTTAGTCTCTAAGGTGCCACAAGTACTCCTTTTCTTTTTGCGAATACAGACTAACACGGCTGTTCCTCTGAAACCAGCAATCATAGACAAATTCAGACAGATGTCCTAGAGGTTATATGTTCCTTATTTTACATATGGTCTATTGCATATTAGGGGGATGCACTAGCCCTATCGCCTGCTCCTATGCTTACTGGAGGGGATACTTATGAAAATGTAGGCCATATGAGATGAGTGTTCAAAGGGTCAGCTCTGTGAGGAGCATAGGGGCTGTATCTTCTGGCCAAAAGACATGTGACCAGCTTTTACTGTATTTACTTTGAGTGTACAGATAACTATTACAAAAAGAAGGGATAGCAATTTTATTAGAAGCCAAAGTATGAAACAGTTCTGAAATGTCTGAGGGAACTTTGCTAGAACAAGATAGTTAGAGCCCTGTTGTCCTCTGCATGCAGCAGATATAAAATTCATATTATAATTGTTGTTAGGCATAAAATAAATGGGAGAACACAGCCCTTAGTTGTATTTAATTTAAATTATAGGTATAAGGTAGCTGAGAAAGAGATCATTATAAAATTGCAATAGGTATATATCTATAATAGCGAGTTAAGATTATGTTCATACAGTAATCCCTGTTTAAAAGATGACAGGTTTCAGAGTAACAGCCATGTTAGTCTGTATTCGCAAAAAGAAAAGGAGTACTTGTGGCACCTTAGAGACTAACCAATTTATTTGAGCTTAAGCTTGGGGCTCAATCCTACAAAGCACTTAGGACCACAGTTTTATAGGTATTTAGATGCCAAAAGATGCAGATAGGTACCTAGCAGGACTTTCAAAAATGCCTAAGCACAATCAATTATTTGGCTAGTGGGATTTTCAAAGGACCTATGTGCATCTTTAGGCACATAAACATCTTAAAACATGGCCCTTGGTCACCTGCATAATTTAAAGTAATTGGGACTATACTCAAGTACTTAAACACATTTCTTAGGTCTTTGCTGGATGGAGTAGTCAGCCCCTTCCAGGATCAAAGCTATGAACAACTTCGGAGGAGTGCATATACCTCAGACATATACACGTTAAAATGGAGGTTGAATCTCATAATTTGCCTTTAACCAGACTACAGGCTGAGTAAACATTAACATGGATGACAGAGGAGCAGTGAGGATGTTTACATTCAATCACTGCCAAGTTGGTGCTGGAATGTTTTCCCCTGGGCCTAGCAGACTCATACCAGGAAAAGGGAGTGAGATTCTAGGTTAATTCAAGTCAGGCTGAACACTAGTGCATATTTCACCTTTTGGAAAATGCCTGCAAATGGGCCAATTTCTGCTCTCCTTGCTCACACAAATAGTTCTTATGGCTACAATGGAACTATTTGTGGGAATAAGGCAAGAAGGTTTGGCACCTAATAATTGTTTGTTTGAGTAGCTGCTACTTATAGCCAGCACGTGTACATTTAGTGGCTATATACAATGATTTGTTTGTGCAATTAATAAAGTCTTTTGGAAGCTATTTGGATTAAAGTTGCCATCATGCTGGCCAATATTGCCTCAAAGTTGCCTTGTACTCACTCATCTATCTGTTGTCTCTTGTCTTAGATTGTTAGCCCTTTGGAGCAGATAACCATCTTTTTGTTCTGTTTGTACAGTGCCTAGCACAATAGGGTCTTGGTCCATGACTAGGGCTTCTAACCACAACAGAGATATAAAAATAACTAAAGATTTGCAAGATTATGATTGTTGTAAGTGGTGTATGGTTTAGCGGTCTGAGCACAGGCTGTGGTACCAGGAGTGACTGAGAATTCCAATCCTAGCGCTGATGCTTAGGGCCTGATGTTGCAAACCCATCCTCATGCAAATATCCCCGTGAAGACAATGGTTTACCCCATGTAAAATTAGGATAGCACTTCTTTCACCGGGGTGTTGTGAAGCTAACTAACCTGATATTTGCAAACTATTGTCAAGATTAAAAGCAAAATGTGGGCTTGTGTAGGAGTGAACTGACTCCATGCAAGAAATATTTGGGACTTTTATTGTAAATGTCAAACGTGCAGGTATGTGCTAAGATACTAATCACACAATGCCAGAGCAATTAATTATTTCCCTACTTATCTAACGTTAAAATTAAAAAAAGTATTATGAAAATGCAGCCACCAAACTTGGGGGGGGAAATATTTAACCTGCTCTCAGTAAACAGTCACCTGTGTTCAAGTTTGATGTGACTGGAAGGCAGGGAGTAATGTACTATATAAATGCTAAGAATCATTAAATTATTATGTCCATAAATTATTGTTACTTTGGTATTATTTTATTTATCTTGTCTATTATAAATAGTCACTTTTGAGTAAGGAAAATGCAAGCTCCCAAATGGTTAATGTGTTAGCCTGTTCCGCTCTTGGCCCCTTGACATCATTCTGGACCAGAAATGAAAGATGAGATGAAATGCCATTCACACAGAGATCCAGCCCCAGTGGAGGCTGGCCAAAGCCAGTTGCTCAGCCTGGGCTGGCTATTTTTGCAGTGAAGTGCACAGTGAGCCAAGCTGGGAGGGAAGATCACAGTCCCAGAGCCAATAAAACACTCATTGAGCCAGAGAGACACACTGCACATAGCTGAACTCTGCAAAGAGCCTGTGAGTGAGAGTGTGTGTGTGTGTGAGAGAGAGAGAGACTTGTAAGTATCACAATGAGGGAAATTGTACACATCCAGGCAGGCCAGTGTGGAAACCAAATTGGAACTAAGGTAAGAGATCTTTTCCTCTTCTAAACAGTACACTCACTTAGTATTTCCTAAGAATTGCATGTAGGGAAATGTAGTGGTTTTTGAAGATGTTGTGTTTTGTTGTACAATGGTACCACAGCTGCTTTTTAAGCCCTTCAGCAGCACAAGGCAAAGTTCTGCAAAGCAGCAAGGTGTGTCATTGCCTTAGGATGTTTTTATCTTGAGAAATTCTGGGATAATGGGTAAATTTTCCTCTGATATCTATAGCCATTTAGAGGGGGTGTTTTTCTGGCAACAAAAAGTTTGGACTCTGACTTGTCTTGGGGTCGGTGCATAAAGACTAGAGAACTGGAAAATTAGCAAAAGTTGCCTCCTTCTTGTGACCATAAAAGGCTTTTGAAAAACTACAAGCAACGGCCAAAAAATATTTTTTTTAACCGGAGTGGTGGATCAAAGAAAGAAAGGCAGCAAAAATAAAAGCAACAACCAGTAAAATAGCCCTGCAAACAGTTTGTGATGTTAACCGTTTGTTGTGTTCGGTTTTAAATCCTGGTGTAGATCTGCTGCCGGGCTTTTGTCTCTCTCCATCCCCACCCCATCTCCTCTCTGCTGGTCGGGCAAGGGGCAGGGCGTGGCTCAGAGACGCAGCTCTCAGACATGCCAAGAATCCGGCAGCTGTTAGGGCAATGCATGCCTCCAAGGGCTTCCCAATCCCTGCCAAGTGTGGGTGGGTTTGGATTATTTTGACGTTGGTGAAAGAAGGAGACACAGGGTTGGTTGTTTGTTTTGGTGAAAACAGATCTGCTAACGTCTTCCTTTAACCAAGTGTCTCTCCCTTTTTCTGTTCCTCCCTAAGTTTTGGGAAGTGATCAGTGATGAACATGGCATCAACCCAGCAGGAGGCTACGCTGGTGATTCAGCATTGCAGCTGGAGAGAATCAATGTCTACTATAATGAATCATCCTGTAAGTTTCAGAGGAACAGCCGTGTTAGTCTGTATTCCCAAAAAGAACAGGAGGACTTGTGGCACCTTAGAGACTAACCAATTTATTTGACCATAAGCTTTCGTGAGCTACAGCTCACTTGTAAGTGTGCTGCCGTCGCCGGAGGAGGTTAGGAGGGGCGAGGAGAGTGTGATTCCCTAACTGGGAGAGGAGGCATGTTAAAATGGTGAAGAAAGCAAAGGTTTACTCATAGCTTCAGCTACAAAACTTGATTAGACATGCGTGCATTGTCTTCCAATCAATCACCCATCCTAACATTTGCTGTGACTCCCTCGCTGTAGGCAGCAGGAAGGAAATGGTGCAAACAGCTCTGAATTTATTTTTTGTTTGCTAGGAGTTTTTGCTGGTGAACATACAATTAAGTCACGTAAAAGTGTCTATTGATTGACTGACACTAAGCAGTTTATAACGTGAGCTTGTCCTCCCCCCCACCCCCGTACGCTGACACTGACTACGAGTTCAGAAGCTAAGAAGGGTTGGGCCTCAGGAGGTATGGGAAGTGGTGGTGACTCACTAAGATGGCAGTGTTCCCTGGATGCTGGGAATCAGTACCCCAGCATGGTGTTAGTGGGTAATGTGCTGCTGAAGATGTTTCCTCCCTGTGGGTTGAAAAACTGATATCTGGATCACTCGTGCACATTCAAGATCCCTGGCCCTTTTTGCAAAGTGCGGCAGCGTGTTGTTCTAGTCAAATTTCAGATCGGGTAATTCTTTCTACCTAAATTCCCCCTACAGTTTCAATTGGGTAAGACATTTTTCACTTCCTGTTATTAACTGTTGTACTGTACAGTGGTGGTGTGTGCTGTTAAACAGCGGCTATTTTCCACCTCCCAGAAGTGGTTCCATTTCAGTGGTGGATGTAAGTGGTTCTTTACATTTATAAAATATCTGGGGATTATTTGAAAAAAGACCCTCTACTCATGTAATATATGATAAACTGTTTACCAAGAACATATAACCTATATTTTACCAGATAATTGCATATATGGATATCAACTGGTAAAAGAACAGTTTTTAAAATGTAATTTAGATGGATGAATATGACAAAAACCAAAGGATTTTAAGTCAGCTGCTAAACCAGAAGTGATTTTTTCCTATAATGCTTGAGAGGAAAGACACCTATAGGAATAGAAGTTGTATCAGGATACACGAGCAAGCTAAGAATGTTACATATTATGACATATAATTTGCTTATATATTAAGAAATATAATAGAAGGAATTTAGCCAAAATCAGTATACTAAGGATGTCTTTAATTTTTATTGTAGCACAGAAATATGTACCCAGAGCAGTCTTAGTGGACTTGGAGCCAGGAACCATGGACAGTGTGAGATCTGGTCCTTTTGGTCAACTGTTTCGACCTGATAATTTCATCTTTGGTATGTGGATATCATGTTTTCCTTTTAAAACATGTGCTCAATTACCAAGAAATTAACTGTCAAAATGTACTTTGGGATAGAGGGGACAGAAGAACTTACATTTTTTTTTTTATTCAAACAGCTGTGAGCAGCCGTTAGTAACAAGAAGTTTGGTAGCTGAACAGTGCAGTTCAATTATCCAAATATCAGTCGTCCAAAAATCCAAAAGAGGGTCAAACATTGCTCTATTAATTACACTGACAATTTTCTCAATTACACAAACATACTAAATGTTTCCCATGACTTTCTGATACTCTAAATTGTGCTATATTCATTGAATTTACAGGGTCCCTGTACTTCCATTAAAAGGGTAGGGAAATTCTGCAGGGGGGAAAAGGGAACTGCTCTCTCTCACAAATTCCACTATTAGTTGGAACCAGAGTTTTATATAAATTCCATGGCCATGAATTTCTTCACCGACCATGGAATTTCTTACCTTTTCAGTAGGTCAGTGTGCAGTATAGTCTAGTATATAGTATAGTATAATGGAAGACAAACTATGTGCAAAGCAGATGAGGTACAACCACATACTGGTGTAGTTGTTTTTTTCTAGTAAAATAAGAAACCAGCTCAAAACCAAACAGAACTGTCACTCTGAAAGCAAACAGGGAGATTCCATCAAGTGAGAATTTTTTCAACTTTATACTTCTGTAGCACCTTCCATCTGAGGTTCACAAAGCATTTTACAAACACTAATGAGTTAAACTTCACAATACCCCCTTTCAAGTTAGAGAGTATTATCAGACCCATTTTACAGATGAGAGAACTAGCGCATCTGTAAGTTGTGTCCAGGCAGAACTGTCACTAGAACTGCTATCTCCTGGTTCTCAGTTCTGTGCCTTAACCACAAAACCGTTCCCCAGATTATTGTTAGGTTGCAACATACAAGTTGGTGTGCTTTGTCAACATAAGGAAGCTGTCAAACACAAGCATAGGAAAGACAAATATTAGGCTGGTAGTGTAAAACTAAACAAACCCCAAGACCTTGCAAGTGAGGAGGGGAATAAGAGGCAATACACTTTCAAAGGCCTTTAAATTTTTAACTGCTTTTGTAACAGTATCCTCATTCCCTTTCTAGACATTAAACTTCCTGGAAATTATAGTAAAGGGTGTGTGTTTGTTCCTCTAAAATGCTTTTAAATTACAGTAAGCAGAGGTGGGTCTGAACCAAAACCACAGATCCAAACAACCTGAAACTTTGGAACACTTTGTTTCTGAACCCAAACTTCACAACCGCTCCCTTTTTCAATAGTGGGCCAAACCAAACCCATGAAAATGAACTCACCTACACTTCTGAAATGTCTGAATCAGAACTTTGCAGCCTGGAACCATCTCAAAACACAGCAAAATAAATTAAAAATGTATTGAACAGCCCTCCACTACATTATACTCTCTTCCTAATAAACTAACAATGAGCTAAGAGCATGTGATCAATTGGTGTCCCATGCTGGGCCTGCTGCCAGCATCAGGCACTGTCCTAGAAATCTGGTGAATGGGTGCCTTAGAACTGAAATGGAAATCTACCGTGTCAAAAGCCAATAAAGCTCCCCCCGCCCCGTCTTTTTATTTATTTATTATTTTATATCTGTTGTAGGCCCCACAAAGGATTCTGTGGTAGAGGCTGGTGATTCTGTATTTGGTGTATCTCAGACCCATGCTTATAGGGAGGGGTTTGTTCCTAAACTCAGCTTTTTACTTTTTTTAAGTCAGAACTTATAGTTGTAGCACATCAAAATGCTAGAGTAGGTTAGTTAAAGTGCATCAAATGCCTTAGATTTCTCTGTGCATGTCAGGCCTGATCCTGCATTCCTTGCACACCCAAAATTTCCACTGACTTTAATTTTCACTAAAGTCAGTGGGAGTAAAAGTTTACATTAACTATCCTATTGACCTAAAATATGAATAAGCACAAGGAAAATAATTCCTCTTTCATATGCTTGCTGGTTATAGCATTGGGCTGGAATGAGAAGACCGTTGGTAGATCTTTCTCCTCTCTCCCACTGGTTCCTAGTCCCAGTCTCCTTGTCCAGCCAGTCCTGGTCACCCCTCCTCCCCCAAGCTCCTTATCTAATCTCAGTGTCATCATCCCCCAACCAACTAGCTCCCAGTCCTCCCTGCCCCATTTTCCCTCACTGTCTCCCAGTCTCCTCACCCTCTTCCCCAGCTCCTGGTCTCCTTGCCAAACTAGTCCTAGCCTCTTTGCCCAACCAGTGTTCATCCCAGTTTAGCCACTCCCCCCAGGTCCCAGTCAGTCTCTCTCTCCCCCTCCCCCACCATGCAGTCCCAGTCTCAGCAGGCTCGTTGTTCCAATTTATTCCTTTCCCTCTCCCCAGTCCGGCTTTTGTTCCCTTTGCGTTTGAATCAGTGCCCTCCTCCAAGCTGCCAGGGTGCCAGTGGGGGTGTGAGAGTACCCTTTCAGTTCTGATGCCTGCTCCCACTGTGCCTGGGAGAGTTACAGCACAGGGCTGGAACATGCTCATTTGCTCTGTGGAGATGACACATGCACATTATGGTCAGTACTAGGAGCTGAGAGAGACTTGAGCATGTTCAGTGAGGATGGAATTTTCAGAGATTTTAGCTGCTAAAAATCAAATCTCTGAGCATATGCAAACTGATTTTTTTCAAAGGCTTATACCCTGGCCAAATGTGGGCAGAGTTTCATGAGAATAGCAAAAAGCACAATCCTGAGACAAAGGCCACCCCACAGTCAAAGCATGGGAGCACTAGAGCTGTTCAAAGAAAAGGTTGCCAGAATTTTTTTTAACATGGGCAAAACAATGTATTTTCCCCCTAGCCTCATTCTCAGAAATGGCTGTACAATGCTGGCTGAAATGTTCCAAACACAATTCAGCCTGGGGGAGACATCCACCCTGGAAAATTTCTGCCTGAACAGTTACAGTTTGGCAAAGTTGTAAGCAACTGAAATCTGGGTCTGATTGTGGGCATTGTTCCACAACCTTAATAGTAGGCTCTGTGTTTGACCAGTAGGCTCTAGCACAGAGGAGGGCAAACTACGGCCCGTGGGCTGGGGAGGCTAGTCCACAACCTCGCCCCCACTGTTCCCCTCCCCCGCTGCTGTGCGGGCAGCGGGGCTGCGAGCTCCTGCCGCTCTGAGTGGCATAATAAGGGGGCTGTCGTGGCGTGTGCGGGTAGCGGTGACAGGTAGGGTATCCTGGGGGGCAGATGGGGTGGTTAGGGGTGGGGGGGCCCGGGGGGCAGTCAGGGACAGGGAGCAGGGGGCGGTTGGACGGGGCAGAGGTTCTGGGGTGGTCAGGGATTGGGGAATGGGGGGGTTGGATAGGGCGTGGGATCCCGGGGGCCTGTCAGGGGGCAGGGATGTGGATAGGCGTTGGGGCAGTCAGGGGACAGGAAGGGTTGGATAGGGGGTGGGATCCCAGGGTGGGGCAGTTTGGGGGGGGGCTTCCAGGAGGGGGCAGTCAGGGGACAAGGAGCAGGGGTGTTTGGATGGGTCAGGGATTCTGAGGGGGACAGTCATGGGGTGGGAAGTGGGAGGGGGTGGGGCCAGGCTGTTTGGGGGGGTACAGCCTTCCCTACCTGGCCCTCCATACAGTTTCATACCCCGATGTGGCCCTCGGGCCAAAAAGTTTGCCCACCCCTGCTCTAGCACAATGGTGTTTGGTGGTAAATTATAATTTACCACAGTCTATATGAGCAAACTGATGGGCATCTACTTGAGCCTAATAAACTGCAAAGTTTTGCATCATAGTTCATAAGCTATAACAATTTATCGTATCTAAGAAAATGTGAAACTGATCATTCAGAATGTTCAAAATATAGCAAAACATCTTCTAAAGTCCCCCGATTTAATATTCTATCACAAGAGAGAGCAATTTATAGGCAAATCAACTCCAATATCAATATTTTAAGTAAAATATTAAGTAATGTTTTCTTACAACTTGAGCCTTTTTGTTTTTCCTTCTGTGGTTTAATACTTTGTCATCAGACAAATGCAGTTTAAAAATGTACAGCCTTCTGGCAGATGTTTATTTTATAGTAGGTTATGTTTGTTCCCTCTATACATCCTTTACGAGACCAGTTTTCATAGCACTGGATTTGTTTACAAGATTAAAATTACAAAAGTAAATGGAAAAAAATCCTGCATTTGTTTGCATTATTTCACTCGAAGCTAAAAAAGTCTCCTATTGGTGAGCAGGATGAGATCATATCTCTGCATTGTCACAGATTTACCAACTCAATGAGATGAAATAGGTGCTCCTAAGGTCAAAAGATACCCATAACTATCTACATCAAAGGAGGGAAAAAAGTATAATCTTTTCTATTTAATTTCTTTGTACTGAACAAATCATATGCACCTATCTTTCCTGAGCAATTTGCCTTTTTATGCTTCATTCCCATTCTCCATCAATTTCTCTACTTATGTTTTGTTTCCATTCATGCTTTATCACTATTCCCATCTCTGAGCCACATTCTGCTACTGGTACTCCTGGGACAATTTGCAGAGAAAGATACTAAACTTAGAATCTTTTGTTAGGATCCTACAAAATATATAGCACAGTAGTATCTGTTTGCTGGCATGCTGCCTGATGGGCTGCAGTATGCACAGCGGGTGTATATATGGCATGGAGAGAGAAAATATAAGCTGAGAAAAAGTTAGAGGCCCAATCTTATAGGTTGCTGAGCAGCAATGAGAGGTGCTGAATGCTCTCAGTGCCTACTGAAATTAACGAAAGTTGAGGGCACTCAGTACCTGCTAGGACAGGGGTTCTCAAACTGGGGGTCTGGACCCTGCAGGGGGTCATGAGGTTACTACGTGGGGGGTCACGATCTGTCAGCCTCCACCCCAAACCCCACTTTGCCTCCAGCATTTATAATGGTGTTAAATATATTTTTAAAAGTTTTTAATTCATAAGGGGGTAGGGGGGTTGCACTCAGAGGCTTGCTGTGTGAAAGGGGTCACCAGTACAAAAGTTTGAGAACCACTGTGCTAGGACATTTTCAGTAACGTGCAAGATCAGACCTTTGGCCCCTGTTAACACCAACATGTTGATTCAGGCCAATCACTTAAGTAAAGAAACATAGTTTTGGTTACATCAAGTTAAATATAGCATTGTATCTTGGCATAAAATCCAGTTTCAGAAGGTCAACATCATCCTCGAATGAAATTGTGTTCCCTGCTTGAAACCAGTAACCACATGAAACATTAACATCCTTTAATTTAAAAGATTTGTGTCTATGATTTGGTGGCGTATGCATCATATTCTTTATAAAAAGCAAGCTTTTAAATGTGAACGAATGCTAGCTTTTTGTTTATGGAATAAACTGGATTAGGGGTATTAAAAGCCTCTACAGCAAGGAGTCAACTTTATTTCTAGATCTGTTTTGGAGAAGACAAAATACAGAGACAGAATTCACTGAATATAAACAAAAGCTTCCAGTAACATAAGACAAAAGTAAACATTTTAACAACTCAAGTTTTGTTAAAATAGCTTAACAAAACAAGAGAGTTTCTTCAAAGTAAAGCTCAAACCCCCAGTTCTCTATGAAGTGCTGCAATTTTAAAATCTAGGGCCTAATTCTGGATCTCACACAGTCATTTACACCAGTGTAAAGTGAGAAACTGTGTGTAAAATACTGCCAGTCGGTGGTAGAGCCATGTTTTGCAAGCAGGGAGGCAATGTATTAATGAATACACTCCTCTTCTTTGCCCCACCAAGGTGGCACTGACCACCCATAATGCACCCCCTGCCCTGGCACTGCAACCCTAATCCCTGCATGATGCTGCAGAGGGGAGACCCAGAGGAGGGGTGGGGGTTGGAGAATCAGCCTGCCCTATGCTCACCCAGCAGCAGTGGCTCCTGTCCTGTGGGGCTAGACCTGGCTCCCCAACTCTGGGCATTGCCACATGGTGCCTGGGTTGCAGCATCACTCAGGCTTGGCAGGGCTGCCCCTCCAGAGGAGCAGCCAGGCCGAATGTCAGTGAATGGCATTGTGACATGGTGCTAGGGTTGCCAATTTTGGTTGGACGTATTCCTGGAGGTTTCATCACATTACAATCTTTAATGAAAGATTAATTTTTAAATTCCTGGAGACTCCAGGGCAATCCTGGAGGGTTAGCAACCCTACATGGCACATGGGGTCACAGCACCACACAACCCCATGTGCCATGTCACAATGACTGGAACAGGAAGCTAGGCTCATCCCTGCAGGTCAGGAGCCATTGTTGCTGGGTGAGAGTGGGGCAGGCTCAGTCTCCAGCCCTGTGTGGAAAAGGTGCCACACATACATTTAAAGGCCACAAATGAGGGTGTCGATCAATCCCCCCATCCCCACCGGCCCCAGTGCCAGATGAAGATAGTTGTGTTTTGCACTCATTCTGCACTGGAGTCAGTACGGATACAAGATTCAGATACAAGGCCAAGGTCAAGAAAAATAAATTAATGGGCATGGAAACTGAAACACACCCTCCTATGCCTGGAATTGGGCCATCCACACCAGGGATGCCCGGACGAGGCACAATGGGCAAAGCAACACGTGAAACTTGCTCTAAAATTGCCCATTGCTACAACTCTTCTGCGGATGTATAGAGAGGTTCAGTTTCTGAGTTTTTTAATCTGGCACCTTTGTGATAAAGATCACAAAATATACATTAAAATGACAAGTTTCAGATCAGATTAGAACATTAAAAGGAATTTAGGTTTTAAAGCATTTAGGGAAATAAAAGCAATGTTTTCATTAATATTTTTAAATCTTTCAGTGGAAACAGCTTATTTTTAAAAGAATACCGTTCCCTCTGCAGAGACTACAATTCAAATATTGTTTATGAATGGGAACTAAAAAGTTGAAATTATTAGACATGACCATAAACAATAGAGAAACAGGCTAGCTAATTTTCACTATCCAAGCTGAGAGAAAGTCAGGAAGTAAATTCAACTGGAAAACCTAATTTCCCCTACAGGGTCCATCAGAAATCACAGGTAACATACGGTAATTAGCAATACTTTTCTATGCACTCATTGTCAAAAGATGCCACTAGTAATTCTTCTGTATATATTTGTGAGCAAGACAAAAGAGTTTGATTTACTAGCTCACAAATTTAGAACAATTCATTGTATGTGATTTGAGATCATTAAGTCTCCAACCATCAAACCCCATCAGTAATATTTTCTTCCTTTATCCTATATTATTTCAGGACAAACAGGTGCAGGAAATAACTGGGCCAAAGGACACTATACAGAAGGAGCAGAGCTGGTAGATTCAGTGCTTGATGTTGTAAGAAAAGAATGCGAACATTGTGATTGCTTGCAAGGATTTCAGCTCACTCATTCCCTTGGAGGAGGAACGGGTTCTGGCATGGGAACGCTACTCATCAGCAAAATCAGAGAGGAATATCCAGATAGGATAATGAATACATTTAGTGTCATGCCCTCTCCAAAAGTCTCTGACACAGTGGTGGAGCCTTATAATGCTACACTCTCAGTCCACCAGCTGGTTGAAAATACAGATGAAACCTACTGCATTGATAATGAAGCTTTGTATGACATTTGTTTCCGCACCCTGAAGCTCACCACCCCAACGTATGGAGATTTAAACCATTTGGTGTCTGCTACAATGAGTGGAGTAACTACATCATTGCGTTTTCCAGGCCAGCTAAATGCTGACCTTCGAAAACTGGCAGTAAATATGGTGCCATTCCCACGCCTTCACTTTTTCATGCCAGGGTTTGCTCCTTTGACAGCCCGAGGCAGTCAGCAATACCGAGCACTCACTGTTCCAGAGCTCACTCAACAGATGTTCGATGCCAAAAACATGATGGCAGCCTGTGACCCAAGACATGGACGATATTTAACAGTAGCAACAGTATTCCGAGGTCCCATGTCCATGAAAGAGGTTGATGAACAGATGCTGGCCATCCAAAACAAGAACAGCAGCTACTTTGTGGAATGGATCCCAAATAATGTCAAAGTGGCAGTTTGTGACATCCCACCCCGTGGCCTCAAGATGGCCTCCACCTTCATTGGCAACAGCACAGCTATTCAAGAGCTCTTCAAAAGGATCTCTGAGCAGTTCTCTGCCATGTTCAGGAGAAAGGCTTTCCTCCACTGGTTTACAGGAGAAGGGATGGATGAGATGGAATTTACAGAAGCAGAAAGCAACATGAATGACCTGGTTTCAGAGTACCAGCAGTACCAAGAAGCTACGGCAAATGATGGAGAGGAAACATTTGAAGATGATGAGGAAGAGATCAATGAATAAAATTCTGTTTTACACACACTAGTCTCCATCAAAATTCTCAAATCTGGATTTTTAAAATTAGTCTTATATATCCATATTTAAGATCCATCCTCCTTTCTCCAAAAAAGAGAGAGAGGAGAAAAAGTAGCTTGATTCTCAGAGGTGATGAGTTTCCTTCAGCTTCCATTGACTTCAGTGGGAACTGAGGGAGATCAGCACCTCTGAAAATCATGCCACTTGTATATAGGAGGCTAATTTTAGGCATCCAATTTTAGAATTTTGGCCTAAAAGTTTAAATACAGAGATCACTAGATTTGTCTAAATAAACAAAACTTGTCTTCTATGAAAAGTTGTACAAGAGGTAGAATGGGGATGGAAAGTCATTTGAAAATAGGGCTGTCCTGTTTTCATCAAACTGTGAACAGCAGCAACAGCAAAAATCTTGTGCGTCTTTGAAGTGTTATTCTGTACTGAATGTATAGTACTTATGTGCCAGGAGCGGAATCTATTCGTAATAAAAGAAAATTTAATCATGTTCTACTCTTTTGTACAGTAAATGTTGACACTGATATTTGACTTTCAGACCTTTAACAGCAAATCTAAATACAAATGGCAAGTATCCTCTTAATAAGAGTGTTTTCAGGAGTCAATACTATATTGACATCAAGTGAACTAGGAACCAAAGGTCACTAGCAACCTATTCAGGAATCATACTGCACGTGATCTTTTAAACTCCTTTACCAACTTGTCCCAGTGTGACGATGTGACTCAGCGGGGGGGGGGGGGGGGGGGGAGTGTTGCCCTGGGGATGGGAGACCTGAGAGCCTGTCACCTGAGCCGGGAGGGGGAGGTGACACCTCTACCCAGGAATGTGGACAGAGACTGCAGCATGGAACCTGCTGGGTGGGTTTAGTGTTCAGTTTGGGGCTGGGTGGAGGAACACAGGGAACCCCAGGGCTGGGATCTAAGCTCCCTGCTCCCCCAGAAGGACGTGATTGAGGGGTCCTGGTTGTACCCACAAGCTCTGTTGTGGACTGTGTTCCTGTTGTCCAATAAACCTTCTGTTTTACTGGCTGGCTGAGAGTCTCAGTGGTTCCCAGGAAGAGGGGTGCAGGGCCTGGACTCCCCCACACTCCGTGATTCCCAGAATGATCGCACACAACGTTTTCATGAAATTCATGCACTGCACTGCAGAACTTGTGTAAGCTCGCCCATCCTATGATTTGAATATAAAAATATTAAAGTTAGTAAAAAGGAAGCACATGTACAAAGTAACTCTTATGCCTTACATTCCATAAAACTGAATTATTTCAAGTGCTTGGAAGAGCTCCAGAGAAAGGCCCAAAGGAAAAAAAAAAAAATCAGAAACCCAAACTCTAAAAAGTTTCAGGAACCTTCTGTTTCTTTCCTTTCCCCTCCCAAAATGCTGTTTGAGCCAAAGTACAACTCCTTGGACTGAAGAATTCAAGGCAAGGCACTAAGTGACATAGTGCTGAAAAAGGTGTTTCAGTGCCATCAGTCTAGCTTTGGGCTGTCTGCTGCCTTTGTTCTAGGGCCAATCAGCTGCCCACCCTTCTCCACTGCATGTAAACCGCTGAGCTGGTGAGCTGGAAGAACTCTTGGCCATGCCTACAACTTTTTCAGGGCACAGCTTTAGTTTTCAGCATAATATTTGAGCAAAATATCAAAACAAAAAAGCAGTTCCTCTGCCCCTCATAGGCAATAGCTCCTAGATGCTTTTTCCCTTGTCCCGCTCAGCCTGAAAGGAGGACATACCATTCCCTTCAATCTCCCACCTGCAGCTGAGCTCTCAACCAGTTTTAGGCATCACATGACCTCCTTCCCAGCTGGATCTGATAAATTGAAGAGGACTGTCTAACTCCTAGCCCTTAAAGATGCAAGCGACCCTGTTACAAGTGTATACCCAGATATCCATGGACACTGGGTAGGTGTACTTTGAAAGGTCAAGAAAGTGCCAACTGTATAGCTGGCTATACTCTTTGAAATGATCAATTATGCAAAAGGAAATTAACATTACATAGCAGATCACAAATTGAGTATACTATCTTGTATATTGAAGAATATGGTTTTAACGCTATATTGAGTGTTAACTAAGAATTACTTAAAATTCTAAACATGCTAATGAGGACTTAACACCTAATATTATACAAAACAAAGCGGGGACTCACAGACAAATAAGTTTACTAACACTGTGGATGTGATGGCTGTTAGGTTAAAGGAAGAGTGGACAAACTTTCTGTGCTCTACTGCCAGAGAAGAAGAGGAGCATGCTACTGTACTAACTTGTACGATCTACAGCTACTAGTCTCTCTCTGATGTAACTAAGAGCTCCAGCATAGCTTTTTCTAGCTCACACTATGTAAGAGCAAGTTTAAAGTGTGCTGAGATATCACAATAGGTACCTTAAATAGCTGGCATGGGAATCTCCCAACAGCCTGCTATCTTAGTTATAGGACATGCAATTGCTTGTGTATTGCAATACAGATTAAATTAAGGATGGAGCATCAGCCACAGTTGACTCCATTTAAAAACAAATGGCCAGGGACAATTCTTCAAATAAGCCATAAACCTGAGGGATGCCAGAGGTTTGTGCGCTCATCTGGTGAACATTAGGCAATTCTATATTGCTGTCTTTATGGGCACACTGAATTAACTTCTGGAGTATCAATTCTGAACCTTTAGAGCACCATCGAGTCCTGCAATCCTACACCATCACCTAATTCACTCTCTCTCAACATGCACTTCTATCTGTAGTTGTCTCTTGGGGATGAAGAACCTCTACTGTGTACTGAGAAGCGTTCCGTTGAGAACATCTCCAGCTCTCTTTTCCTGAAGGAGGGAAAACCTGGACATCTTCCCTCTTTCTCCCCGAGCCACTTCTCAGTGGGAAAGGGCACGGGACCAATTTGGGTGGAGACAGTCAAGGAACCATGCATGGGAGTGCATCTATTCCTCTCTCCAAATCACTGCTCCACTTTCAGAATTAAAATTGAGATGTTTCATAACGGGTTTGAACAGAGGTGCTGCTAATAGTACCACTGTTTCTTTTATTGTATTCTCCCAGTCCCTTCATTTGATTTTCTACCTTTACCTGCAAGCCTGGCAGTTTTTATTTTGAAACCTACCCTGCTCTGAGTCCTATCTTGTTTCTGCTTCTCCTCTTTAGTCTTTATATCCTCCACCTGAGTTTTCTGTTGGTCCGTTTTCTCCTCTCTCATTTTCAGTCTATTTCCCCTTTCACCTTCCTTCCCTGGTTCTCCCCTCACCACGTCTGCTAAACTCATTTATTCTATTGTCTCCCCTGTCCTTAAACAGCTTCCTAATGTCTCTACATGCCCAGCCACAATGTTGTACTTACTTTAGAGGTAGGCATGGGTGGCGTGTGGCTCCAGCATTTGGGGAGACTGGTTGTGAGGGCTTGGCCCTCCCAGCCGCTGCTCACCATTGCACCTCTTCTGTGCCGCGGAGGAGCCATGTGACCGGTGGTGGTGGGGCCTTTGTGGAGGTGGGGTGGAGGAGAGGAGCAACTTGGTGAGCAGTGGGGGCCTTGGGGGTGGGGGGGTTGAAGGAAAGGAATGATGCAAGGGGTGGTGTGGGAGTGGAGAGGAACAAGTGGCAGGGGCCTTGGGGAAGGGGGTGGTGGTGGAGAAGGAGGAGAAGAGTGACAGCAAGTGGCGGGGGCCTCAATGGAGGGTGGAGGAGAGGAGCCATATGGCAGGTAGTGGGGACCTTGAGGAGGGGAAGGTGGAAGAGAGGAGGGACTCAGTGAGCGGGGGAGACCTCGCGAGAGGGAGGGTGGAGGAGAGGAGCGACTCAGTGAGTGGTGGGGGCCTCAGGGAAGGGGCAGAATGAAGGCAGGCCTGGGGGAAGGAGCAGCACAGCCTATTATACCCATCTCCCAAATACGTAGGGGATGCCATACCAAGAAATACCAGTAGGCTCATACCTTGAGCATCACAGTCAAAGTATATCTGCCTGGCAGCGTATCTGACTGTGTGAGGCAGAGGGATGGGGTTGGGCAAGACAGGGCAAGCAGGGCTAGGGTAGCAGTCTGAGAAGGGATGTTCTCAAGGAGGACATGCTGAGCCAGACTCCTGTAACTTCCTCTGGTTTAGCTGGCTTGGCTGCTAGCGTTTCCAAAAACCAAGACAAAACAGATAAAAACATAAGGCCCCGGGGATGGGGCTTCTCAGCTGGTCATGCTCTGAGCCACTGCAGGTCCTGGTTTTCTCTCACCCTTGAAATGCTCTCCTTTCTCCTGCTCTGTTTTGCCCCTCAAGTTAGTGATGTTTCATGTCCCCACCACAGCTTCTCACAATGAGGTGGGGTGGGATTTGGGCCAGGCCCTTCTCTGGTCCTCCTAGAACACAATGAGGCTGAGCAGTATTGAGGGGTCTATGCTTTCCCGCCCCATCCTCTTGAAACCATTCTCTTGCTTCACCTGCACTCAGCTAGCAGGGGAATGGGAGGAGAATGTCAGAGTCAGCTGGTCACCTTATCCCCAGAATCCCTACTGGAAAAGACACCAGCATTCTAACAGATTTTCAGACAGCTTGTGAAACTGTAGCTCTGTCCAGCCACAAGCACACCTATAGCTACTGCATCAGCCTGGACTGGAGTGGGTGGATTTAGAGTCCCCTCCTCCCACCTCACATTTAAAGCTCTGTGATTTTAAGTGTTTGTAAAGGGGCAGGTGCAGTAAGACAGGGTTGGTTTTGCTCATAATAACACAACAGTCAAACCAACAGTCCATCTATCCCCGTATCCTGTCTTCCAACAGCAACTAATGCCAAGTGCTTCTGAGGGAATGAACAGAAAAGAGCAATTTTTGAGTGATCCCTACTGTCATCCAGTTCCAGCATCTGGCAGTCAGGGGTGTAGGGCACCTAGAACATGGGGTTGCATCCCTTCCCAACCTGGGTAATAGCTATTGACGAACCTCTCCTCCAAGAACATATCTAATTCTTTTTTGAACCCAGTTATAGTTTTGGCCTTCACAACATCCCCTTGCAATGAGCTCCACAGGTTGACTGTGCATTGTAAGTACTTTTTCACACTTTTGTTTTAAAGCTGCTGCCTATTAAGTTTCTATGGTGACCTCTGGGTTCCTGTGTTATGTGAGGGTCAAATAATGTTCAGGTTTAATGTTTTCCGTTTTAGCTCCAGCTATCTCCAGTTGGGGCCACTCTATGCTACTTTAAGGTGCAACATATCCAGACTTATCCGAGTGACACAACAGCAATAAAACTAGGACCATGTGAAAAGCACCATGGCTGTAAAGTGGGACATGCAGCACTACATCCACTGCAGATTAATTTAAGTCCGTGCCCAGAGGAGCTTGCAATCTAAATAGGGAAGTCAATACAACATGCAGTTGGACAGCCAGAGAAAGGATATATGCTAAAAGAAAATTCTCTTAGTATTATGGATAGGTGACATCACTTTCACAGAGCCAGGATAGCGATTGCTGCAGGCTTGAAGAAGTGGAGAGAAAATATATATATATATAATCATTAGAGACTACAAATTGGTGATTTCTAACAGTAATAGTTACTAACCAAGTTAAATAAAGGAGGGGGGAAAAAAGGCACCAATCCAAACAAAGTACAGTAACTCCTCGCTTAACATTGTAATGGTCCTGAAAAACAGGACTTTAAGTGAAACGATGTTAAGCGAATCCAATTTCCCCATAAGAATTAATGTAAATTGGGGGAGGTAGGTTCCAGGGAAATTTTCTTCACCAGACAAAAGACTATATTATATAGTGTACACACACACACACAGAGACACAAAATAAGTTTTAAACAATTTAATACTGTACACAGCAATGATGATTGTGAAGCTTGGCTAGCTCAAATGAGCTGCTCTTCCTACAAACAGTGGACAAAGCAGGCAGCTGCCAAACACTGTTATAAGGGAGAACTTCACAACTTTAAACGAGCATGTTCTCTAATTGATCAGCAATGTAACAACAAAACATTAACCGGGACAACTAAGTGAGGAGTTACTGTATATGGAAAAAATTGCAATAGAGGATGCCCAAAGACAAAAGAAGTAAATCCTCCTCTCTCTCTCTCATTCCTCCCACACTGTGTCTTACTCTAAGTCAATTTAACAACTTTGTCACTGTAAGACTCTATTCATCCTGAAATGGGGTACACCAATTTTCCCTTTATTATTTAGTTTATTTGAAGTGTTCCCCCACCAACACATGGTTTATTTTGCATGCTACAATAAAAATGTATATTTTTTTTCTGAGGCAATTACTGAAGTATTTAAACCCCACACAACAGTTAGACATAGAAATAAATGTTTCCTAAAAAGCAATATTCTCACAACCTCCCTTGTTTCCAGCATGCATGTCTTTCTCCACCACCTTCCCCATTGTATTTCCTCCCCTCTAATTTTCTTCACTGAAGATTATCCTGGGAAATGCCATTACTTTTCTGAAGTGGTTGCTCAACACGGGACACCATCTTCTAATCCTCTTTTGACACCCAATTTTATCTTGCCCAAGAACAACTCCCACTGAGTTAGTTAGGTGTACAGGCTGTAGAACAGACCCTGAGATCTGCTGCTTACAGTGTCAGCAAAATAGTTTAAATACCTCTCATTTGGAGATCAGTTCTATGGCATATTATTTAACTCCGAAGAAAAAGCTCAATTTTTAGTACTAATCTTGAGTTTGGTATAATTTAAAACACATTCTCATTGTATGTTCCGCATTTAGAAGGGAGAGGGACATTTTCTTTTTAGTCCATATAATTTGGTTGCTGATGACACAAGAGAGAGAGCTGCTTCTCCCTGCAGATATAAATTTTATTTTTAAGGGAATTTAGTTCTTATAACCAGCACTGATTGATAGCAAAAGATACTGAATCCTTTTCTTAGCCACATACAATACAGTACAGGCTCTTCCCATATCCCATCTGCCAATTAGCTTTTCCCCAAATGTGGAGAACTCTCCAGAATACAGTCAAGAGACGAGATCATAGTTATTTATAAACTTTTGAGTCTTCAGCATTCATGAGGTTGTCAACAAATGTATAAAGCATTGCCAATTAGCAGAAGTCCAAACAGTCAGAGAACAATATTTTATCATGGTCAGCCTGGCCCAGTTTGTAAATGCCAATTTAAAAGACTTCACATTATGAGGGGAGGGGCAGAAAAGTTACAGGAGATAGCTCTTTTACCTACAGCTCTCTAAGGATCTACACTCTTGTATGCAAGCCACTCATTACCAACCTAGACTTCTTCTCAGAGACTATTACTGGTTTTCTTTTCTATTGCCATACTACCTTTTCATCAGAATGTATTGCTGGAACCAATTAAATGGTCATTCACTAAAACATGAAGTTTCAGTCACAAGAAAAGAAAATATTAATGGATCACTTGACCATCACAAAGAAGACCAGTGGTTCAATTTTCCTCATCTTCCTCCTCCTAAAGAGACAGAAGATAATCTAGATGGAATCATTTCTCTTTTCAATGATGGAGCCTGACAATGAACTTTTCCAAAAATAAGAATTGCTTAACTGATGCAACCCGTAATCTAGAGAACGGACTACGTCTACTGTGTTAAACTGTGTGCAGAATCTGTGCAGAGAACTATTGCCTAATTGAAGTTAGAAAAACAACAAACTCAGGATTAAGTAGATTGGACACCAGCGTTCAGATATGATATATTAACTATTCCATCTACACCAGCCCTCTACAAACTTTCAAGTGCTTGCACAAAGACAGAAGTAGACGGTTACTAGACTTTTTACATTTACAAGGAATAATCCTGGTGTATAAACTCAGGAAAAGCTTACACTCATGTCAGTAGGAGTTTGCTCAAATAAAGACCTGAGTTGGGCCAAAAATGTTTCATAAGAAATCAACCTAAAATAAATGGCAAGACAGTGTATTCAGAAAAGTACAATGTTCTGATTTTAATGACTTTCAAAGAAATCTTATTTACACAATGAACAAAGTGCATTCACATATTCAATATCTTACAGCTCCCTGTAGAAAAAAAACCCACATTATATTAAAACTGCAGAAGTTTAATTTAGTTCTACACTTTAAGACACTGAACCATGACCATAACTGTAAAGCTATTCAATGGGTCTCCAATTTCATGGTAAATGTACATGGCCGTTCCCTGTGAACAAATTGGTTGGGGGGGTGAGGGGGGGGGAGACTAAAATTAAATAGCAAGAGGGTGAAAAAAAAGCTGATGCATTGCAGAAACGTCGAGTGTTTTCGTAAGCTGATTAGACCCTTGGCTAAGCATATAAAAATATGTTTCCCCACACATATAGATGTTGAAGTGATTCACATTTGGGTAGATGCCACATATACAGACTTTCTAGATCAATATTATGGAACCTTAATTTGCATCACCTTAAATAAATTTAGAAATGGACCTTGCCACAGAATTTGGACTTGGATCCAAACCATTCCGAAGTTTGAGGGGGGTTCAGTTCTCGAGTTCCAGTGCAGGCCAATCTCTAATTGACATCTCCCTTAGCTGACAGCTCAGAAGCGATCATCTTTTACCTATAAAGTAATGACAGCTTAAGACGGATCTGAGTATTCTTATCCCTGTGTCAACCCTTGCTCTTCGTTTACCATCACTAAAGATTTGTTTGAATATGCAGATGGTTCTTAAATCAAACTATTGAAGTGTTTTCCAGTCGTTTCACAATGCAAATAAAAATATTGTGCAATTTTATACCACAGCATACTTCAAAACTAAAATGGCATCCCTCCTGTTATCTGCTTGGCAATCTGTTCATCTGTGGTCTCCTCCTCCTCTTTTTCACGATCTTTGTTCCAATCTTTAAGGCCTTCTGGGAGTGAAGTATCTTCATCTAGACTGCCTGTGCCTTCAACAAATTCTTCGTAAGTAGATTTTTCTGCAAATGGTCTTGGGCCAAGTAGTTCAACCATATCACTTTTATCTAGTACCTCCTTCTCCAACAGTCGTAAAGCAACCTGAAAATAGCAACAAATGACATTACACAAACAGGTACAAGATGTATTTGCTTTCTCACGTGAAAGAGGGAGAGCACTTAGAGAGGCAGCCTGTGCTTCAAAATTCTATGCTGGTACATTTTAGGAGGAGAGTTGGGATTCTCAACAAGGTTCACTTCATGCTGCAAGAGCTTCAATGTGCGTAAAAGTAGTTGAGAGTTTTGCACTTTTAAAACTCTGATTATCAGGTGCAGTGCCTTGAATACCACTTTTCAGAGTAACAGCCGTGTTAGTCTGTATTCGCAAAAAGAAAAGGAGTACTTGTGGCACCTTAGAGACTAACCAATTTATTTGAGCATGAGCAATACCACTGTTGCTCACGGATGGCTGATTCAGCATAATGCTGCTGCTGCTCGAGGGCTCTGGAGAATGTTACAGGGATTTAATAATGGATAGAAGGCCAGTTTCTTAGTTGCTCCTGTATCTTTGCCCCCCAGACTATTACAAGGTACAATGGGTCTAAGGTTGACTGTTATGTTCAGAGTATTGTCCAAGCTACAAAACAAAGCTATTACTGGCTAAGTTTCACTCTGCAGAATATAGCATGTACAGTATCAAGAAAAGAGTAGTATAAGACTGTAGGTTGCAGGCTTCTTGGGCAAGTGATGTCTTGTATAGCATTCAATGCTTAAGTAACGGAAGCGTAAGCTATGACAAGGACAACAGCAGAAGAATACTACATTTCTTTGGACTGTACTTAAAAGAATATTTCATCATAGAAAGATGAAACATTATGAAATAGGGAGGGAGAGACTGAGAAGAGGGATTAAATGTTAACAAGGAAAACAAGAAAGCTTACAATGGTTTAATAAACAGGAAATAGAGAAGTGTGATTGACAGACACTTGGCTCCTGTATCCTCATTGGCCATTACACTTCAGATAAAGTTTTGCCAAACTTTATAACTGTCCCTTTTGATGATGAGGCACTACTGCACATTCTGTCTTTCTTAGGGTGGTAGTCAGCTTTACCACTCTGACAGAAACCCATACAAGTTGTTGTCTTCTTGCAGAGAAGTCTGTCAGATAATGCACATCCAAGAAAACGGTATTGTCCTTGAAAGATCAGTCTCCCTGGATCAGAGGTAAAGCTTATGGAGGAGGGGAACCTGAACTGAAGTGGGATCCCCAAGATGCACTATTACCAATCTGTAAGCAGAGGGTCCTGTTATCTAAAATGTAAAAACATTTCAGAGGGAGGAGAAAAAGAGGAAAGAATTTAACACATTCATCTCCCATAAGATTAAAGTGAAGTTTTACACCATACTCTTCCAGATACCTAGTGTCTCCAGAACCTTGATGTTTAATTTGACAGTTTTATTGTTTCCTCTCTCCACCAGCTGTAGGATTTGCAGAAGAGTAATTCTGTCTTTGACTTTGCAAGAAAACTTGCTAACAGAACAATCCTAAGTACAGCTATGAAGATACTGGAATAATAGTTCACAATATACTTCTTATAAATCTTGTGGCATATTGGCAAGTACTCAACTTATTACAAGACATTTAAATGCTTTATATTGTTGAAGAATGTATTGGTCCAATACTCAACATTGTTATGTGAATATTTATGCATATTAATCTATGTATTCAGCTCATTCTGACCATTTTAGCTAGTAAACTTGACATTGGTGATAAGAGATTTTATTATAAAGCCTACCTTCTCCACATCTGCCTTCTTCTCCATCAAGAGAGTTACTGTCCTTTCATATGCACTGTTAATAAGATTTCGTACTTCTTCATCAATCAGTCTTGCAGTTGCCTCGCTGTAAGGTTTCTCCAATACCATGTCCCCTTGACGAGGGAGATCAAAGGAAATCTGCCCTACCTTTTCATTCATGCCAAACTGAACAATCTGAAAGATGAACAGTGCAATAAGTGGAAGACTTAGATTTTGAATTTATTAGTGTAATATTGGAAAATGGAGCATCAAGCAAAAGTAACCTATTTATAAGATGAATTAAAATATATATTTATGAGAATGAGAAAATAGTTTTTCTACAAAACACATAACACTAGTGTTAATTCCCTCTTTTGTAAATCACTAACAGATTCCTTCAAATAGGAGATTCATAGTTATTTATCTTTGACATATTTCGAAAAGATCTGTAAACAGCCAAGATGCATAATGCCATTTAAATACTCACGATGCTTGAATGTTTCTGAGTTACAAAAGTATCATTGTATGCAGTGCTGTAGCCATGTCGGTCCCCAGATATTAGAGGGACAAGGTGAGTGAGGTGATATCTTTTATTGGACCAACTTCTGATGCTGAGAGAAACAACCTTTCGAGCTACCCACAACTATTCTTCAGGTCTGTGTAGCTCGAAAGGTTGTTTCTCTCATCAACAGAAGTTGGTCCAATAAAAGTTATTACCTCACCCATGTCTCAAAGTATGGTAATTCTGTTCTTTTCAAAAGTTTTCCACAAAGTATTTAAAAATTTTAAACAGAACATAATGACAGTTAGTGTGTTGAGTCAAGAGTACATTTGAAATTCAGTTCAAGACACTCAGAAGGTAAAAGTATCACCATCCTGTAAATGTACCCTGGAATAGTAGGAAATATCTTCCTGACCCCATATACTGATTAACTAACTTCCGCACAGACCTCCGTGCATATAACAAAATTTATTCCGCACATGGATGGAAAAAATTAGAGGAAACATTGCTAATGACCTCACTCAGTTGCGTCTTTACATTAATAACACCACAAATCACCATTGAGAAGTCTTGTTTATGTTAAACACTGGAATATAGCCTTCTTTTCATCCTTAGATTTACAGCATGTGGTGCATTAAACATACGGTTTCCAGCTATTAACTACATACCCATGGATTCAATCTAGTTGAGCAATCTGGACTCTAAGCTATATAATTACAAGAATGTGTCCACAAAACCAAACTTGTAAACTAAAATATTAAAGCCATTTTCTAAGTGCAAAATTTCTTCACACATTTGAGTTTAGCCATGTCACATACACATTCCTGCAGAGCAATCAGCTTTGATTTGATCTCTATGCCATTAAACCATGTGTATGATGCAATGATCACAACCCAGCCATGGATTATTGCTATGGGCAAAAACAGAATACAGATGCTGAAGACAAAGTGCCAATATCATGCAACAAATGCATACTGCATGACAATATAACCTTGCTCAATAAAATATGGTCTAAATTCTGCAACTCAAAAACCTAGCCAGCCAGCCAGCCATAGTGTGCTCTTCTTCAAAGATATTTTGTATTAAAAACAGTTTAGTGGGAAACAGACAATAAAATTTCCTACTTGAAGTACAAACCTGAGCATATGCACTCTGAGTCACCTTCTTCAAGTCATCTTGGGCTCCTGTTGTAATTCTTCCAAAGAAGATTTGTTCTGACACACGTCCTCCCAGTGTCATGCACATTCTGTCAAGTAACTGCTCTTTGGTGTAAAGGTATTGTTCTCTGGGTAAATACTGGGCATAACCCAATCCTTTGCCACGTGGGATAATAGATACCTTGGTTCAAGAAAAAAAGAAAGCTAGTTACCTTTTCCGTAACTGGTGTTCAAGATGCGTTGCTCGCGTCCATTCCATATTAGTTGTGTGTGTTCACCACATGCACCTGTGCCATAAGTTTTTCCCTTTGCAGTATCGGTAGGGGACTGGCTCTGGCGTCCTCTGGAGTGGCACCCCCACGGCACTGGAAAAGGGGTGCCACCAGCTCTCCCCACCCTCAGTTCCTTCTTGCTGGAAACTCCAACAGTGGGGAAGGAGGGCGGGCTGTGGAATGGACACAAGCAACACAGCTCGTAGAACAGGTAACTGTCTTTTCCTCTTCGAGTGCTTGCTCATGTCCATTCCATATTAGGTGACTCCAAAGCAGTACCATTGGAGGCGGGTAGGAGTTCACGGATGTGTAGATTGCAACACATCTCTGCCGAATTCAGCATCACAGAAGCATAGAATATCAGGGTTGGAAGGGACCTCAGGAGGTCATCTAGTCCAACCCCCTGCTCAAAGCAGGGCCAATCCCCAACTAAAGCATCCCAGCCAGGGCTTTGTCAAGCCTGTCCTTAAAAACCTCTAAGAAAAGAGATTCTACCACCTCCCTAGGTAACGCATTCTAGTGCTTCACCACCCTCCTAGTGAAAAAGTTTTTCCTAATATCCAACCTAAACCTCCCCTACTGCAACTTGAGACCATTACTCCTTGTTCTGTCATCTAGACAGAGAACAGTCTAGATCCATCCTTTTTGTACCCCCTTTCAGGTAGTTGAAAGCAGCTATCAAATCCCCCCTCAATCTTCTCTTCTGCAGACTAAATAATCCCAGTTCCCTCACCCTCTCCTCATAAGTTATGTGCTCCAGCCCCCTAATCATTTTTGTTGCCCTCCGCTGGACTCTTTCCAATTTTTCCACATCCCTCTTGAAGTGTCCAAAACTAGACACAGCACTCCAGATGAGGCCTCACCAATGCTAAACAGAGGGGAACGATCACGTCCCTCGATCTGCTGGCAATGCTCCTACTTATACAGCCCAAAATGCCGTTAACAGTGTGCCGTTGTTGCCAAGAAGACTGACTCATATCCAACTTCTCGTCCACTGTAACCCCTTTTCTGCAGAACTGCTGCCTAGCTACTCGGTCCTTAGTCTGCAGCAGTGCATGGAATTCTTCCATCCTAAGTGAAGGACTCTTCACTTGTCCTTGTTGAACTTCATCACATTTCTTTTGGCCCAATCCTCTAATTTGTTTAACTTGCTAAGGGTGCAATCCACGCCATCCTCCACAACGTTAATGAAGATATTGAGCAAAACCAGGTCTTCCCTGGCCTGCTGAGCGATGGCATAATTAGCAGTAAATGCGTGGACAGAAGACCATGTTGCAGCTCTACAGATGTCCTGGATAGGGATGTGCGCCAGGAAGGCCACCAAAGATGTCTGTGCTCTCACTGGGTGGGGTCTGATAATTGTTGGCAGCAGAACCCCCGCCAGGTCGTAACAGGTCCTTATACATGAGGTGATCCAATTGGAAATCCTCTACAAGGACACCAGAAGGCCCTTCATCCTGTCTGCTGTAGCAATGAAGAGTTGGGTTGATTTACGGAAAGGCTTGGTACGCTTTAAGTAAAATGTCAAGGCCCTCAGACATCTTCACGCCCTGGATATCCACTCCTCACTGGTCTTGTGCAGTTTGGGACAGAATACCTGAAGGAAGATGTCCTGGTTCATATGGAAGGTGGAGACCACCTTCGGCAGGAAGGAATGGTGGGGCCGCAAATGAACCTTATCTTTGTAGAAGACCGTGTATGGAGGCTCTGAGGTCAAGACTTTAACATCATGGAAGGTCACTGACAGGTGGGAAAAGGAGCAGGAACCCAGCGGCTCAAAGGGCAGGACAGTGAGCCTAGAGAGGACCAAGTTAAGATCCTACTGTGGAATGGGAGCCTGTACCTGCAAGAAGAGTCTCTCAAGCCCTCTCAGGAATCTGACTGTCATGTTATGGGAAAACACTGTCCTTGGATCGGTGGGTGAAAAGCAGAGATGGCCGCGAGATGCACTCTAATGGAAGAGTGTGGCAGGCTCTAGTTTCTCAAATGGAGCAGGTAGTCTAGGACAGCCTGTATATAGGAACATGAGGGAGAGGTGCCCCGTTCGGATGCCCAGCGGGAAAACCTCATCTGCTTGGCCAGGTAAGTCAGCCTAGTTGAGGGCTTCCTACTTTCCAGGAGGACCTGTTGGACCCCTTCCAAACAGGTCCGCTCCTCTGGGTTCAGCCACGCAGCATCCACACCAAGGTGGAGGGACCCGAGGTTGGGGTGTAATAGCCAACCATGGTCCTGTGACAGCAAGTTTGGTCCGTTGGGCAGGACTCCGAGAGGGGCTGCAGTCCGGTTCATGAGCATGCCAAACCAGTGCTGGCAAGGCCACGCCAATCACGATAACCTGCACCACGTCTCTCAATCTTTGCCAGGGTCCTGTCGATGAGCAGAATCGGAGGGAACAAGTACATCAGGCTCTCTGACCGCGATAGGAGGAAGGCATCGGAGAGGGAGCCCTTGCTTAGACCTTGCCGAGAACAAAACCGGTGACATTTCCTGATCTGTCTGGTAGCGAACAAGTTCACTTGGGGAGTTCCTCACCTTTGGAAGATCATGCAGGTTACCTCTGGATGGAGTGACCACTAGTGGCAAGAGGAAAAGCGCCTGCTGAGCTGGTCTGCCAGCATATTCCTGATGCTGGAAGGTGACAAGCTTCCAGGTGGATTTTGTGGCTGATGCAGAAGACCCAGAGACAGAGTGCCTCCTGACAGAGCTCACGATTGCGCTCCCCCTTGCCTATTGACGTAGAACATTGAGGCTGTGTTGCCCGTCAGGACTTGTATCACCTTGCCCAACAGGTGGGGCAGGAAGACTGCATGCCAGCCGGACTGCTTGGAGCTCTTTGACATTTATGTGTAATTGTGCCTCCTGCGGGGACCACATCCTGAATCTGGAGGACACTGAGATGTGCACCCCAGCCAAGGTCTGAGGCGTCCGACATCAACTCGATGGAGTGAGGAGGGTTGTCGAATGGAAGCCCCTCCAGGACTGTCGGTCCACCATCGCAGCGAGGTAAGTATCACCTGGGGAATGGTAATGATCTTCTCCAGGGGGTCTCGGGACTGGGAATAGACTGTCCCCAGCCATTGTTGCAAGCCGCATCCGGAGCCTGGCATGGTGGACCACTTAAGTGTATGCTGCCTTGTGGCCCAGCAGGCACAGACTGCTGTAGTCAGTGGGAATGTGGAGATTCTGTGATGAAGTTCGTCAATGTCTGGAACCTTTTCTGCGGCAGGAACGCTCTGGCGCAAGTCGAGTCGAGGACCGCTCCAATTAACTCTATCCTCTGCATTGGCACTAACGTTGACTTTTTGTCATTTACCAGTAGGCCCAGAGAGCGGCATTTGGCTTGAAGTACCACAACATCCCTTTGGACTGGAGACCTGGAGCTGCCCTTGATGAGCCAGTTGTTGAGGTACGGGTAGATCTAGATATCCCAGCGACTGAGGTAAGCCACTACCACAGATATGCACTTGGTAAACACCCTCGGTGCTGTCACCAGGCCAAACGGGAGGACTGCAAATTGGTAGTGGTGGGGCCCATCGTAAACTGGAGGAAGCGTTTGTGTTCTTGAGAGATCGCTACGTGGAAACAAGCATCCTTCAACTCGAGGGCAGCATACCAGTCTCCCGGATACAGGAAGCGGATAATAGAAGCCAGAGAGACCATGTGGAACTTCAGCTTCCTTAGGTACTTGTTGAAGTCTCGCAGGTCCAAGGTGGGCTGTAGACCACCCTTGGCCTTTGGGTTTAAAAAGTACTGGGAATAGAACCCCTTGTTCCTGTACTTGAGAAGAACTTCTTCCACCACACCCAGCTGTAGCAACCCCTTTACCCCCTGTGCTAGGAGACTCTCGTGAGAGGGGTCCCTGAAGAGGGACAGGGAAGATGGGTGGGAAGGGGTGGTAGAAAGGAACTGGTGGGTATAACCCTTTTCCACAGTGCTGAGGACCCAGCAGTCTGAAGTTATAGCGGTCCAAGCAGAGAGGAAAAGGGAAAGATGGTTGGAGAATATTGGGAAGGATGGATCCAGGGAACAGTCTGGTAGGTCACCCTCCACCGAGCCTGCCTCTCTAGTTCTGAGGCATGACGGCTTTGGGTGGGCGAGCAATGGTGGGACATCCCCTTGATAGGCAACAGAGCCGCTGAGGCAGGGACACACGCATAGGTCCCAATGCGGGTTTTCCCCGAGACCGGGGTATCGCTGCAGCCGGTGTGGGTGGCACCAGGAATGTCAGGCTTTCCTGAGCTGCTTGAAGGGCTTTGGGTGTCAACGGCACCAGAAACTGGCTGGGGCCTGCACCGCTATCCGGAGTCGCAAGTAAAGTATGGGATGGGCTGCACTGCTTTACCTGAGCTGGGGACTGAGTTCCCAACGGGGGTGTTGAGCTGCCCGGCACGGGTTGTGGCTCACGCCCAACCCTCTCCTTTCCCTTAAAGGAGGTAGGAGATCTTCTCCTCAGTTTTTTTTTGGCTTCTTGACCGCAGCTGTGGAGGAGGACCCGTGCCGTCTCATGGATAGTGCCGGCAGAGCAATGCACACGGAAGCTGCAGTGCTTGGTGTGGAGTTGGACCGCTGTTCCAGTGCCGGAGCGAGTGCCGACTCCATTAGAAGCACTTTCAGATGGATATCGTGCTCCTTCTTTGTCCTAGGCTTAAGGGACTTGCAGATATGGCACTTGTCACTTATGTGCCCTTCGCCTAAGCACCTCAGGCAACTGGTACATGGATCACTGATGGGCATAGGCTGTTTGCAACAATCGCAGGGCTTAAAGCCTGGGGACCGGGGCATGCCCCATTCCCCGGCTGAGTCCCGTTTGGAACTAAAAGAGTTGAGAACTACTACTAAAAGTAACTAAGCCCTAGTCTACACTAGATGGGAGGGGAATCAATCTAAGTTACGCAACTTCAGCTACGTGAATAACATAGCTGAAGTCGACGTACTTAGATCAACTTACCGTGGTGTCTTCACAGTGATGAGTCGACTGCTGCTGCTCCTGCTTCGACTCTGCCTGCGCCTCTCGCAGTGCTGGAGTACAGAAGTCAACAGGAGAGGGCTCAGGGGGTCAATTTATCGCATCTAGACTAGATGCAATAAATCGATCCCCGCTGGATCTATCGCTGCCTGCCAATCCGGTGGGTAATGAAGACATACCCTAAGAAACTACTAACTATATACAACTATATTACAGGTTTTCAAAGTTTGCAAGAACAGAGAATGAAACAACGCTAGCTGAAGCAGCAGATGTTCCAGCACTGTCACTGGTGACAAGAAGGAACTGAGGGTGTAGGGAGCCGGCAGCGCCCCTTATACCGTGCTGTGTGGGCACCAGAGCCGGTCCCCTATGGATACTAAGGGAAAAGCTTCCGGCACCAGTCCATGTGGCGAGCACACACCCCTAATATGGAATGGACATGAGCAAGCACTCTAAGAACATCACACCCTTCAAATTTAATGGTAAGCTTAGAATTTCTGACAGGATAGGACTTTAGACATACCCTTCAAACTACGAAATAGGCTTAGGATGTGGATGATCCTAACCAGGGATATCAACAGCTAAGGGAAGTACCTGGAAAATATATTATTATTATACCTGGATACAGCTATTACAACGTGTCCTAATATTTTATTCAGACAAAGAAGATTCAAAGATACTTAATTCAAGTAAATATGATTTGGTGATAGTAAGGAACTTTAAGCCCTTTTAGTATTAAGTGTCCTGTGACAGGGTGTACAGAACTCTTGACATCCTTTTTCCATTTATTGGCAAGGAGGGTGTCCATGTTTAATAGCCTTCTGCATAAGTTGTAGGAGTTTGGGAAGCCTGCAGTTGGAGACGAATGGATAATTTTAAAAACAGAAAATAACTAGTAGCACAATTACTGGATACCCAGATAGTTAGAACTGGAATCAGGAGATTGTATTCAGCCATCTGCTTGTCAAGCTTTGTGCATCTGAGTTTAAACTCAGATAATTAGAACAAACCCTGGATCAATGTTTTTAAAGCTGGATGCCCCCAGAGGATACCTATTCAATTGAATTTAACCTACACTATCGCTCTATGTAAACCAAACTATGGACTGGAGACATTAGAAATCCTAAAAGAAATTTAGAGTTCTGATACAGATCTAGTTCTTTATTCCCAAACTGTAAAATATCTCTATTTTACCTTTTAAAAATTAATATAAGCTTAAATATTTAACTCCTGAATTCTGATCCAAAAGAAAGAAAAATATGCTAGGTAGATTATACTGATGAAATGGCATAGTAACAAACAGTAAAAATATCAAAGCAGATAGGCACTGCAGAGGTGAGGTTTTCATTTTAGGGTCTCAAAGCCACACCTCCTGACCTCAGCTCCGTGATCTTTACCCTCTAGATCATCTCATGACGGTGGCATATAATATTTTAAAAGCTCAATGCCAAGGGCATTACTGCCTACCAGAGGTCATTTTTTCAAATCCTTTTCTCCTGCAAATTAAGACTCCAGCCTGTACACATTAAAATGTTTTTCCCACATATGCAGCAGCTTCAGCTACCCTGGACTGTGGCTTCAGTAGTCTATTCAAAGCAGAACTCTAGTAGCAGCCATCTTGAAACGTAACGCTTATCTAGATTGGCCTATTTATAATTGTGCAATATTTTTTATGAGAAAAGATTTAATTTCCAGTGCTGTTAATCTAGCACTTTTCATCAAATCTAAACAAACTGATACTTGGGATGCAATCTAGTCTGTACACAAAAAGCTGGAAGGTTTTGGATTACATTAACAAGAAGGTTAGAAGAGGTGAGAGAATGATCAACAGAATGGAAGGGCATAATGTAGTCATTACTGAGAATGCTAGAAGTAATAAAGATTTAGGATAATTTTTCAGCAAGGATGAACAAATCCAAAAAGGGCTCATTACCAATTATAATGTAGAAATGTTTTATCAATTCCTAAATTGTATTCTGAACTCATAAGGTACCTAGCTCAGTGGTTCTCAACCTGTTACATACTGAAACTCCTTGGCTCAGGTTGTCAAGGCAGAGCTCGGACCCTCCCCTCTCATTTAGTAATATGAGGACAGTGTGGTTGCAACCCCATTATACCTGGTCACAACCCCTCCCCCAGGCTGAGAACCAGCAGTCTTCTGACCCCTTCTCAGTGTTCCTCAAACCTAGAGGAAACCTCTCTAGGCACTGGATTGGAAATTAAATCTGAATTCCACACTGTCTTTGGCCTCTCTGCTAATACTGCCAACAAAGCTGCCAATTAGTGTGAACTGTTGTGGTGGTTTTTGTACTTCAACAACTTCACTGAGACTCATAAAGTTCATTTCTCATAAACTGCTGAATAGCTATCATATGGTAGCAAGTTCTGGTCACTATTGAATTGACCCAGATTTGAATCTGATCTAACCAAGGCAGGCCCTAAATCTCACAAACTATCTAGTTTCTAATCTTTTGTATTCTTTTGAAACAAAACCAGGAGGATGCTGGATTCATAAAGGACATTGGGAAATTCCAGTAGACAAGACAATTCTTAGTACTGTAGCATAGTAATATGGCATCAAGCTACTCAACAGAACATATTTATTTTGAGCCAGATAGGAGTCCCTTTCACTTTCCAAGAAGGCCCTTAATAGAAGACCCCATAAAAACTTATCAGAAATAGTTAAGAAAAAGCTAGCTGCAAAGGAGAACCAAGAAAGTAGCATCTTAGAACTCACATGGTCTTCCATGAAACTATGTTTTAATACCTGACAGGACAGCAACAAATACCATGTTTTTGTATTTTCTTCCCAAAACGAGGAATAAGAAAAAGTGAATTAGTAACCTTATACTTCTAATTTAGTGTCCCTTTTTCTAAACAAGGGATTTTTTTTCCTTTTTCTATTTTACCTTTAAGAGTGGGTCAGCATGTTCCAGAAACCATCCTGCTATTGCATGGCCTGCCTCATGATACGCTACTGTCTTTTTCTCCTCGGGTTGCAGTACCTGCGTTTTCTTTTCCAAACCTTTACAAAGAACACATTAACTTACCAAAAGTTTCAGACACACCCTCTTCCACCAAAAACACTTTACATTCCATTTCCTATTGGCATCTCTTATGTATTGATAACATGCCTGTCACAACCATGTATGGAATATATTAAGTCAAGAGACCCGAAAAAGAGATGCAAGACTTTAAATTCCATATTCATCTTGAAGATAAAGAAATTAGTATTTTGCATGTTGTACTTTTATCAAAAAGGCTTCCTAATTTGGACATAATACTTCTTCAGTATATTCTGATGCACTATACTAAAACTTCCCTCTTTAAATCAAACACAATACCACTTTATTTTGAATGGCATCTTTCAAACTAAGTGGATCTCAAAATGCTTTTAAGTGATAAAGAGTTAGCTGTTCTTCCCCTCAGCTTAAGCAAATGAGAAAAGAAGTTTCCTGATGAGATTTGTAATGGAATGGAGAATTAGTGAGGCAGAGGAACATTTTAATATGTGATGCCAATTTTTAAAATCTTAAGATACAACATTAACCAGTTAGTGCAAAACTAAAGACTTATTCTTCAAAATATCTGAAATAGATCTAAACTACAGCATTTAAATAGAAACCTTCTGCTACACTTTTCCCTTGTTGACCAATGATCCATTCTATTCTCTCACCTCCTATTACTCGTTCAATCGCTTGCTCAAAGTGCTTTTGGTTTATGGCATCTGAAAGGTGTCTTGCAGCGATCAAAGCAGCTTCATTACAAACATTAGCTATGTCAGCACCTAAAAACCAAGGCAGAGGATATTCATCAGTGTCATTTCCAACTACTGATTTCTCTTAGCACTAACAGGATGACAACAGTCTGGTGCTTGGCTAAGTGACGGAAGCATCCCAATAAAACAAATGTCACAACAAAGCCTGAGAGAATGGTTGTAATTGCTAGAGAAAAATCTGTTTGTAACAGTGACTCAAATTAAGTAATGTTAAAGAACTAGAGCTCCAGTTAATATATTATGCTGTATAAATACATTCAGTAAGATTAATGGGCCTAATTCTTTAAATCAATTATTAAAAGGAATGTATTGTTTGTGAAGTACTCAATTGTAAGTCCTACATCCTAAAGTCTGCTATCTAGCCATAGACTAGGTACAGAATGGGTAGCAACAGTGAAGGCTTCCCCTATATGGACCCAGTGCATCTCAAACCTTGCTTTGGAATGATTTCTGGTAAGAACAAAACAGCAGCTCTGGCTTCAAGCCATTGAATCATTGGTATGTCTACAAAGACTCCATAGAATGACACCAACTGAGGACAACTATGGTGGTGGTATAGTGTTGTAGACAAATACAGCAACATAGAGACAGACAAAGTTTTATATAGACCACCACTGTCAGATGGCAACAACCTTTGGTCAATACAGACCTGGGCTGGATGAGAACAGAGATTAAAATTTCCATAACCCATTACTGGGAAGCATGTCTCACTATCTGAGAAAAAGTCATGACAACATTTGATTATAACAGCTTTCTGCTGGGGTAGAAAATAAAAATGCATTATAAAACACATTACAAAATAAAAAACATGGGCTTTTTCCCCAGTAACATTTAGAGTCAGAAAAGGAACATCAAAAGTAATGTATTTAAAAAAATAAATAAAAATAAATCAGTTTCAGTAGTAGTGAGAATGAGGTGCCTTTTGGTGAAGGGAGGAGGGAACTGCCATTTGGATCTGTCACAATGATGGAACAGAGGAAGAATTTCATACTGTACCTAAAAATTATTAGCCATTCAGAAAAGTAAAGATGTAGGAGGTTGGGGAAGGAAAGGAAACAGTATTTGCAGTCCCAATAGCTGGTACAGCTGATATAATGAGTATATTTAGAGCAAGTACAGCTTTAGAATTCACTTACCTGAAAACCCGGGAGTTAGTGATGCAAGTTTTCTTGCCAGGTTATCTTTATCTATGATGCTTTCTAGTTTCAGAGGCCTGAGGTGAACTTTGAAAATAGATGCTCTTCCCTTTATATCTGGAGGTCCTTTAAGGGTTTAAAAAGAAAGATTTTTACTTAATACATAATAAACATATGTCTTCCTATTAAAAAAGCAAACACTTAGGCATGGGAATAGTTCTGATGATTTGTGGGAATACTTATGTGCCCAAGTGATTGTAGGAACACACTCATATAGGCTAAGATGTAGATAATCTTACCAATGTAGATCTGTCTATCAAAGCGCCCTGGCCTCATTAGTGCAGGATCTAAGATATCTGGTCTATTGGTGCCTGCCAAAATGACTACATTTGTGGTAGTGTTAAATCCTGTCCAAAAAAATAAAGAACAATGAAGTGGGTAAACAATATTTAATACCATTGATTAACAAATAAAAAAAGATCTGATGCAGCAGAAAGTAGTTTAGACTGTCCACTTTACAGAATTACTGCATCTCTGTGAGCCAAAAAGACTCAGTGCATTAGAAAGAAGCACTTTTTAAAACTAACCACTATACCAGCGGTTCTCAAACTGGGTTCCACAGACTCTTGGGGGGGCCAAGAGGGTACTCCAGGGGGTCCGCAAGTCATGACCAGGGCCACCGGCCCCACTGATCAACTCCTCCCCCTCCCTCCCAGCACCTCCTGCATGCCACGGAACAGCTGTTCCACAGGGTGCAGGAGGCGCTGGGAGGGAGGGGGAGGAGCAGGGACAGGGCGCACTTGGGGAAGGGGGCAAAAAGAGGCAGGGAAGAGGAAGCGCAGGGATGGAGCGGGGGCAGGAAGAGGGGGGGCAGGGTGTGGCCTTGGGAGAAGGGCTGGAATGGGGGCAGGGCCTGGGGCTGAGCAAGGGTTGATCACCCCCTGGGGAAAATCAGAAGCTGGCTTGAGGGTCTGCAAAAAAATTTAAATCAAAGTGGGGGTTCTCAGGTTGCTAAAGTTTGAGAACCACTTCACTATACAGTAATCCACTCAAGCTCTAAGGTAGTGATACTGCAAATACCTTAGAAACTCATCAGGATACATGGTGGAAAATGTCTGGATTTTCACAAACTTGTAAAAAAAAAAAAAAGGGGGGGGGGAGGGGTTTGGGCAAGTCACTGTATTAAGATATAGTTTATCCTACATATTTGATAGTGAATATAGTGCTAATGAAATTGTGGGTTTAGTAACATTAGCTAGAGATGGACTAGTCTTGAGCAAAGACTTTTCCACACAAATCTGCCAAGGAAACACACCTCAAGTGCAGAATCTCTGCTCTTCTGTTTCCTGAACACTTTTAAGTTAAGACCTCAATGTGTGCCAAACCGAGTGCTCTTTCTTTAATTTAAATAAATGGGGAAAAGCACGTCATTATATTCATTTTACTTATAGTTAACCAGGATCTTAGCTAAGATTTATAGATGTAAACAGCTAATGCATTTTTTCATTTTCTCTTTCTTCTGCACCCACATCTATAAAAAATTTATAATTTTGTCCATGAACAATATTATCTCATTCCATTACAAAATAATCAAGATACAGCCGTGTCTTACTCTTAGAACCCACTATTAGAAACTAAGTAGTTACCATCCATTTCTACTAGAAGTTGGTTGAGTGTGTTTTCTTGTTCACTTTGCCCTCCAAAGTTTCCCCGTCCTCTCTTCCTTCCTACTGCATCTATTTCGTCAATGAAGAGAATGCAGGGGGCGTTTTTACGGGCCAGAGCAAATAAATCGCGGACCTTAAAAAGAGAAGGCAATACCTCAGTTATTTTCAATCATCTAGTCACAAACAGACCCGAGATCAGTATCACATCATTGGCTTTTAAGATTCCAGCTAATCTCACTGTTAAATGTTCAAAACAAGAGCCTCTAGCCCAAATGGCAAGGAATGGAAGTCTACAATGAAACCACAATACTGCAAGACTCAAAGGCAGTAATGCAAGAGCAAACTTGTCTTTTCATACATTCTTAGGTTGTAGAGATTGTTTTAGGAAAACGTACCAGACCACAGAGTTACATTTTTAAATAAAAAGAAAAACAGCTGACTGTTGTACTTGCATAATTAAAGTGCTGTTCTATCCGAAACAGTAACTTTAACAATTTCATTGTGGGGTCCCAATTAACCTCTCAATGGATTCCAAATCAAAATATGTTTGGTTTACAAGTTGGACAACTGTCCAACCCATACAGAACTCACTGTAGGATAAAGACTATTTTTCTAAAGTTCAGTCCTACAAACTCAGACTGGAATCACTCAATACTCTATCACTAATAAGTAATAAAGGTTCTATAAGACAAGTTATGTCACTAGTGATACATTTAACATGCCCATTGCCTTCACTGGGTTTGCACAAGTGTCCCAACTGGATCATAATAAAGAAGAGAACAGACTCCAAGTCAACAATAGCTAGCAACTCACTTTTTTTCCCACTCAAGTAAACAGATCTTACTCTGAATAACCACAAAATAGATATGTCGAGAAAAGTGACACCAATTTTACATAGTTCTATGTGGTGCAGCATTTCTCTACTGCAGGCAAGTTAAATATGGTATGAGTTTTTTGTAATTAATAAAAAACACAAAAAGTTTCACAATCCAAAAAAATCACAGGTACTAGATGTATTTAGGACTACCGTGTGATATGTTCTTAGTCAGCTTTAGTTTATCATCTGCAGGTACAAGACACCAATGTGTTCAAGAGAGACATTAGGGCCACGATCATACTTAACCTGTAGCCATTTTAAAATATCATACCTATATTTCAGTCCCATCCTATCTGCATTACATTGGCTAGGAATTGGCCTAGAAGTTAGCAAATATAATGTGAAGCCACAGGAATTTTTTTCCCAAAGGTTGAAAATAATTGGGTTAGAGTTATATAGGTCATTTAAGAAGAAGAGATGTGATACGAAATGTTGAATGTCTACCTTTTTCTGGGTTCCCTCACTTGCAAACACCTTACTCCTACCTCTACCTTTCAATAGATTTCTCTCTTGGAAAACCTGTATGCAAGCTATACTTGAAGTTATGGTTTAATTAAGCAAAGGTATTAACTACCATATCCAATTGTAAAAGTTGTAGCCAATGAGGCAGAATGTCAGGCTTTTGGATGCTGTGTGGCCATATGGAGGTATTCTGCTGTCTCACCCTGGTAATCAGACCATGAGGGTCTCATTAGAGCCAAGTCAGCAAGAGAAAAAAAACAACCAAATGACGAAGGGCACTAACAGGGAAGAACAGAAAAGGAGAAGCCATGGGAATAAACCAATCCAAGAGAAAGCTTACACAAGGGTCTATGGAGAGATATTTGCCAATATAGTCCAGCTTCAGAGCTTTATTACTCAGGTTACTAAAACTGTAAAATAAAGGCATATCCCAAAAAGGCAAAAGGGGGTGGAATGAGAAATGAGTTTTGGACAAAACAATGGTCTGTTATACACAAAACTATGTTAACATTATGGTTGCAAAGTTAAGAAGTGCTAGAATTAAAGTTGAGTGCCATTGTGCATATATATTATAATATGGTTTTAAATTACATGATCAAATTTTTTTTCAGTGAACAGGATGAACCTGCTCTAGTGATGAATCAGGGTTGTTTTTATAAAGGAGTCTTGTCTGCAGGACCTCCACCTTGTTTGTTGAAGTTGACAGATTTGTAATGAGAAAGGATGGACTCATCATGTCCTGGAGAACTGGATTCTATCCCTGCCTCAGCCAGAGTTCCTGTGTGATGCTAAGAAAATCATTTAAACGAAACTTTTCCACAGGTGATCACTAATTGTTTTGTTCCTCATTCTCTACATGTCCAACATGAGACCCTAGGCCCGTTTGCAGAAGTGTTGAAACTGAAATCAACAGGAACTGTAATTGAATATATACAGTGTTATATACTGCTGAAGACTGAAAACTTAGGTCCTAATTGTCTCAAATTTGGCACCCCAAATTACTAGAAACTTGATTAACTCTGTGCCTCAGCCCCCTATCTAGAAAATGGGGATAATATCATTCCCCCTCCTCACAGGGGTTTTGTGAAGATTAATGTTGAGGCATTCTGATGCCGTTGGTAGGAGCACCATAGAAAAATTGATAAGGAAATTAAACTCTGTATTCAAAGCAGGGTTTGAATAGTATGCAGTAAATAAGGCCTGGGGCCAGATAGAACAACCAGGATACAATAATATACTGAACAGCTACTCATTAATCAAGCACCTTCCACACAGTGTAACGAAGGAGGCAGACATCCTGTGGAAAAAAAAATAATATGCGATCATGTAATTAAAGTTTATATTGTAATGCACATACACAAGGGGGCTGAATTAAGACTACACAGGTAACCTTAACTCTAGTGTTTCTTCACTTTGAGTGCCTGATGTAGCAACTTTAATAATGTTCTTTTAACAATTTTTTTTTTAAACCACAATTTCGTAGGATTTTAAAAAAGCAAACTGAAAATCAGAAATTCCATCATGTGGCCTCATACTGTCACTCACATGGGTCTTCAGCAGGGTTGGAACCTTTAGGTGCACAGCACAGACCTCTGCTACTTGAGCCAACAATAACTGTTAGCAGTGGTAAATTGTCATCCTTTATATGAACTAGCACTAGAGGAGGATGAAACCCTTTGTCAGCAGGTTTCACTTCATATTTTCTGATGAGAAGAATGGTGAGACTCTGAAATCTTAGGTTCCATTCCAGGTTCCAGAGGGACGTGCTCTCTAGCAGGAACAGACTTCTGCCCATTCCCCCAGTCTTCATCCCTCTTGCTCAGTCTCCTCCAAACTCTCTTTGTCTCAGTCCTGTGTCTTCCTCACTTCTGGCTCCTTGTCCTAATCCCATTATCCTTGTCCAACCAGATGCTGTTTTCATCCACACCTTCCCCCGCCCGCCACTTCCTGTATCCAGTGTCCTTGCTCAGTCAGTCCTGGTTCCCTCCTCCTGTCTCCTCATCCAGTCAGTGTCTTCCTTCCCCAGCACTAGCTCCCAGTCCCACTTTCCCTCAGCAAGCTCGTTGTACAATCTGCTTCTTTCCATCTTTCCCCCACTTTGTCCCAGTCTCTAAGCACAGACGTCCAAGTTGTCCCCACCCCATCCTAGCTCCTTATCCAAGTTGTGTCTCCTCTGCCCTGCCCCCATTCTTCTCACTGGTTCCTAGTTCCTTGTCCAGCCAGTCCCAATGTCTCCCCAACTCCAGATCCTGTATCAGTGTCATAGTCCCCTGCCAAACAAACTGGCTCTCAGTCTTCTCTACACCTCTTTTCTTTAATGGCTTCCAGTACCAGCCTCCTTCAACATGTGCCCCCTCATCCCAGTCCCCACGCTCAACCAGTCCCAGTCTACCATTCCAACTCAGTCCCCTGGCCCCAAGCTACTCCTTTCCCTCTTCTAGTCCTGCTTTTGTCCCCTCTCCAGTTCAATCAGGCAGCTTTCCTCTCCATGTTGCCTGGATGTTAGCAGGGGTCAGGGGTGTAACTGAGAAGACAGAGAAACAGGCTCCTTGCTCAGAGTTTTAGTGCCAGGCCCAGAGCAGCCATTACAGGGAAAGTCCTTCTGAGCCCCCGAAGCCCCGGGCCGGAGCATACTTCATCACTCTGTGGGGAACAGTACATATATCTTCTGCCTGTGACTGGAGCGTGTGGGGGGGACAGAGGATTCTCACTCACTGTGTGTGGATGGCACATGTGCAAATCTGGTCAGCACTAGCAGCTCAGAGAGAGGCTTAAACATGCTCAATATGTAGTGAATCTTCAGAGAATTTAGCTATTAAATCTCTACTGAGCTGAACTGCATTTTATTATTTTTTTTAAGGCTTATATATCTTGTCCAAATTCGGGTGCATTTTTCACCTGGACTACACAAAATGCACATTCCAGACTCATAGGCCATCTCTCCCTGCCAAATTTCATGTCTCTGCTCCAAAGAATGGGAGGATGCTAGGCATTTTTTTCCCCAAAAGAATCAGGAGAAATTTTTCACATGGGCAAAACAATGTATTCTTCCCTAGTCTTGAAATCAGAAATGGCTGAATGCTTTGGCAGAAGTTTTCCGTAAGAATTCAACCCAAGGCAATTCAACCCAGCATGACAAATTTCAGCCTAAATAATTAGAGCCTGATAAAGTTATAAGACACTGCTCTCAGTTGCTTATAATGGGAAGTGTTGAGCAACCTTAATATAGGTGGGGCTGGTAATTTTTTTTTAATCTACTGATACAAGAACATAAGCATGTATGGGTCAAAGCTATTGGTCTATGTTAAGATAATGGTCTTAATGCAGTTCTAGTGACCAGGTATCCACCTCACCCAAAAAACTCCTTAACACAAGAAGCACTTTTATCAGTAACACAGCTGCAAAATCATGTTAGGGATGAACAAGCTGTTATGTTACAGTTATGTCTGAAAGCTGTATTGAAAGTGCTCGAATCTCAGGGTTGGACATTGTCTAATGATGAGCCATACATTTAATTTTTAATCACAATTCATTGATTAGTTATGGATGTATGCAAAGCAGCATCTGAAACTGTAATGTTACTTTTTAACCTTCCGTTAATTTCAAACAGCTAAACAAGTTTAATACACGTAACTTTTGGAGTAAGTCTTTCTAGCTCATATTTCAGCTAGAAGCAAAATTTTTTATGACCCAAACAAGTTTCTGAACAAACAGACACTTAAAAAGGGCCCAGGGTCTCAGAGAAATGCTGACAAAAATTTAAAGAGGGAGGAGACATTGCCAAGGCTACAGTCACAATGTATATGCACATCAGAATAAAATTATGAGCGTTTAATACCAAGTTATGCAAACACAACAAAAGGTAAAGAGTAACAAACACAGGGTGGCCTGCAACTGGAGAATAACTGCACTGATTTCTTTTTTTTTTAAAGTAAGGTAACTTTGTGGCAATCATTTAAAGAGAAACACTTCACTTTATTAGTAGGATATTGAACAGATGACTAACTTAAGGTACATCAAACTTTTGGCCTACCAACCTTGACAGCGTCTTTTTAAGAACTGACGCTGCAACAACAGAGCAAGGCCAAAGACTTACTCTAGCAGGACCCACGCCGACAAACATCTCTAAGAACTCAGAGCCATTGACTGTAATGAAAGGAACATTAGCTTCTCCTGCTGTAGCTTTAGCTAGAAGTGTTTTCCCAGTGCCTGGAGGACCCGTCAGAATGGCCCCCTACAAAAAGGAGCATAATTAGCTTCTTTCAAAGGAAGTATATTTGTTATAACATTTCTATCAGAACATATTCTCCACTTAATGTTATGATAATTAATCAGTCCAATACAAGAGGTCTAGAATGAGGTGAAGAATTAAGTTTAGGAGGCTGTACGCCTGATTCCGATCTCACTGGAACTTATACTAGTGTTAAACCAGCATATGAGAGATTAAAACAAATGGCAATCTGATGCCTGATTTTGAAAACAGATTTAGTGCAAGTAGTAAATTCAAAGCACTTAAATATGGCAGGTGTAAGATGGGGTCTGGGTGAAAAAAATTAGGCAGCTTTACAACAATGGATTATATAAGATAGTCCGTAAATTCTCTCTCTCTCTCGTTCTCCAGTTTTGGCCAACATTAAATTGGAGTACGCCCCTCAGGACAGGAACAGTCTTGTAGCAATGCACACTGTTGGCTCTTAATACTGGCTTTTCTTCAGATACTTTGTCAGAAGACAAGAGTTGGAAAGCGCCATCTACTTTAAAGATTTCTACTCTGATTCAAAGTATCTAGAGAATAGCTTTGTAGTTGAAATAATTTTAAATGAGGAGAGGAAAAAAATTCACCAAGTGCTGTTTAAAATAAGTGTTACATCTCCCTCATCTTCTGCGCTATTGTTCCCTTACCTTCGGGATTTTTGCTCCTAGATCCTGATATTGCTTTGGGTTTTTCAGAAAGTTAACAAACTCCATTATTTCTAATTTGGCCTCTTCACAGCCAGCTACATCTTTGAACTTGACATCTATTTCATCCTTTAGGACCTTGGCTGTGGTTTCACCTACGCTGAAGAGTCCACCCATTCCTCGCCCTGTTCGACCCATGCCAGCGGGCCCTCGTCTTAATGTGTACAGTAAGAAGCCAACTATAAGGACTGTGGGCAGCATGCTCAGAAGAAACGAGCTGAGGAGAGAGGGGAAAAAATAATCACACATTAGTAGAGAGTCACTACTGTATATTACAATGCATAAAAAAGTTAATTACCATTATAGATCTTGGAGGTTATTCATCAGAGTTTATGTTCTAGTAATCTGTAGACTTAAGTTAAAGGCAATACATAACGATGTTAAGGGGAAATATGGGAACAGATACTAAACTAGAGAAACCATAAACAGACTCTATAGAGCCTCCTTTTTTGTGATCATGATCACAAAGAATCAACATTTAAAGATGTGGACTGAAATGTATTTGAATTAAAACCCTTAAAAAAAAAAACATCAGACAACTGTCAAACGGCATTTAAACAGTGAAATACCCCTATGTATCTATTAGTGACAAGTGACAGAACTGGAAACTGAAGTCATCTCCTTATCCTTGTAACAAGCTCAATGGGAAATGACAGTATGCCTCAATATTTTATCAGAAGACCACCTAGAAGAGAGAAGCAGCTCAGTTTCCATGCCCATTGAAACTCTCTCTGCTAATGAGGCTGTCAGTTATGATCAACAGTCCTAAGACAACAGCTCCCAACCTTTATGCTGGAATTCCTCTTACAGGCACAGTTTTCCCCTTAATCCCCCTCCCCCTCATTTTGCCTAATGCTGCTTTTTGCTATTGCTGTTACTTCACTCTGTTTACTCCTCCTTTCTTCCTTCCTCATTCAGTCCCAGTATATCCCTTCCCCATACCCATGGTCCCCATAATCTGACACACCCCTTCCACCATCACTGCTCATTCTGTCCCAGCACAGCTCTCTGCAAGCTAGTTACCTCTGTTACTTAGACATCCCCATTTCCATAGTATCCTAACAATCTTTAATGCATTTATCTTCACAGTATCCCTGGGAAGTACTATTATTTCCATTTCACTAATGAGGATTGAGGCACAGAGACATATAAAACCTTGTCTTAACTACTAAGAGAAGTGTATTTTTACCTCAGGGTAACTAATATATATGAGCTATCCCCACTGAAAACACAGTGAAGACAATGCACTGAATTTTACTGTGAGATTAGTTAGGCAAAGTTAACCTCAGGCAGGGATATAGTGCTGACTTTGTGGTAAAATAAAAGTGTCTTGTCTTCACAGAATTTTTACCTGGGAATAGCTCATGCACTAGTTACCCCAATGTTTAAAAAAAAAAAAAAGCATCATTTTAGCAATGAAGACAAGGCTTAAGTGACTTGGCTCAAAGTCACACAGGCAGTCTGTGGGGAATCAGCGAATTGAACTCAGGGCTCCGAGTCCAGGCTAAACACTGGACCATCTTTCCTGCTGCCATAGAGAAAACAAGGAACACAGCGTATCACTACCTAGTACAGAGGGAGAAAAAAATATGCATACCCAGATGGTGGCAACAGTGACAGACACTGAAAGAACATGCATATATGGAGAAGCAGCAGCCAAGTGCCTGGGAGCAGTGACCCATCTGCTACCTACAGCTTCTCAAGAGGCCAGAACCGGTTCATTTCTCCTCAAGGAGTCAAGAAGCCCCTGGGAGTAGCATACCCCACGAGATGTAATTCCTGACAGGCCAAACTAATTTTACGGAGCTCAACAGCAGTCATTCTTTCAATAACTGCTCACCTGGACCAGAATGAAACCAAATTTCTGAGGTAAAAATCCCTATTTCCCTATATACCTGAGCCATTCAGAGCCCAGGACACACACCCTTAACAAGAGGGGCAGTTGGGGTCTGTGCTGAAGACTGCTCAGAAAAATGAAGATACCAAAGATAAATGCAAAGAATATAATTTCTGTTTTGGAGCCTCTACTCTTTATTTGGGTAACACAAGTGCTGCAAACATAAATTAAGTTTGCCTATTTAAGGGGATAAGTGGGGTCAGCTGCAGATGCACAGAAAAAGATACATATTATCTAATGAGAAGCTAAGCTTGGGAAAATTTACATGAGATGAAGATTTTGAATAAAGATAAGTAATTCATTGTCATATGTACAGCATATTAAACACACAAAGGTCAAAGCAGAAGTGAGCTTTTCATAATACTGCCATCTAGTGTGCCATGATATGAATACAGGACATCCCCATTATTCCACTGGGAAAGAAAAAGTTTATCAACATATCTAGTTTAAACAGCTTCTTACCCATCACTTTCTGCTGAGTAGACAACAGGTAATCTGTTCTCCCCTTCTATTCCGAACTCTTGCTGTGCAGTTTCCAGATTCCGCTCAAAAGTGTCCACACTACCAATATTAAACCAGACATATTGCTATAAAAAAACAAAATTATGATCACAAGAGGAATAATTTGTTTCAACCTCATCACAATCCATCTAAAGATTAAAAACAGACACAAAAATCAGTGGCCTAATCTCAGACTAAAGGACTGATTCACTGTTTCAGAACTGAAATATTTACTTTAGTTTACAAAATTGTAATTTATATTTACTGCAGAATAGAATGACTTTAGATTTAGTAGGTACATTTATGGAAACTCATATATCATCCAAATTGTTACTGGAGGACCATTACTTAGGCTTGACTTTGATCATTACAATCACAGAAGTCATATATGCCAGGATTTTCATGAACTTTAAACAGGCTTAAATTCTGACTTTTTTTTTTTTTTAACTTTTTAATGAGAGGGTGAATTCAATGAGCTGACTAGAACAGACATTAAAATCTTCAAAGGGAAATCAAGGGCTGCCTATGAGGCAGAGAGAGAACGCAACAGCCCAGCAAATATACAATGGCCACTTGGTCTTAGTAAAGACTATTTCACCTGAAGAGGAAGGAGGCTCCTCACTCTCAGGTTTGAAAAGAAAAAAGTTTTCTTCATACATTTTGTGAAATGAAGTGAGCTGTGGCTCACGAAAGCTCATGCTCAAATAAATTGGTTAGTCTCTAAGGTGCCACAAGTACTCCTTTTCTTTTTAAGTTACAAAAGTTGGCTTGCTATGGCACCTCAATTATTCACTTTTAATCACAATGCTTAACAGTTAGTGCACGGTTTTTGTTAAACACACCACACTCAGATTTTAAACAACACTGAGACCAGATTTTTTACTTTAAGAAACATGTTTCTAGGATTTGTCTTTTTTTTACCATGACTAGCCCTGAAAACCTGCTATTGCATAAAATTGTAACTCTAACCATTAACTGGTTGAGAAACCAAGGCCAATCATGGTTTATAGGTTAAAGAGTAAGTGTACAAACTATGTGAGCAGTAAATCACATTAGCTTCACTGATGAAATAACTGTTGCACATTTCATTTTACACTGGAGGGATGTCCAGACTTTGGTTCAGCAAAAGCTGATAGTCTGGAAAAGAAGCTTCTTGGTTACAGTCTAAAAATAGAAGTGACAACCATATAACGTTTTAAGAATATGTAATCATGTTTTAGGGATATGACCAGTGGTAAAGTCATCCAGCTTGCTAAACATTAAGCATGTCTGAAATGATCAGTACTGTCGTCCAAACCCAAACATTTCAATAGTTATCAACATTCCCCCTAAGTTTTCTTTCTGCTGCATGGGCCACAAACTCCACTGAGCACTGGATTTTAGTCTTTGGGCAAACTTACGTCAAAAAAAAAAAAAAGTCTTATTGGGGTGTTGGGGTGGCTACTCTGAATGGGAATGGGGAGTTGAGTGTCAGGGTGGAGGGAGCAGAGGAATAGGGGTGTAAGAGGAGTGGGGCATGTGTGGGTGGGTGTTGCAAATGAGGAGCAGAGTGAAATGAGGCTGCAGGGGAGGTCAGGGTGTCAGGGATAGGAAGTGGAGTCAGGGCGGGTGCTCCATATAAGGAGTGGGGGACAGTCCGGGTGTCAGGGATAAGAGGGAGAGCAGGGTGGGTGCTCTAAATTGGGACAGAGGGGAGCAGCTGAGTCTCAATGGTGGTGGTGGTGGAGGAAACAGCCCAGTCAGTCCCAGGCTGGAAATGGGTATCGGCAGTTTGCATCTCTCTCGCAAGGGTAGCTGTTCTTAGCCCTCACCCAATCACCCCATATCCTACTTGCTCCCCCACCGATCCCAATCACCGCTGCAGCCACTACAGCCCCTCCAGGTCACATTCTCGCCTCTGCCCCCATGAGCCAAAAAGCCCCTGCAGCACCCGCCCCAGAGAAATAGGCAGTTGTGAGTGGCAGTTTGTGACATGAGTGGTACATGGAAAATTGTTGGTCCACTCCCACAAGTGTATGTAGTTTACAGGGAATAGTGATAGTTATTAGCACTAACTTTTTTTTTTTTTTTTTTAAAAGTTTAGGGCTTGTTTTTGGGTACTTCACTTTTTGGAGCACTTTAGCCAGGACTTATGCTTTCATCCTCTCCAGGTTACAGGGAAATGGTTCCAAAGGAGAACCAGGAAGTGTTTTACTAACCTAAGAGCTATGTTTCTTAAGACAATGGAAGAGTTAAAATCCAGATCATCTCTTCAGTTTTCACTTAGCTAGTGAAGCTTGGAAAATCATGAAGATTCCATTTTTTTTGGTAGGGGCAGTCAAGTGAGTTTATGGATAAATGCATGTACTACTAAAGGATTTTCAATACTAGATGGTGCAGTATGTTGTGGACTATTTACAGTAGGAAACTACTAGCTGCTGAAACACAGATTTCTGAAGGCTCCGCACGTGGACTAAGACAGTAGGCATGGGAAGGAAAGAACAACTACAAAACAATTTTTAAATTAGTTTTGAATTGTGCCTTGCTTTCAGCTACTTATAGGGGTAGAGCATGGATAAACAGAAGCAGGAGAGACAGGAAAACAAAATAGTCAGAACATTAAAGGTAATCCTACGAAAGTTAAAATAGGAGAGAATGGTAATAGACAGACCAAGTTTTCTGCAGCAACAATTTTGTATTTGAAGTGAAGAGTTCTGCTGCCTTCTGTAATACATTTATCCATATTCAAAACTAAAATTTACCCCCTCCATAGGAGACTTTCCTGGGGTAAAGACCACTCTAACAAAGCGCTTGTTCACTACTTCTAGTCTGTCCACCTGCAAGATAAAGAAAAACATTTTTAGAATGCACTACAGATAATTTTACAGAAACATTTTAAAATGCATCCCAGATTCACCGCTGGTGTAATAGTGTGTAATTCTAATCTTCCTTTTAATGTACAGAAGCAGAAAAATTAAGATTGAGATTTTATAGTTGAGAAGCTACAGTTAATACTGAGATGGCCATTCTGTCAAAAATAACTTTCAGTCACTTAGGCCATGTCTACACCACATCCTTTACAGCAGGACAGCTGTGCCAATGCACAGGAAAACACTTCTCTTCATGAAACAAAACACTCCATGAGTCCTCCATTCTAGTGGGCAACCGATTTGCATTCAGGTGGGAATACACATATCTAATTACATTTATTTCAGTAACTGGACGTGCAAATAAAGAGCGAGAGCCCAATTTTCAAATATAATAATCTAAACGGGGTGCCCAAATCTCATATTTTGACAGTCAGCTACATAAGTGTCAATAAATGATCAACAGCGAAGACTACTGCATTAGAAAGGAGGACTGGATGACCTAATAGGCTTTTTTAATCACAGAAGAGGTCTAAATGAAATTATTATAAGGTATGTGCAAAAGTGGTTGAAAGGCTGTATTCAATGAGTAGTCATCAACAGTTCACAGTCAAGCTGGAGATGAGGGAGGGGGCACACATCTTGTGGGATCCCCTAGGATTAAAATTCAAAATGACCTTGACAAATCAGAGAACTGGTCTGAAATCAACAAGATACAATTTAATAAAGACAATGGCAAAGTACTACACTTAGGAAGGAAAAAAACCCTCAAATGCACAACTACAAAATGGGTAATAACTGGCTAGGCAGCACTACTGCTGAAAAGGATCTGGGGGCTACAGGGGATCACAAATTGAATATCAGTCAACAGTGTGATGCAGTTGCAAAAAAGGCTAATACCATTCTGGGGTGTATTAACAGGAGTGTTGCATGTAAGATACAGGAGACAATTGTCCCACTCTTCTCAGCACTGGTGACACCTCAGCCAGAATATTGTGTCCAGTTCTGGGTGACACACTTTAAGAAAGATATGGACAAACTGGGGAGAATCCAGAAGAGAGCAACAAAAATGACAAAAGGTCTTTAAAAAAAAAAAAAAACAAAAAAACACCCAACCAACATACCTATGAGAAAAAGTTGAAAAACTGGTCATATTTAGTCTTGAGAACAGAAGACTAAGGGGGCACGAGATAAGTTAAGGACTGTCCTAAAAAGGACGGTGATCGATTATTCTCTATGTCCACTGAAGACAGGACAAGTAGTAATCTGCAGCAAGGGAGATTTAGGTTAGATATTAGGAAAACCTATCTTAAAGGATAGTTAAGCACTGGAATAGGCTTCCAAGAAAAGTTGTGGAATCCCCATTATTAGAGGTTAAGAACAGGTTAGAGAAACACCTTTCAGGGATGGTGTAGGTGTACTTCGTCCTGCCCCATAAAAGGGGCTGGACTTGATGACCTCTTGAGGTCCGTTCCAGCCCTACACTTCTATGAGATGTCAATATGAGTATCCAAATACAAGATTAAGACATCCTATTGGAGCATCTTAGTTTGAAAATTAGGCTCAAAACATGATGAAGTATTCAGCTGTATAGATTCAAGAACACAGAAATAATTATGTCATTGCATAACTATTGAAACAATGGCTTGTGCATCAAACATGCATACACTTGTAGGAACTCACAAAATAATCAGGTAGGTTTCTACTCCCACACTCAAAATGAAATTAAATCCAAAAAGCTGCAAAGCACATCAGTACAACAGTAAGGTTGAAAGTTTCAAACAAACAAGTTTGGAAGCTCAAAAATTAAGTTACAACAATCTTAATTCTACCACATTACAGAAAACATATAAAGCCACCTATTTAAACTGTATAAGCAATCATCCAATACACAACATACACACAACCTAGCCATATTAACATCGCAATAGGAACTATAAAAAACACACCAGAAAGCTGAAATCCAGTCAATTAAAAGTAATGCCTGGCCTTGAATCCCAATATGTCTTTTTCCAATCATTTCCCTTAAAAAACACCTCTTCTGTTGTTGTCGTGTAAGAACCCCACACAAATAAGGGGAAAATAACTGACTATACCGAGGAAACATTGAAATTGACTAAACCCAAAGTGATGTCAAATACACCAGGTAAAAAAACCTCAAAGACTAGCAGACAGGCTCTGGCAGATATCACAAACTATTTTTAATGTTTTTAAAATGGACTAGATTTCAAATGGATGGTTTTCCTTACACCTGACAGTGTCTTTAAAGATCAATTTAAACTAAATAAGGGAAACTTAAAGTAGATAAATCTGAACTATTTTAACATTTATTCCATTTCTTGGTCTCCCTCCCTAAAACAACTTATTTTAGTGTATTTGAAGCCACTATAAAAAGGAATGGGGGAGAGGGGAAATTCCTTGTATTTGAACAATGTCTGCACATTTAATCTAGCCGAATGTTAGGCTTTCATTTTACAGAAGCCCAAGAGATTGTTCTCTTGGTCTGGTGCAATAAAACTTTCAAAATGCTTTTCTGAAATGAGGGCTCTGATTTGATTCAGTGTAACAGCCAAGTGCCCCTTTCAACTGAATTAAGACGGTCTTATTGGTAGCTTGGCAGGATTCAATTTAAATCAGTAGATGTTGGTAGTGTCAGTTTCAGCTGACACTGAAATAGATGAAAAAAATCCATCAGTAACTGTCAGCGCAAGTGCAGCCTCCTGCATACCTTACACAGGTGTCTCAGTCATGCAGGGAGCCTCCTGCAACACCATGGTCAGCACTGCCCTAACCCCAACCTTAGTCTTCCTGTAACTTCAAGTTTTTTTTTCTTAAAAGTAGAAATAGATATCAATTGTCAAACTTACAAAACAGTAAGAGTTAAATTCTGCCAAGCCTATTTATTAGTTACCTTTGTTAGTATGTTTCAGAGCCCTGGTCTACACTACGAGTTTAGGTTGAATTTAGCAGTGTTATGTCGATTTAATCCTGGTCAGAGCCCCTTTTACATGCTGCTTCTATGATGAGCTGTATGCAATTCTAGGGGGGGCCCCTACCACTACCCCACCACTGTCCGTGGACACCTGCAAGGGGGGAGTCTCACGCAACAGGGATGAGGAAGATGAGGAGGAGGAGGTGGTTGAGGATAGCGCACAGCAGGCAAGCGGAGAATCCCTTCTCCCCAGCAGCCAGGAACTGTTCATCACCCTGGAGCCAATACTCTCCCAAGGCGGACTCCCGGACCATGAAGCTGGAGAAGGCACCTCTGGCGAGTGTACCTTTGTAAATATAATACAGGGTTTAAAAGCAAGCATGTTTAATGATTAATTTGCCTTGAAGGCTTGGGATGCATTTGCGGCCAGTATAGCTACTGGAAAAGTCTGTTAACGTGTCAGGGGATGCAGCAGAAATCCTCCAGGGACATCCCCATGAAGTTCTCCTGGAGGTACTCTAAAAGCCTTTGTCATGCAGTGGGGGGAGGCCCGTTCGTGCCAAGCTGTTCGTGTTTGGCTGAGAGGGATCTTTCCTGATACTTGGATCACAGCAGCCCCCACAATAAATTTACCCACTCCCAATTGATTCCCAACTGACTGGTAGCTGTCTGGCATTGCAAGCTTCCAGAGGGCTATCGCCACTTGCTTGTGAACTGTGAGGGCTGCTCTCATCTTGGTATTCTGGTGCTTCAGGGCAGGGGAAAGCAAATCACAAAGTTCCATGAAAATGCCCTTACGTATGCGAAAGTTTTGCAGCCACTGGGAATCATCCCAGACCTGCAACACTATGCAGTCCCACTAGTCTGTGCTTGTTTCCCGGGCCCAGAATTAGCATTCCACGGTATGAACCTGCCCCATTAGCACCATGATGTCCAAATTGCCAGGGCCCGTGCTTTGAGAGAAGTCTGTGTCCATGTCCTCATAACTATTGTGATCGTGCTGTCGTCGCCTCCTTGCCTGCTTTTTTCAGGTTCTGCACATACTGCAGGAAAATGCGCAAGGTGTTTACAATGCTCACAACAGCAGTGGTGAGCTGAGCAGGCTCCATGCTTGCCGTGGTATGGCGTCTGCAGGAGAGCAGAGTTGCAGTAGAAGCAGTGGATGATGACGGATGCCACGAGAATAGATATTTATACAGAACGATGGGAGGACCTGTAAAGTGGATTCATGGCACCAGGAGAACAGAGTTGCAGCGGAAGCGGTGGATGACTGTTAACAATCCTACTGCACCATCTGCTGACAGCAGTATGGCGTCTGCACGGAAAAAAGGTGCGAAACGATTGTCTGCCGTTGTTTTCACGGACGGAGGGGCGACTGACGACGTACCCAAAACCACCCATTACAATGTTTTTGCCCCATCAGGCATTGGGAGCTCAACCCTGAATTCCAATGGGCAGCGGAAACTGTGGGATAGCTACCCACAGTGCAATGCTCCGAATGTTGACGCTTGCCACGGTACTATGGATGCACTCTGCCGACTTAATGCGCTTAGTGGGGACACACACAATCAACTGTATAAAATTCCTAATAATAGACTTCTATAAATTCGACCTAATTTCGGAGTGTAGACATACCCAGAGTATTTTTGTGCAGAAGTCACGCCAATGCTGTTGCCCAATCTAGCCATCTCTCATTTTATGATTCCCCATACCTATTACTCACCATTCCTTTAGAAAGGTAATTATTGACAAAATCTTTCCAAGTGATTTCTCTGCCAGAGTTCCTGAAGAAAAAGTAATACGTAACAGTAGCCCAGAAAATAGAAGTGCTCATGAAGTAAAACCGGAACTCTTTGTCATCCCATGGAAAGTCACCCTAGGACACGGAAAGAAGAAAAACAAAATAATTTTTTTTGTCTCTCTAGAACAGAAGTGTAAGGTAAAAGAACAGATGTCACTTGTGCATTTTCTGTTTGCTCCCAAAGTTAAACAAGGAGGGCATCAAGCTAAACTGAACTAAATTTGCCAAAATATAGTACTTTTTATATTCAAAAGACAAGACAATGTCATTTCCACAGCAATACCTTTCTCAGAGGATCTTAAAAGTGCTTTATAAACAGTAATAGGATGCAGTCAACTTGGAAGCTAACTAATTAAAGAGTTTTCAGATATTGACTCCTGTCCCAAGTCCTCCTGACAACTTTTGTGGTTTTGCAATCATTTTCCCCCACCCCTTTTTTTTAAAACCTCTCTCTTTCCATCATTGCTGTGTACAAGACCCACACAAACAAAAGGGGAAATTGATCGACCTATACAGGAGAAAGAAGCTGTGACTATACACAAAGTGCTGTCAGACAGAATAAAGAAACCGAAAAGAGAAATATTATTTCTACCCTGAATTATTGCAATCCTTGGTGTTACATTTAATGGAGTCAAAAAATTCCAGAAAAGCTATGTTTATGGCAACTGGATTTCTAGGGCCAAAATGACTCGTGTTACTGACATTCATTAAATGTACCAAAACTTTATGAAAACTATTATCAATTTGGTCTATAGATCCTTACAGTGCCTCTAAAAAAAAACCAAAATAGTATCAGTCTCCCCTGACAATAAGAAGTTTTTAAAGCCAACGATATACCCTCAAAGCTTCACTATAAATATACTAAGCACTTCTTCCATACAGTCAAATCATATTCTTTCATTGGTTCACCACAAATTGTTTATACAAGGTAAGCCGGTGTCACAAAACATATTTTAGAGTGAAGACCTTCTGTAATCTGGCCCACCATCCAGTGTCTTCTTTCTTGCCACCTCTCTTTCCACCACCTCCTCCCCCTCCACTGTTACTCCCAGGAGGTCGCTGGGCATTAGTCTGCTTTGCTTCTACAAAAAAAAAAAAAAAAAAAGACACACATTAACAACATTTTAAAGTCCTACAGAAATCTCAGACTAACACAAGGATCTTCTGTTTATACTATAATTAAATAAAAGCTTTGCTGAAGAACAAAACTAACCCGAAATCCACAATAGTTTACAAATGCAAAGCACCTCAGAAATCAATTAGAAAATATGATCTGCTGAAGAATAACATTTTTCTCTGTTTTCCCCCTCAAACAGTCATGTAGTCCACTCCTTAATCAACAGATGGCCACATCACATGACCATGATCAAAGCAGAGTACCGCTATCTGTATTCCACTAATCTTGGAAGTTAAGAACTAAATATGCCATTCCCTAGATTTGGTCCTTCCAGAACATGAAGGAGGTGTACTGGCTGGGCAATGTGTGGAAGATTATACTAACTCTGTCCCCATTTTGCAAAAAAAATGGAGGACTTGTCCAGGGCTGTCAATCTGGGGCCCATTACCAGCATTAAGTATCATCTGACTAAAACTCCCTTGGATATCTAGGCCTATAGATCATTGCTTACTTCTTTCAATGTTCAGGAAGTGTTTACAACAGAATCTGGAGTCTGGTTTGACATCCTAGTTGTAAGACAATGCAAACGAATACAGAGATAAGAGTTCATGATCTCTGAACTGTGCCTCTGTGACTGCTGGTCACCCTCCTCACAACAGGCTCTGCAGGATTACTGCCTATCTTCTTGTAATCAGACCCTTAATACATCCAATACCAAATGGTTGCTATGGCCAATGGTTGCCACACCTGAGCAAGGGACTCTATGGGACTGACACTGCCAGCCTCTTCTTCAAGCTATACCCTTCACAGAGCTACTGCTTGGGGCCTGGCCCTTTGAACAGTGTTTCTGTGGTTGCTTCCTGCACAAGGAGCAGATGTTTTAACTTGCTCTGGGAAAGGCTCAGAGATCTACATATGTACATCACGTGATTATGTCCATTAAATGGGCACTGAACATGCATCCTAGAATACCAGACTGGGAGGGGCATAAGGGGAAGCAAAAACTGACTCCAAAGCCTACATGCCATATGGAACTGAAAAGATTTTAATGTAGTCTGCAGTTCAGAGTCAATGTGGAGCATGGTTTCTACAAACATCTAATATGATAATATCAGTCACATAGTAATAGAAATAATATGTATCCTAAAGCAAAGCTTGAATTGGGAACAGCCTATTAGTACCTTTTGTTTCTCCAGCTGATCCTTTGGATTCATTAGTTTTCTTTCCATTAGGAAAATACTTTTCAAATCCTATTAAGAGAACACATTAAAAGAGCTGATATATTTCTAGCTACTAGTACTTTTATGAAGATTAGTGAGGGTACCCAAATATAATAAGCATAAGAATTATGTACTTATCACCCTGCATCATATAAGTTATTAGCATCATATCAGTGGTGACTCTTTCCGCAAGACTGAAGAACTCATAATATTCAGCAGAAAAGATCTGGTTTATTTAGATTGAAGATATTTACTTGTAAAAGAAAAATAAGTAGTTTTTATGCTCTTATTAAATTAATATTGAGCCAAAGTCTAATTGCCCTTCAAGTCAAGGAAAGAAAGGGTTTTTAATAAGGTACTGAAAAAAAGAAAGACCTAGAAAATGAGTTGGACAAGAATCTTGCCTTTTAACTACCAACCCTTTTTCATTACTAACCCTCCAAGTAGTGGACGGGGGAAAAATTGAGGGATGTAGTGAAAAAACTAGCCAAAGATTCACCAACAACATGAACATGTCCTTCTTCCTATCTATCAAGCACCACTTATGTATTAAGCAATATTTAAATAACTGCACTATCAATGTCTAAATTAGATTATACATACCATATATTTGATAAATCTTTGTGTATAAAGATCCCAACTCATGCAGGTAGAAAAATAAGCATTTATAGCACTATTTTATTAACAATTCATCAGAACTTTCTAGTCCATACACAAAGTTATAAACCAGGGATACGCAAATTCTGCTTAACGGAGCGATGAGCTGGCCACTTGTCAGGAACCTGAAGACCAGTTTAAATTGTGTAAGATGGAGCAAACTGCAGTTACTCATCTTTAACAGGAGGTGCAGTCTGCTGATCCTAGCATGCAATGCTCCATCTTGTGATCAGTGGCCATTTAATGCTGGAACCCGTTGTCTCTGAGAACAATAGGGCCAAATGAAACATCAGAGTGATACTCATTATAGGACTCAATGAGTTCCACTTCACTCACAACTGCGAAGTTATAATTACCTTTAGGAGGTTGGGAGAAGAGTCTTCTGTAAGCAGCAATTACACTTGCCAAGACAGTACTTTTGTTTGTAGTCACTCTAGTGGTAACTTGTTCATGGAGCTGAAAGATAAAGTACAAACACTATTAGATAACAAGAAAGTGTTACAGATGTCTGTAATCAATCTCTTTAAAAATCTTTAGATGACACCAGTCATCAGATATACCTTAGATAATTTTTTCACTTCAAAGTCCAAGAGACACAGACAAGGTTTTCATCTCAAGGACAAAAGACCAAAAACATCAAGACACTTGATCACAGCCTTGGATAAGCCAAGAGACTACTTACACTTTACATAGTATGTCAGAAGATTCTTTCTTCCACCCTAATACAGTAAGAATCAGGGTGGATTTGATTTAAATCATGATTTAGATCACTAGTCATGAAGACTTGATTTAATCATGGATTTCTACATAAAAGTGCGTTCTTGTTGGATGTTGTAACCTTAATACATATTCTTCACAACTCAGAGATAGATGGGTCTCTTTTACGGCCTACTGACATTATAGGTTTTCCCTTCTAGATAGAGAATGTTATGGTAGATCTCAAATCAATGAAGGAAAGACCTCAAGACTTCTGGAATATGCTGCTCAAACAGTTTCACTTTTGTTTCTACTGCCTGTCCCTCCCGTCTCACATTTATCTCCAGACTTCTTCTTCTTGTCCAGATCTATTCTGCCACCAACAATCATTTATTCACTGAACTTTTTGAAACTTTGCACTTTTAGAGAGAGGTAAGGGACTGATTCTGTGTACACAAATTTGCAGAGGGACAATAGGGTTGAGGTCTGCTATTTCTCACCTCTATCTATTATTTATTTAAAACATTTTTGCTGTTAACAAGCATGTTATCGCTGGAGAGACAAATCCACAGTTCGAGAACTGCAAAACTAAGCATCTCTGATGGTAGACTGAGCACTGAGTCCCATTAGGTAGATAGAAAGATTAACCTAAATAATCTATACAGAAGTCCCTGGGACCCCATAAGATTGGGTCCCTAATCCATGAACTATTGAAACTCATTTACAAAACTTTTCTTAAAGATTACATGAATATATTGTCTCATACTATAGAATTAGAATTTATAATTCCTATTCCATGATGAGATATCTTTGAGTTATAATGTATCTTAATTAAAACTATCTTTAGATCGGATTTTTTTGATAAAATGCTTTTTGAGGAGAAAAAAACTATTTAAATATAAAAAAAATCTGATTTTTTTTTTTTTAAGAAGTCATTGATTTTTATCCACCCTGGTAAGAACTGCTGTGGATACGAGCAGAGAAAGAAAAAGATATTAGGAGGAAAAAGGTAGAAATTAATCACATGGTTTTCTGGAATAGGTAAGTCTTTGTTACCTTTGTTGTACAAATCTATAATTTTGCCAGCAATAATGAAGATTGGGCAACAAGATGAAATGCACAAAAAAATTTCTTATAAATAATTACATATGGTACACAGTGCAGATATTTAGCTTTACACTTATATTTCTCATACAGTCTCAGACATAGGATAATTTAAAGTATATTACTAAATGTATTTTTCACATCATCTGCTAATGTGTACTTGAAGTGTAGCACTGAGCATGGTTGGGCAGGTGAGATCCTCACAGGTATGGCATGAGTTTCTATGGAAAAAAAAAAATCCAGATTCTTTCTGTACAGGAAGGATCTGCTCAGAGCTCCAAGGTGCATATTATACAGAGCTTACACAGAGCTGAAAAACCTATTTGAGAGATCTTAAAGCAGATCTAAAGCTTTTATATACATGAGGATCTATTTACAACAGACTCACAAGAAGTTCATATTATTCTAATTGAAGTACCTTCCTGGTTTGCAGGGTTCTAGATTTTAGAGTTCGGTAGAAAGGATGCATTTTAAACTATTTTAATTGTTAAGATGTAATTTATTTTAAGTTAAAACTTAATGTTACCTGAATAATGATCCTTAAAACTTTTAGAATATACTGAATAAAGTGTAGTATAATCTTATGGTAAGGTGGAGTTCCCTTTTTCTTCCAAAGAGAGACTATAAATTCTGAATATGATCCAAATTTACCTACTTCCTGGAGGTAAATTTTATATTTTTTAGTTATTTAAGCTAAGTAAAGCTTTCTCCTAAAAATAGCTGCTCGGAGGCTTTCCCCCTGATGGAGACCATTATGCCCTACATTCCCTCTAAGCTGCAAGACCACGCAGCAGGCTATCAAGGGCCACGCAGGCATGCAGCCACAGGGACCTGGAGAGGAGAGAGGTAGGGGGTAGGCAGGGAGCAAGCTGGGGTGTGCAGGACAGCCGCGGCAGGGAGATGCTCCTCTCTCCCTGTGCCAGCCCCGCAGCTGCTGCGGTGGGGAGAGGTAACTCTTCCCCAGCCCCAGGCTGCTGCAGCGAGAGAAGGCTTGGGGGTGTCCTCTCTCCCACCACAGCCCTGGGGCAGCCTGCACTCCAAACCCCTCATCCCTGGCCCCACCCCACAGCCCTCACCCTCTGCACCCCAACCTTCTGCCCCAGCTCTGAGCTCCCTCCCACACTCTGAAACCCTCGGCACCACCTCCGCCAAACATCACCTCCATATTGGTACATATAACAAAACTCATTCCGCACATGGATATAAAAAAAATAGAGGGAACACTGCCCTGCCACTACTTCCCTCTACCTCAAAGGGACATTCAACCCTTTCATGCTCCTGGAGAGAACTGCTAACAGTGAACTAGCCTGACACTGGGTGACTCAACAGAAATAACTCTCCATCAGGTCTAGCATCTGACATCACTGTGAACCAGAACAAGGGCTTTGCATATCTATGCAAGGTCCTATTATCTTCACTCTGTTGCACTTGTGAAGGAAAACTCAATGTTATTAATGTTTAGCAATTATGTTATGCTCAAAATATTCTGGTTGCAAAACAGACTCTCTATCCAAAGGGTGAATCTAATATCAAAGATGGAAAAAAGAAATTGATATGCTGCTTCACAGAATTCCATCACGCCCCCATAAATTGCATTTATAATACTGTCCTTTGAAAGCTGTTGCCAATCTTGGGATTTTTTTTTTTAAAAGGTTTTAATTGAAGACTTTTGAACAAAGTTTGATCCATTCCCACTTTTGGGATTAGGGCATTCATTCATATGAATTCCCCCATCTCCTTGTTATTCACTTCTGATATAGAGACTGGCAGGTTAAGAATTCTCAGTCTGTTGATGTCCTCCCTTCCATCTTTATTTTGTATTGTCATACTTAGGGCCCAATGAAATCTGTTTTATTATTGTGGATTTTCAGATTTAGTTTTTTTCCATTAAAAAAAATTAATTCCATCTCCTCTGGCCCTGAGGCTGCCGTGAGGAGATGTCTTTATAGTTTTGTATAGCGCTGGATTTTTTTTTAAGCGCTGGATTCCATGTTATTGTTTTGATTCCGTCCACGTTCTGGTTAATACAGATTTCCTAAAAAACAGTGAGGAGTCCTTGTGGCACTTTAGAGACTAACAAATTTATTTGGGCATAAGCTTTCATGGGCTATAACCCACTTCCTCAGATGCATGGAGTGAAAAATACAGTAGGCAACTATAAATATACAGCACATGAAAAGACGGGAGCTGCCTTAACAAGTGGCGGCGGGAGGCGAGGGGGGTGATGTCAGTGCTAATGAGGCCAATTCAATCAGGGTGGATGTGGCCCATTCCCAACTGTTGACAAGAAGGTATGAGTATCAACAGAGGGAAAATTACTTTTTGTAGTGACCCAGCCACCCCCAGTCTTTATTCAGGCCTAATTTGATGGTGTCGAGTTTGCAAATTAATTCCAGTTCCTCGCTGAAGTCTGTTTTTGAAGTTTTTTTGTTGAAGAACAGCCACTTTTAAGTCTATTATTGAGTGTCCAGGGAGACTGTCCAGTGCTCTCCTACTGGTTTTTGAATGTTACAATTCTTGATGTCTAATTTATGTCCATTTATTCTTTTGCATAGAGACAATAATCTACATGCATCTCAAGGACAAGGAAGTGATAAAAGAAGCAGCAGTGAAACTCAGAAGAAAACGATGTCTGACAATTTTGGCTCACCTTCTCTTCTATGTTACCTCTCTTCCTGCAACACCAAAAATTAATGAAGGTCTGTTGGGGAGACTATTTATTTTATTCATGATCCAAATTCAGAGTAACTGAACAAAAGGTAAGAATATTCAGCAACTTTTGCTCCATCTAATCACGGAAAACAATTGTGTTCATACAGTTTAAGATTGTTTATGGGTAAACCAGGTTATAACCAGCATAAATAGGGGTTAAACTGTGTTATGACTTGGTTGATCAGGAATATGCCATAGCATGGGGACAGACCGGAGCAGAAGAGCTAGTACACTGCTGTATTTATCTCTGCAGACTACAAACTGTGTTGCTAAAATGTCTCTAATAGTGCCTCAGGTAAGACGCACATAAGAAAGAGTTACAAAATATATTTTATAAAGAAGGAAGTAAAAGTCACCTACATTGAATCACTAGACAGTCTTGATTGTACCCATGTTTATACTGACTATAGACCTGTGCCAAAGTTAATTAATTTTAAAAATGAATTCAGTTCCCTTCTCCCCCACCTGAGTACTTTCAACAGTTATTAGAATTCCTATGTGAACTTATCTGCATAATCTAAAAGCCCAGGCTACTCTATCAAGGAATATTACAGTCAAGATGTTACACATTCAAGCTAATAACTACGGTATAATAAATGTCATGGAAATCCAGTTTTAGCACATGTTGCTATTTTTAGGGAAACTATTCTTAGGTTAGCTGGAAATGGGAATGCCAGAGTGACCTAAAATGATATGATACTTTCAGGTGTTTCAAAGAGGGAAAGAAGAAAGAGCAAATGAAGCATACTTTGCCTTCATGCTGTCTAAACATTTAGGCCATTTCATAACCATACAGGGGAACCCTGCCCAGCCTATCAATCCGGGGGATAAAACAGTTGCCATGACAAAGGAATTTGAAATAAATAAATAAAAACACGCAAGTAAATATTCTTTATTTCTCCAAGGAACCTTCATCTTAGGGAAAGATAATGATACCTAATGAGCATTTTTTAACAATACTGCTAAAACACTCACAGATATAAAATAGTCCACAATGGAGAGGTGAATAGAGCATACAGGTCAGGTTTATACCTGACTTACATTAAGGCTGTGATGCAACTCTACTCACTATTTAACAGTGTCAGACAAATACAAGACCTGTAGCACTGAATAAATGTTGCCTCATGTTCTCTCTCCTTCAGAATCTTGTGCTGCAAAACAAAATGGCAGCATTGCTGGGTATTTAAAAAGACACCCACCAGAACTTTTCACCATACAAAAAAGAAAAGATGAAAGGTCACTAAATCCTCAATTCTAATCCACAGAAAGTTACCAAGAACACAAAAGAAGCACAGAAAATCACCATTTTCAATTACATCAACAGAAAATGAATCTTTTCCCAAAAAATCAAGGTTATCAATAAATAAAAAGAACACTAGTACTAGTTATTTATTGCATGGAAAAAACTTCAAAAATGTTTTTAAAATGTCCGAAACTGGTGGTTCCCAACCAGGAGAACATGCACCCCTGGGGGTACACAGTGGTCTTCCAGGGGATACATCAACTCATCTAGATACTGTATAGTTTTTACAACAGACTATGTAAAAAGCACAAGTGAAGTCAGCACAAACTAAAATTTCATACGACTTGTTTATACTGCTCTATATGCTATACACTAAAATTGAAGTATAATATTTATATTCCAATTGATTTATTTTATAATTATATGGTAGAAATTAGAAAGCAAGCAATTTTTCAGTCAGAGTGTTCTGTGAAACTTTGGTATTTTTATGTCTGATTTTGTAAGCAAGTAGTTTTTAAGTGAAGTGAAACTTGGGGGTATGCAATGTTAGGATATAGATATTCAGGCCTGTCTGTAAAGGCCTATACTCTAAGAATTTAGGTGTATTCTTATCACTTGGCTAGTGATAGAGGTATAAAAGAAAGAATCAAAACCACTGTCTGCCAGTGTAAGGGCCTTCTCTTACTGTGACAGTTTGTGGCCCTGTGCTTAGGCTCAGGCCTTTGGCTAAGCAGCAGAGGCAGCCATAAGCTGGGAAGCCAACGGTCACATCCTCACATTCCAAACTAGTCACATTGAAATAAGGTGCTATTGGGCTGTTAGGCACTATCAGGACAGGATTGTATTCCTATCACCTCCAGAGGAAGGGAAGTACCTAGAAAATGTAAAAGGAAACTTAGTTTGATAGCATCCTGTCTGGCAAGAACTCACTTATCAATAGCTGGGATGTGAAATCCTCACTTCTGTATTGTTTTGTCATTATAGTTCCCACTTTGCTGTTGTTTGTCTGTATAATCTCTGTCTGGTTCTGTGATTGTTCCTGTCTGCTGTATAATTAATTTTGCTGGGTGTAAACTAATTGAGGTGGTGGGATATAATTGGTTACATAATCATGTTACAATATGTTAGGATTGGTTAGTTAAATTTCAGGAAAATGATTGGTTAAGGTATAGCTAAGCAGAACTCAAGTTTTACTATATAATCTGTAGTCAATGAGGAAGTGACTGGGTGTGGGTGTGGGTGTGGGTGGGCATGTGGGTGTGTGAGATGGGAACAGGGAATGGGGGTAAGAAAATTGGAATCATGTTTTGCTAAAGGGGGAGATGGGAACAGGGAATGGGGGTAAGAAAATTGGAATCATGTTTTGCTAAAGGGGGAAATGGGAACAGGGAATGGGAATAAGGAAGTTGGAATCATGTTTGGCTAAGGGTAGGAATGGGAACAGGGACACACGTGTAAGGCTCTGTGGTGTCAGAGCTGGGAAGGAGGATATTAAGGAAGGAAACTGGAATCATGCTTGCTGGAAGTTCACCCCAATAAACATCGAATTGTTTGCACCTTTGGACTTCGGGTATTGTTGCTCTCTGTTCATGCGAGAAGGACCAGGGAAGTAAGTGGGTGAAGGAATAAGCCCCCTAACATGCAAGACAAATCCAACTCCGGAAAGGGGTACAGTAGTCTGGAAAGGTTAAGAGCCACTGTTTTAAACTGAACAATGTAAATTGGACCCAGCTGACATCCTTATAATTATCTGACAACCATCAGCTACTGCATAAGAGTGTTTTGAAAAAAAGTAGAAGCTTTCTAATAAAGACTAATCCTTTGAAAATACAGTACTGTATAACTAACTTACATAAAGGCAGGCACAGCAGACCAGAGTAGCTTACATAAAGGTAGGCACAGCCCATTGTTACATATGGTTATCTCCACAGTTTACTTCAGTTTCTTGTAAATTATGCTTTCCACTGAAGATACTCTAATAAAGATATTACATTTCTAATGTTCATCATCATGTATATTCTACCTCCTTAATATAATTCTTAAAAGGAAAACACACAATTTTGAGTAAGAATATACCCATTAATAATAGTAAGCGTTCAACTTTCTTAACGATCAGTGGCATTGCCTACAACAAACCATTAAGAAAGCTGTCCTGATAAAGTTAAGGCCTCACTAAAGTCTGCACAAAGAAACTAAGAATTAAAACAAACTATGCCAAGAGATGGAAGTATAGACTAAGGCTTTCAGACCTCATGCTGAAGTATCCCAAGCATTTCTTAAGTATTCATGTATCTTTGCAGCAACAGTGTGAACTATTCCCCCATCACAAATAGGAAACTGGGGAAGAGACATTAAGTGACTTGCCAAAGGTCACGTAGGACAGTGGTTCTCAACCAGGAGTACACATTCCCTGGGGGTACATCAACTGATCTAGATATTTGCTTAGTTTTACAATAGGCTACATAAAAAGCACTACTGAAGTCAGTACAAACTAAAATTTCACAGACAAGGACTTGCTTACACTGCTCTATATGCTATACATGGAAATGTAAGTACAATATTTATATTCCAATTGATTTATTTTATAATTAATTATATGGTAAAAATGAGAAAGTCAGCAGTTTTTCAGTTACAGTGTGCTGTGACACTTTTGTATTTTTATATCTTAGTTTGTAAGTGAGGTGAAACTTGGGAGTATGCAAGATAAATTAGGTTTCAGAATAGTAGCCGTGTTAGTCTGTATTCGCAAAAAGAAAAGGAGTACTTGTGGCACATTAGAGATGCTCAAATAAACTGGTGAGTCTCTAAGGTGCCACAAGTACTCCTTTTCTTTTTTGCAAGATAAATTAGACTCCTGAAAGGGGTACAGTAGTCTGGAAAGGTTGAGAGCCAGTCTGTGGAAGAGTCAGGAACTAAATGGAGTCCCTGTCCAGTGCCTTGTCACAAGATCATCCTCCCTCTCTATCCAATGCGATTACGAATAAGGGTGACTGCTCAGATAGCTTTTGTGCTCCACACACCTGTGCTGTAGGAGCTGGACAGAGGCCACACCATCTCCCCGAGAGCCAAACAGCCAACGGCTGACAGTGATTTTTGTGTCTTTGCCCAGATTCAAATCTGCAACCTAAAGCTTGCACCTGTGAGCTTCCAATTCCCGTCACTTCCCTTTAAAGTGACCACAGGAGATTTTTTTTTTTTTAAAGAAGACCTTGGCTTACGGGTGAGCTGCGAACAGCTCGCAGGGATCCAGAATCCTCCGAGCTGAGCGGAGAGTCCAGCGTCCTCCTGGCCCTGCTCTCCCCCCCGCCATGGCCCCCCACCTTGCGTTAACATTGATGCCCTGGAGACCGGCCTCCAGCTCCCGCTTGGCAGAGACACGCCGAAGGGCCGGGGCACCCCGATCCCCGGCTCCTTAAGGACAAAACCCAACGGCAAGACCCCGCGGAGGGCGCGATGCAGCCGTGGTCTGCATCGTTTCTGCCCGGGGGCGCCAGGGCCTGCGCGGCGGGCACCGAGGAATCTCAGGCGCCCTGGCCGGGGGAAAGAAGCCCCCTGCGGAGCCGGGCCCGGGTTAAACGCTGGCCCTGGGGAGCGCGCCCGGGCACGCTGGTCACCGGGACCGCCAGGGCGGGTCACCCCAGCTCCACTCTCAGGCCTGGGAGCGATCGTCGTCCCCTCCCGACAGCGGCTGCCCCAGCTCCCCCACCCCGGCACCGCGGTGTCACTCACCTGCGCCAGCCCCGGCCCCGAGGGGCCCCGGCTGGAGAGCAGCTGCTGCAGCGTCAGGACCCCGGACAGGCCCCGGCGCCGGCAGCAGCCGCGCGACAGCAGCAGGCAGCGGTGCGCCATGGCCCAACGGCCGCTCCGAGGCTCGACTCGCCAGCCACAAACGCCCCCCCCACCGCGGCGTGCGAGCTCATCACGTCACGTCGGGAGCGGACGGGGGGGGGGTCACGTGGCTGCAGAGGACTGCGGGCGATGGAATGACGTATTTAAGATGGGGCGGGGTTTGTTTGGTTTTGTTATTTTCTTCCTGGTGTCCCCCGCGCGCCCCTCCCGCTCGTGAGGCAGTTGGGAGCGCGTGAGTCATGAGCCCGCCCGGCACAGTCTGTTCCGCCCCCCCCGAGCGCGTCACGGCCCCTCCCCCGCTGAGCCGGCTCTTTCTTTGCCCGGAGCCCGGCGAAGAGCGAGCGCGAGGTCGCCGCTGGAGCTCGGGGGCCGCAGCGGAGCCATGAAGATCTGGAGCTCGGAGCACGTGTTCGGGTAAGCGGGCGGCAGCAGGCGCCGGGCCCCAGGCTTGCAGGCGGGGCGGTGATTCCTGCCGGCCGGTAGCGCGCTGGCCCTGCGCCCCCGGGCTGTGACTCCGCCCTTACCGAGCCAGACGCCGGTGTGAGCCGGGGCTCCCTGCCGCGGGCCCCCGCCGGTCACTGGGCTGAACGCCCCCCGGCGCGATGATACGCCAGCCCTCACCCCGCGCCCTTCCCCCGCGGGCCGGGAAACGTCATTTATCCCTAGCCCAGAGTTGAGGAAACTGAGGCCCAGAGTAGGGTTGTGACTCGCCCGAGGTCACCCCGCAGCTCGATGGCCGAGCCAGGTGACAGCTGTGTCTCTGCGGCACCACGCCGACCTCCGGAGGAAAAGTGCCAAGTGCGACCTATGACCTGCAGTTATTGCAGTGGCCTTAACTTCGCTTATCAGCCTGGGCTGCCACTGGGTGTCTCTCCCCATTGTGTGGGTTGCGGGAAGTGTCATCGATTCCGCAGTCGTCGTCCCCTCCCCCCCCCCTTTTTTTTTTCCTCTGAGAAACTAGCTGATCATGAGGTCCTTTTTGTAGTTAAAGTTAAGATTGTGCGCAGCTCTCACTGAGTGAGGCCTGCATTTTGCTGTTCAAAGGGGGTACACTTGGTGGCAGTGCAGTATGGAGATCTGTGCAAAATGTTGCATACCAACGTGAGAGAGGTGACTGAGGGCTTCTCTAATGGGGAAGTTTTACCGGTAATACTGATGTGACCCCTTGTGGACATTATTAATCCTGTAAAAGAGTGGCTTTTTTTCACCTTAGTTTAAATCACTTCTCAACCACCAAAGAAGCTCTTATAATAGAATGAGTGTCCACTGGGGAGTTCTGCTGGTATAACTATATTGGTTTAAATTCACCCCCCAAATTATGCTGAAACTTTCCCATATAGGCAAGGGCTGAAAGCAGTGTGAAAGGTTTCCACATCTGTCTTCTGTTTGCCAAGGTATGCAGGAAATAGGACTCCAAAAGGGCAGAGTTATGAAACTGACAAAACTATTACATTATTTGGCCTTAAGGCATAAGTATTCATAAATGACCTTTCATAATATTAGAGCAAACACAGATGTAGCTGATTCTCCTAAAGCGTATAAACAGATTAAAACTGAGTTATTGTATGTTTCTTTCTTCTCTCCCCCGCCCCCCCCTTTTTTAAAGCGGTAATGTGTTTTAAATAATCCTTGAAATATCTTCAATGAACTGCTAACATTCAAAGTTAATAACTTACTTTGTCATTTATTTCATGTTGTTCTTCATATAAGTGAAGCATTTAACTGCAAAAAAGGTTATGTATGATATTTGAAAACTGCTTGTGTCATACAGTTCTCGTTCTGTATAATTGGTAGCAAAGTTATAGAATGGGAATACTTGTGTCAAAGTCTAGCCACATCATACTGGGAAACATCTGTAGATAACAGGCTAGAAACTTTCGTGATGATGGCTTAGGCATTTCAAAACAACGGCTTCGGCATTTCAAAACAACGGCTTCCTTTTTGCATTTGTTTATATATATATGTTGTAGCGCAGATTGGTAGGTATAAGCTTGTGGGGTTTTTTGTTTCAGTTTTGTTTTTAAAGTCTGAAGTCATAGCCTCACTGTATAGACATATGATATAGTCCCTGCTTCCTAGGACTCTACAGTTAGACTGGATAAACCTAGGAGATACGGGGCAAGGAGGGAGAGGGAAGGAGGAGAGTAAGTTCAGAATGTGACTCTGAAGTCACAGATGAAGCTTGTAGTTGTTCGTGTTGTTGTTTTTCACCACCCAGTTCTTCCAAGCTGATGGAAGTGGGTTTTGAGGAGGGATTTGAAAAATGTCCCATTATTGCAAACTTCAGTCTTGCTTTACCAGTGTTAGCAAATTTGGGAGCCTTAATGTAGGTGTACCATCTGTGTTTAAAGCGCCATGTCATCTAGCCTGGCACAGACCCTCTGTCAATTAGACATGCTATGTCTATACTGCAGTAAAATACCCATGGTTGGCCTTTGTCAACTGACTCTAACTTCGGTTGCAGAGCTATAAAATTGCAGTGTAGGCATTTGGGCTGGAGCCTGGGTGCTGGGACCCTATGAGGGGGGCGGAGTCTGCACTGCAATTTTATAGCCCAAGCCCCATGACCCACAGTCAGCTGATGTGGGCCAACTGTGGGTACTTTATTGCAGTGTAGAGAGAGTGTTTAAAATGTCATTGAAAGCCCCCCTATGCTAGGGCTCTCACAGTTGCTAACGTAGGTGAAGCTAGAATGATGTTAGCAGCAATCTAAAATCTTTGCAAAACTTTCTTAGTATAGGGGTTTGCACTGGTTTAACTACATTTACTTAAATAACTTCAAATAAGCTGGTGTACATTTGGTATGTGGACAAAGATCTACTCTCAAAGTTTTGACAGCTGAAGTTATGATGTGTAAACCAAAACATTGAGTGTAAAATGAAAGGTGGGTGCTAATAAAGCTTTCTCTTGTGTGGCACAACTTCGGTTTTGAGCAACTGCAGAGCTTGACTTGAAAATCAGTTATCTGTGGGACATAATACTTTCTTGATGCTATGTGAAAATTAGATTGCAGAATGTGAGGCCTGCAAAACTGTATGCTGCAATGTGTGTGAGTGTAGTTAGATCAGGGATTCATAAAATGGCCTTTAGCTCCTTGTAAGTCTTCAAGGACATCTTGTCTTTGTTAATCACCTTTATGCTTAGTTTTATGTTCATGTTACATTGCATAATTCCTGAAGATAATATGAAGACCAGTTCATGCATATCTTTTTAGTAGAGAGCAGGGTCAAGGAATAGAGGAAGGGACAATTTTTTTTTTAATTTTTATTTTTTAATTTAAAGCAAATATTTCCCCATTTGATGTTGAAGGACCATTTTGTTTTTCCTGTTCATGCTGGAGATGTTTGCGAAACTCCATTTTATTGTGTGTGTGTGTGTATAGTTAGAGGAATGTCTTGTAGATGCCTTCCTACATGGGGGAGTTAAGCTGTAGTCAAATTAAAAACTAGAACACTTTTCCATTATTTATCTAATATAGCTCCTATAACAAAGTGTGTGTGTGTGTGTGTCAAAATGACTCGATATCTTACTCTTTATGAAACCTCACCTATTTAAACAACATTTAAACAATAAAAAAGATAAAATACTGTTTAGTCAGAAGTTGGAATGAAACAAACATCAAATCAAATTCTGGCATTGAGGGGAGTGACTTCAAAAGTTAGAGCCTCTGAGAACCTTGTTACTGACCTTGGAAAGCTGGGCCTTAGGAGCTGACTTTCAAGACTTCAGAACATGACATGAGGCTGTTTGCCTCGGAGGTCCTGACTATGCTAAACAAAAACAGTACTCAGTTGTATAAAATTTACTGTTGCAATGCTTATTCTTGTAAGGGTTTTAACACCTCCACATAGCAACACCTTTTGCATGGTGCCTGCACTTGTCTTTTATTCCCTAAATTTTTTTTCCACTGCAGAGCCACAGTTGCTAACAGCGGTGGAGCCTAACAAGTGTTAGTAATATGGAAAACTTGAGTGCAGAAAATGCCTGAGAGAAACTACTGTAGATTGTAAAAAGAAAAGGAGTACTTGTGGCACCTTAGAGACTAACCAATTTATTTGAGCATGAGCTTTCGTGAGCTACAGCTCACTTCATCGGATGCATACCATAGATTGTGTTGGTTTAGCTGGACTTGAGCTTGCTCTGTGAAGTAACAGCTGATTTACAAAATGAGAGAATCCTACTGCAGACAGTAGCAGGTCTGTGGGTAGCAGACCTCCACTGTATTTGGCTTTCAGTGGTTGGTCTACTAGTTTAGATGAAGCAAAACTGTTAAAGAAATCTTGATAAAGATCTGGTGGAATATGGTGTTTAGTTCAGAGGCTGCTGAGGGTGTAGGGGGAATGTGTTCCTGACACTGTCACTTTGCTAATCTAGTACGGGGCGGCCTTTATATGTGAATAGCAAGAGCTGAAGGTAAGGTGAGTACCAGTCTCCATAACCCTAGAACATTGAAAGAAATTTTCAAGGAGGCCAGCTTTAGTTTGGAGAACATGACCTCAAATCAGTTTGCCAGTTTAGTCCTGGGATATTAGAGAGACAAGGTGGGTGAGGTAATACCTTTTATTGTGTGAAAGAGACAAGCTGTTGAGCTTACATGGTCTCTTTTTCCCAGACCTGAAGAAGAGCTCTATGTAAGCTTGAAAGCTTGTCTCTTTCACCAATAGAAGTTGGCTCAATAAAAGACAGGTTTCAGTGTAGCAGCCATGTTAGTCTGTATCTGCAAAAAAAAAAAAAAAAAAAAAGTACTAGTGGCACCTTAGAGACTAACCAGTTTATTTGAGCATAAACTTCATCGGGTGCAATGCATCCAATGAAGTGAGCTGTAGTTCACGAAAGCTTATGCTCAAATAGAGAGTGCCTCATCCACCTTGTCTCTTCTACTCTTAGGTAAAGCTTATATTAACACCATATTGCTAGAACAAACATCATTTATCAAGCACCTATTATCTATAACTCAGCCCGTTCCAGCTTCACCCTTTTTAATAGTTCTCAAGTTAGACAATCAACAATCATTTTGGAACAGGTTGATCATGTATAATATGTATGCAATACGAAGTACGCTTACACAAACTATCAGGTATTCTTTCAACACTGTCAGTATTGTTTAAGAACAGAAGAATTTCCATACTGGATCAAACCCATCACCATCTAGTGCAGTCTTGTCTCTCTTGTATCTGACTGTGGCCAGTACCAGATACTTCAGAGAAGGTGCCAAAGCCACACAGTAGGTGCATGTAGGATGATCTGCCCCATGTACTAGGTTTCCTATAATCCCAAACAGTTAGAGATCGGTTTAAATCCTGAAGCATGAGGCTTAACATTGCTTCCAAAATTTGTTAGCATTACCTAGATATTTATCATTCCTTTTGCTTCAGTGTCCTTTAGTGGTGAGATCTACTGTTTGTTTACATGTTGCATGGAAAAGTATTTCCTATTAATTGTTCTGAATTTGCCATCTTTTAACTTCAGTAAATGTCACCTTGTTCTTGTTAGACCAGGAGCTTCTGTTTTTCCTGTCTATCTTCACTATAACGTCCTCATTTTGTTTTTGATGCGAGGTGACCAGTACTTCACCCAATACCCCAGATAAGTCTGCACCACTCATTTGATCTTAGATGAATATTGTTAATGAAATGTATAAATACTGCCTTTTTTTCCCCTAGACACCCATGGGATACAGTTATCAAAGCTGCTATGAGAAAATACCCCAATCCCATGAATCCATGTGTGGTAGGAGTAGATGTGATAGACAGAAGCCTTGATAACCAGGGAAGGTTACATAGTCATCGACTTCTCAGCACAGAGTGGGGACTACCAAGTATTGTAAAAGCGGTATGTTTTTATAAGTTGAATGAGTAACTGACAATGTAATGCATCTAAACACTTCATCCTCTGGGATCTCAACTCTGAATTGATAGGAAACACCTTTTCCAGAAATCGTAGGGAAAATGTAATAATATAGCAGCACATCTCTTGCCGTGAATGCATTGCAGTTTTTCCTGAAATGTTAATCAAATTTCAATTGTGGTATCTTCCAGGCAGGGACTATGTCCCTTTGTGTGATTGCCTAGCATTCAGCATGTTGAGATCTTGATCCTGATCAGGGGGTTCATGTACAACCACAACATAAATATGTAAAAGTAGTAATTTGGAACATCTTTTGTAATTTGCTCTGATGTCATGTTGAATATTTAAATAGAATGTTTTGTTTTCTAGATTTTGGGAACAAGCAGGACTTTGACATACGTTAAAGAACATTCAGTGGTAGATCCAGTAAAAAAGAAAATGGAACTCTGCTCCACCAATGTAAGTGACTAAGTGAGGTCAGGAAGCTTTTGGTAATGGCTGTAGGAGAATAGAACAACCGCCTACTTATTTGCAATACAAAAGAAAGCTTTGCTTTTAGAATTGCACAAGCTTGCGCTCACTGCTGTCAAACAAAGCCCCAACATTTTCAATGTGCACTGGATGGTTTGAAGCTTTTCTGGGTTGCCAGTTTTCTAAATAACATTTCCCTTTTCAGTTGCTGTTGGCTGCTTCTTTGTATGAGTAAGCAACTTTAAATATGTAGGCAATATAAAATATTTGTGTGGGTGTAACTTTGACGTCAGGTGAAACCATCTTCTGAGAAAGCAGAAATGACAAACTCATGTATTAGAGAATAAAATATGCTGGCCAAAGAAATTTTCACTAAACAGCAGCAGAAATAAATTTAGAACTATATTGCAAATCTTTAATCTTGTTGAAATATGCAAACTGTTATGTTGTATTCTAATGTCCTTCAAGCTTATCAAGTTTTAAATGGAAGATCTCAGTAAGAGTCTTGTCTTTGTACAGTAAATGTAGGCTTAGGGACTTTCCTAAATACATGTTTTGTGTGTGATTGGTAAGACTGCTTATTTTCCTCAAGAGCCTGGATTAAAAAGCTTGCCATTGCAAACATACTGAAGTTCAGACTTGGTTTAACATTCACAAATGTTATTGAAAAGCTACCTGAATCGTGTTGGACAACATGGAATATAGAGAGACCTAGTGAAAGGCAAAGGTTACCTGGCTGTAACTGGATTTGCAATAGGAGAAGACAAACCACAAATTATAATTGTGCTGTTACAAAGTACAGTAACTGGCCTGTTTTCTGCTGTTGAGGATAATGAAGCACCAGTTGGGTGCTACTGAATTGTTGATAGAGGAAACCGCAAAGAGGAGAAAACACTGAGGATTTGTGTGTGTTTTGTTTTTAAGATTACTCTCACAAATTTGGTGTCAGTTGATGAGAGATTGATCTACACACCTCATCCTGAAAACCCAGAAAAGTAAGTTGAGTCGGGGGGTCTGTCTGCTTCTTTCTGAGAGAGGGTATATTGCTCCTTTTTTGTACCAATAAGCTTTATTTTATGTCTTTCATTGCAGGACTGTGCTAACTCAAGAAGCAATTATTACTGTAAAAGGCGTTAGCCTGAGTAGTTATTTGGAAAGTTTAATGGCCAACACAATATCCTCCAATGCTAGAAAGGTATGCTTTTGTGGCAGTAATTCTTGGGCACTTGTACTGCTGAATACCATGCTTAAGGCTCAAATCTGCAGGATTGGACTCTAAGTGTGTATAACTTTTATTTTTAACCATTAAATTTGTGTTCCTGTAAATGTCACCAGAAGCAAGAAATGCAATACTTGTTAATTAGTTTTTAAATGCATGCTAACCTGTCTGTAATGTTCCTATTGTTAGAGACTGTTACCCAAGCAGCTCTTAAACTTGTGTACCCCCTGTTGTAAGTAAATTCCTCAATTTGTGTTAATCTGCAAGGCATAGAAAAAGAGCTTTGTTCATCCCAAAGTACTGCTCACACTCCAGATAGGGCTTTGGGAGTGGTTATTTGCTACTGTTGGGGGCACTCTGTCTTGCTCTCACATTACTAGAAATCAATAGAGGATCACACCGGTACCTCTCCACTAGTACCAGCTGGAGGAAGAGCATGAATGTGGTGTGGCAGAGCATAGGTCAGGTGTAGGGATGGGAAGGACAAACAGTGCAGGAGGGAGCAGTGAGGCAGATGTGAGGGTGTGTGGGATGTGGTGCAAAATAGAAGTGGGAGTTGGCCTGGTTGGGTCGTGGCACTTCAGATTGAGTCATGCTTCCCAATGCCATCCCAGGTAGTATGTGCCTTGGCCAGCCCCTTTCCCCTGGAAGTAGGATATCACTAGACCGAGATGCTGCTTCCATCACTTGATGTCAAGCATTAGATTGATGATTCAGCCCTTCTTGGTCAGAAGGATATCTGGGGGGAGGGGGTGGAGGAGGAGGAAATCTGAATGTTTGCTACTTCCCTGAGGCAATAGTAAAGGTGTGAGGGGATAGACTGGCAGAAATAAAGTGTGCTAAGGTTGGGGGTTAAGTGGATGAACTGCAGGGTTTGGGGAGAGGGAGAAAAAGTGGCTAGTTGAATTTTGAGGGTGCAGATTGTATTTTTGTTCGGTGGCCATAAACATCTCTCCACTTAAACTTTTTACAATTCTCTCCAAATCCACTTAGAGTAATGGGGTACATACTGTGATCTCACCATCCTCTGACACTCGCAAGGGCAGTTAAATCTTTGGTTTACCAACAGTCCACTTAGAAAATGTCTGACATGTATAGAAAGCCAAATTAGAAAAGGGCTTCTTCCATATAACACTTAAACATCTTTGTAGTCAAGTGTCAAACGGTGGAACAGTACCTTTTTGTCCTTTCTAAGGCTGCTAGGTCCATTCAGAGATGCTTAACTTGGCAGGAATTTGTGTGTGCTGTTTCCAGCCCTTTCATTACTAACAAGGAGCTCTACTTTGAAGGAGGTGGTGACCGCAGAAGCACAAGACTGAGTTTCTGTGCTTTCAGAAGTCTGCTCAGAGATGGCAAAAGCTTTGCTGGAAAGTGTTTTCTGCTGTATCTTGAAATGCTGATGTAAATGTTGAATTTTGCTTTGAGGGTTTGAGATTGCAGGCCAGATACCTGAATACTACAATGATGAAAGATGAATTTTGTGCCATGTATTAATCTTTTCTGTGTTACTCCAGGGGTGGGATGCTATTGAGTGGATAATTCAAAATTCTGAAAGCGCTCTAAGCTAGCAGTCTCTCTCTACATCTGCAGTTTGTACTAACTAGTGGTAACTTCGGCATTCGCTATCTCGGTACAGCATTTCAGCTTTCTAGCAAATGTGTGCATGGACTGTTGTGATGTGATGTTTTTTATATATATGTACATTAGCTTGCATGTATTGTAATCACAGTTACATACAAGAATGGGAAACTTGTTCTCATAATACTAGAATCATGTATGTCTTTTTTTTTTTTTATTGTGACCTAGAATGGGTCAAGTAGCCCAAATCCACTACATCAGTGAAGGGCAGACCTTAGTTATTTCTACATGTACTGCAGTACTTTTGTACCATACTATTGCCTCTTATACATGTAAATGATAGATTACTGCAGGTACCTAAGCATGTGAAAATGTCACTCTTTAATAGGGGCCCACTCCAGCTTGGTCAATTAAATTTGACTAGATAAGAACAGTTATCTAAAGAAATTAACCAAAAAATGTTTGGTTAATGGAATCAGCCTTATTATAAAAATGGATCAGAATTGCACTTAATGTGTTTAGGGTTGGTTTTCTCAAAACGGGTGCCTAACAAGAATAGTTTTCAGCACAGAGTTATCGCTACTTGCTTTGTCTTCCATGACGGGAATTGATCTGGTCTCCTCCTTTTTCTTAGACTTTTAAGAGGTAGATGGGTGATTGGGAAGGTGGGGAGGGGCAGCTTCTGTTGGTGGTTTAAAATTTAGGTTAAAGCTGAACATATTTTACTCTGATGAATTCATAGAACCATAGAATATCAGGGTTGGAAGGGACCTCAGGAGGTCATCTAGTCAAACCCCCTGCTCAAAGCAGAACCAATCCCCAAGTTTTGCTCCAGATCCCTAAATGGCCCCCTCAATGATTGAACTCACAATCCTGGGTTTAGCAGGCCAATGCTCAAACCACTGAGCTGTATTGTTGCAGTAAGAATCTCATTTAGCATCTTAAATTGGTTTCCTGCCTTGCTGCTGTTACAAATGACCTTCTTTAAGCAACATGACTATTTAAAATTTAACTTTCAGATGTATTTCCATTTGTTCATGGTAGGAAATGCGGCTTTCTTTCATATTCAGACTTCAAGGCTGAAAGGAGTGGTTACAGTTTTCATAGTTTAATGCTGGACAGTATTAATGCTCTTCACCTTTCCTTCCATTAGCTAGCCTAGCTCGACTCTGTCATTCCTGTACTGAAACCACAAACTTCCAATGATAAAATCCTAAAATCTTTTTTCATAACTCTTCTCCTTGATTCCTTTATTTTGGGGGGGAGGGTGTGTGTGTGTGCCTTATAAAATTAGCAGATGCTGGCTATGTGCTTTCAAGTTTACTTTTCATTCCACTAAATTCTTGAGTTGGACAAACCATTAAGCTTTGTCTTCTCCAAAAAACTTCAACTGGAGTAGTCAGTCTGCTATCAGTTATCCAAGATATAATAAATCTTTATACCCAGTATTTGACCTAATATTGAAAGCACAATGTAGTGCTAACGTATGTAATGTGCATGCTTGGTTATGAATGTGCTTGCCTATATAATGTAGGACTTAAATAAAATACACATATATTTATATGTGTGTGTGTGTGTGTAATATATATATATATATATATATATGTAAAAATATACACTCCAATCCTCTGTCAGATTCTGTTTTCCTTTCACTGAGTAGAACTGCCCAGGTCCTTAATTTTAAAAGAAATTGTAGAGGTGAAGCTTTATTAACTTAGATTCCACTGGAGAATTGTTCTGAAATTTACCATGTCAGCATAGTGCACTGATGCTTAAGTTTTATAGGGATTTAAGCAGTTTTTCCAGAGCTGCAAGAAAATACCTCAGATTGTATTTGTTTTGGAAAACCAACAAACCTATTTGAATGATTTACTGGTTATAATCCTTGGAAGGCATTTTGTGGATCTGAGTCCCACTCAAAAGATGCTGGCTAACTTTTTGGCTAATAAAAGTCTACTGTCTATATGATCAGACTTAAACATTCTTAGTGTTTTAAATGTGTTACTTGTTTCCTTTCAGTGTTTTATATATTAGTGACCCTGTAACTAAAAGGAAAGTAACTTGAAAAATAGCTTTTCAGTCTGAAAAGCTTGTACCTGGGGTTATTTCTATGCCTAACATTGGGGGAAAGAGTTGTGGTTTGTTTTGTTTGTTTTTTTTCCCCTCTAATCTCTGTGAATATGACAGTTCAGTCAGTTACACTATTTTGTAATGCATTTATTTCCTGTTGCATGTAGCAGCCTGCACTGCTCTGTTGTAGCTCGCATGCATGCTTCCCTATACTCTGTGAGAAAGTTTGCCAGCAATAGTACCAGCAAAACAAACTGAAGTGGTAACTGTGTGCACAGAGGGGAAACAGGCTGGGGGGGAAGAGGAGGAGAATGAGGAGTTTGGTGTGGCCCTTGGGCCTACTAAGTATCAGCAGGGAAGCTGGGAAAAAAAGACTACTTTGAAGAAGAATAAGGGTTGCTCTGACTAAAATAAATTCAGTTTTAATTAGCCAAACCAAAAATATGCAAGTTAGTGTCCCTTTAACATGTTGGTGGCACTCATTATAAATGCTAACTTCCAATCCACTAACTTTTTGTAAGAACTGAAATTTCTCATGCTTGGTCTTGGCACATGAATGAGAATTTTTGATTCTGAGTTTGTTTTTAATACTTTAAAATCTTTTCAGGATGGGGACTGTTTACTAGTGTGTGGGCAATTCCTAGCAAATAATGACTGCTAACCGTAACATAAACATTGATAACTCAATATAGCATTTGGATAACAAAGGGCTTTATTTCTAAACTTGGCATGTTCTTCCTGGTGATTGAAGATGCCGCCTCCTATTTCACAATCCATTTTCTTTCAATGAGGCTAAATGGAAATAGCATTTTAAACTTGTGCAGTCTTTTATTTTTCTTAACTTGAAAAAGACTGACTGGTTATTTGAATGTGCATCCACTCTAGTTCCCACTGGTTAGGGAAGAGGGGACTGTGGGATTCGGACTCTTTTACAAAATATATATATTATATATATTCACTGTAACAAGTATACATATAGTGCTCTCTTAGGGGGTAACACCCTCTTTCTTCCTGCATTAGTAATATCCCCCAGCTATTGAACTTGTTCGCATGCATTGCAGTTTGTAAACCTAATGACTCAATCACATAGCATACATTCTGGTGCTTCTTGCTGAGCTGCCTGTGTCACAAGAGTTTAGTTCTTACTGAAATATTGTTCTGAGGAATCCTGTCATCTGATATCTGCTCATTTGGGTGCCATCCTGTATTCTGCACTGTCTAACCAGACCTAGTAGTATCTCTTCCTAGAATGCATTTTAGAATGAACTGAGTACTTTTAATCCAGCTGTTTCATTCATTAGGATGTATGTGTGGGTGGTAAAGTGAAGAGTTAATGGGTAAGAATAGTAAGAACAGGACAGTATGTCCAGTGAAAAACACTGAGTCTCTAGAGGATGCCTTTTGTGGTAGTAATGATGTAAGAGGTTAAGGTGAGCTTGATTTTTACTTCTCTCCAAAAAGACTTGAAAAGCTTCTGACACTTGCTTGAAGACTAAGCCTGATATGCCAGGTGGGAAAGTACCTATGCCACCATGCCCTCATGCATACTGAATTTCCATCCACGTATCTTAAATCCCCTGGAAAAAATTACTTCTTCTGTCCTCTTAAATAATAACACCTCCCTTGGTCTGTTCTATCACCCAAATAAATTAAATTCCACCTCCCCAATCAGTTCTACCCCAGTCCTCAACTTCACAGGGTGCTGCTGCCCTCACCCTCTTGCTCTTAAGGAAATGTCTGGGTCCCTGCACCTACCAAATATTCCCCTGGGCACTCTAATTGCATCAACCTTTCCTGTTAAAGTAGTAGTGTTTTAGAGATTTTGTGGCCTTCCTTTCCCTCCCCGCCAGACAGAGGCCAGTGTCTCCCTGGTCTCACTCAGCCTATGTACATGGGCAAAACTTCTACTCACCCTGAGTAAATGGAATTTAAAAGCCCTACACTCCAGTACTTTTGATTAAGGAAATAAAAGTTGTACCCAACTCTAGGCTAGAAATTTCTCATTTTAAAGCTAATCTTCAGTAAGGGTGTGAATAGAGTCCAGCAAGTTAAGCATGTCAAATAAGTCTCTGACATGAATTCACAAAACTGGGCAGTGCACATTCTATGTGGCCAATTAAAATAAAGGAGCTGAACACTTATATTTAAGTTTTTAATTGCTCTTAGTTACAGCACTTTGTTTTCTCTGAGGCCTTCTTAAAATATTCTAAGAGTAGGAGGGAACAGGGCAGGGTGACAGAAAATTTAGTTGCTGTTTTAAAAAAACATAGCTCAGTATATGCTGAAAAGTGACTCATCCATGAACTTAGAACTCCATGATACCCTTCCTACAGTCACTTTCTGACCAAATTTTGTTCTGACAAGTAGAATGTCTGTCTTGTTGTTTTTGTTTGTTTTCCTTAACTAACTACTGAGTTAACCTGAAAGTCCAGTTTGGTTCTTCCTGGCTCTCATCTTCAATAATCAAAAATTCTCCAAATGTAAATTTCTTAAAAATTCTGATGCATCAGCTGGACTAGAATCTTAGTCTCAGTATATGTGTTGGCTTTACTATGCTAACAGAAAAAGCAAATGGTAAAAATATCCTTATTGTTAAAGTAACCAATAATTTTACATAGACCCTCTTTTCCCATAACCTCACTTCGGTGTGGCACAAACTTTTTGCACATAAGATGAAGGTTGTGCAAACACTCCATTTAATGAAGCTTCAGTAAAAACTTGAAACCTCAACATAAAACCCCAAATAATGAAAAACTGGTTTCCTTTAGAGCAGTTCTGAAGTCTGACACAGGAAAGATATTGAAGTTTTAATTTTAAGTGGCCTTGTATCCATTTTGATACTAAATTCATGTCTTTTTCTGACAGGGTCGAGATGCCCTGGAATGGGTGATCGGCAAACTAAATACAGAGTTTGAGGAGTTAACATCATCAACACGGGTGAGCATGAAATCTGGAATGGCAGCGGCATCTGCAGCAGAGAACTGAGGCCACATAACACCAAGGAACTGTGACAGAACGACTTTATCCCATGAACTTTATTTCCTTAGATCTCTTTTCTATGGCTAACACCAGACTTTTATATGTTCATAGGAATGTCCGAACCCGAGAAAAATGTTTTTCTAGATCTTTCTAGGCTCCATATCAACTATTTGACCAGTGAAGACTAACATGAGCTCTTATGCTTTCCTTTATTTTCATTTAAATAACCCCATGTGCTGTAGCCAATTGAAACAAAATCTTTCTGGCAATTCTTAAAAATGCCAAAATGTGCCTTTTTATAAAGGCGGTAACTAGTAGGTTTCTTCTACCTTCTACCATCTGTTTTTTGTGCTCACTTTAAAAAAAAAAGTGTGTACATATATTTATTAAGAATTTCTTTAAAGCGAGCAGCTGCTGTATTTTATGAAGGGCAGATGGGTATAAAAGCACTGAATCTAGTGTTAGTCTTCGCTGCCGAAGGGAAATAACGAAAAGTGACGGAGCTATTTACTCAGGTTATCTGAAAAGCTAGTTCTTGCATGATGGTACTGCCTCTTGCATTGTTAAATGCAGTGTCTGAATGTGATACACAGGTGATTTATGTCTTGGATGTTTGGATACAAACTTCTGACAGATGCAGTGAGAATTTAGATGTGAATATAGATTTTTAGTTAGACTTTGTGGGGATAGAAGATTTTATTTTTGTAATATTTATTCACTGGTTCTAGTCTTTCTCCCCCTCTTCTGGAAGAGCAGCTGATACCTCCATTGAAAGCATTGGAAAACTATTGACTTCTAAATGCAACTTTTTATAAGGTGATTTGAATGAAGAGTATCTTTGTTGCTTCAGATTGTAACACTTAACTACTGTTTCTTGTGCCACAAACAAAGATATCATGAAGACTCGGCAGAAACTCAGATCTACTTTGCGGAGTAAAGTTTAGGAGTACTAAAAAAAAAAAAAAACAGATGAGAAGCAGAATTGGCTTTCTCTAGAAATTTTTTTTTCCCCTCCAGAGCTTTCCATGTTTTTGTGTTCGTCTTTAATTGATATTTTTAACAATATTTTTGTCAGGTTGGCATGAGTAATCATTTTTAGGCTCATTTAAATGTTTCTGGTTGTAGTCCTTCATTGTCCGTTGGGGAAAACAAGATTGCAAAATCCAGTAACACCTATACAGTAGAATATTTGCAGAAAAACACAAGTTGGATTGCTTTCCAAAAGGTATGAAATCTTTGGCATTCTGTGGCATGGATACAGAAATGAGTGTTTGAAAGCTGCATAAGTTTCAGATGCAGCCTTCAACTGAAGGTAAATTTTTGATTTGTTGAAGAATTGGAATTTTTTTGTGTGTGCGCATGCAAAGGCTGAAGAAACGGTCTGTTGCAAAGACTTGATTCCTTGTGCAAACAGAACAAATGGTTTAGAAAACTACCTTTGAGTAAAAAATTAAAATTTTTTTATGGTAAAAATAAATAATTGTTCCATAACTTGCTTTGATTGGAGTGCTTTAAAATACAATGCTAGTTTGGTGGAAAACCCACCAAACACATGCACTATGTATTTTGGTAATTGCATTGTCCTCTTTTAAACTAAGAGGTAGGACTGAAACTATCAAAGTATGCTTTCCTACCAAGAAAATATTTCTGTTTTTAAAAAAAAAATTTTTTTTGGTTGGATAAGAATTAATCTTAGCTTTTCAGAACCCAGGAAATATTTACCTTTTTGTCTTCATGTTGACCTCGGATGTTCCCTGTATGAAACAGACACTACGCCCAGGCCTTAGTTCTGAAGAGGTTGTCTTTCTCCAAAGGACAAGGACAACCTGCATAATACTGACATTTTAGCTGAAGTGAGTTCGCTGTCTAAGTGTTACATGATGTCCTTTTCTGGGGCGGGGGGATGCAGACAGGTCTAGTTGCAAAAAACGTTGTCAGCTCCTACCTTGCTATTTCATCCTGGCACATATGAGTGAGACACAACGGCCACAGCTGTGCAAATGAGGTAAAACAGATGTGACTGACTTGGGGAAAGTTGTAGTAGTACAACATTCCAACACATGACTGTTTTGTTAAGTGGGAAGTGTTAAATGCGCAGGTGTGGCTATGCTGCAGTAAAACACCCATGGCTGAAGCAGGCTTACAGAGCTATAAAATTGTACCATAGACATTCACCCCTCACATCCTGGAGTCCAGGCTCCAGTCTGAGCCCAGACATCTCTAGTACAGTTTTATAGCTCTGCGAGCCGGATTCAGCTTACGTGGGCCAGCTGGTGGGTGTTTCTTGTTGCAGTGTAAACAATGCCTCCAGACCTGTCAGACTCTCTTAGCCCCTTGCAGTTTGCTGATCACCCTTGTATTGTGCCTAATACTGCTGCTAAGTTAAGCATGAATTATTGCTTAGGGTAGTCTTAAAATCAATTTGCAGATATTAAAACACAGCTATCACTACCCCTGCAGCATTTGCTACTTGGCACCTTCCAGTCTTGCATATGACTGCTTCTGTCCCATCCTTTCTCTCCTTATTAGCTCTTGTAGGACAGCCAGTGGTGCTGCCCCTTCCAGTCTGCTTCAGACACACACTTTTTGGGCTACTCCACACTGCTTTATCTTGGCCCAAACCAATTACAAATGCAGTCAGGTCGGGAGGGGGGGGTTCTCCTCACTATCCTGGGTGCCTCTCCCAGAAATAAGTTTCTATAGAGCCATGTTTGGTCACTCTCAAGCCATATGTGTGTTGGGGGAGGGGGAGGTGTTCTCCCCCTTGTAGCTCCTGAGCTGCTTCCTCCGAGCTCCCTTGTGGCCCACCGTTCTCCATGGCTGCCTCAAGTAGCTTCTGGCCCTGTCTCCTGGCCCCAGAAGTTTCTCTCTTCCTCCCAACCCCTGCAACTGTTCTCCTTGGCCACTAGTTGCTCTGCACTTTTGCTGACCCCCTCTTTTGGCCTGGAAGGCCGTGACTTGGGTTGTAGCTATACTGGGGGAGGGAAGTTAATCCTAGCTGCTTCTTGGCTGTGCTCCCAAAAGAGCTGCTTAAGAGCTTCTGGGATGTCTGCCCACCTAATGCTCTGTTGGCCCATGTCACTGCCTCCATCCTTGTTCTGCCTCCCGCTTAGTCTGAGAATCATTCGGGGTCGGGAGGGCCCTCTGCTTTAAATCTCCTGAAAAGAAGATGCAAGTTGCATCCACTCTTAATTTGCTAGGCATAGCCTCTTGCACTGTGGTCTAATACCACCCACCATGCATATGTGTGCACCCTTGGGACCACCGAGTGATTGATGGATCACACTGCATTTTGTTCTTATCTGCATTACTAGATGTTCATCAGGTCCAGTGTTACTCGGGATCTATCTTGACTTCCACGGGGAAACTCATTCTCTTTCATGCCAGTTGTCTGACTTTAGGGTTTCTATTTTCCTGTGGCTTGTCCAAGCTGTTTTCTGTTTTGCCAGGATCCTCTCTTCTTGTGAACAGCACTGCTCCAGTTATAGGTATGGTCCTTTGTGCAGTCTGTCCTTTCATCCTGTTCCTCCTCCTGTCATTGTGGTAGTTCTGTGGAGCCATTGTGCAGATGGACCCTCGGCTGGGGACTGCATTTTCACAAGTCACAGCTGCATATTCCCAGTCTTGCACAAGTGTCCCACTTGGACCTGTGGCACTCACGTGAGCACCCCCCTCCTGCCCCGCATCCATCCACACAAAGTTCTATAATATCTTCAAACTCTTTGGCTGAAACAGACTCTGGTTAGTCTTCTATGTAAAATCTCTGATGGATCAGATTTTATTCCAGTCTTGCATTAATCAAAGTGCCCTGTAACTCTGGGCCCTTTTAATGTGGTCGTTCTCTCCTGTATAGGGCACGTCTAAGTCTACTTTCTCAAATGTTGAGGTGGAAAACCTTACATTGCTACTGTGGGCTCTGGCACTGCAGACAGTGCCCAACAGAAAGGAGGAAAAAGCTTACACCGTCGGGAAGAGTTCAATCAAAATTAGAACCTAACCTGTCCAGCTCCTTTTGGCTCTGGGAGGTGATGCCAAAAACGTAAGTATTGAGTGAAAGAAAATCACTTGGCTCATTAAAGGGCAGGAGGTGCAGGGTTAGGTAGGAATCCTACACTATAGCACCATGAGGGTCGAAAGAAGGGATGGAAAGGAATTGAGGGGTTTGGTTGTTTACAGCCCAGCCTTACCTCAGTTAGTGATATTGTCAATGCAGCTCTTACCCACATGCACATCCTTAAACAAGTAAGAGTTGAAGCAGACTTCTAAGGCTGTCTCTGCGTCCCACCTCACAGTTCCCTTTGGTTCAGAGTCTCTCTCCTTAAAGCATCCATGCTGGTGTTAGCTGAGACCATTTTGGAGCTGTCAGTTGTGTCTAATAGTGAATGTCCTGTTCTCCCTTGTAGCTGTGTGTCTATCTTGCACTTCCCTATGCCCCTTTTAAGATTCCTCACCAGTGCTGCGACTGCAGTTCCGTAGTCTTCTATGCGGGGGCAGGGCGGGCAGGGCTTGCAGGGGTGCTAGGGCTAGAGGTACTAGATAGGAAAGCTCACCCGGCCCGGGAAGTGCCAAGGCTTACTGTAAACAAAGCCCGAGCCTACTGAAAGTAGCTGAGGTAACTAGAAGAAATCCAGCTACAGCATTTCTACCTCCTGAGAATTACAGATGACTGGGATCAGTTTTGTTGTGTAATTTATAAAAATAGAGTACGTTAAACCCTGATCATCTTCATACTTTAACCAAGACCTTTCCATTAAATTAAATGCATTTAATCTTCCTTATACTTCGAACAACATTTAACTCTTATTATGGTGAAGGCAAGGATAATGGATACACAGTAACTCTTCCTCATCTCCTACTCTTCCCATTGTCCTCTCAGTTCAGACTGTAAACTCCTCAAACTATGATTCTCTGCCCTATCTGTAACGTAAGGGGCCATGCACATCTATGGTGCTAAGTAATTACACAATCTACTAAAAATAACTACGGTGTATTGTTTTCTTTGTAGTAAAAACAGGCAAGCATTTGCTGCTTATGGATTCTCTCCCCACCCCCCCATATTTCACCTAGTCTAGCCCGGGAGCAGGAAATGGTGGTGGTGATGCAAGCAACTAGCTGAAACTATGATCTGCCCTGAGCATTTCCTTAAAGAGGATGCACAGATACGCTCATGTCTTCTTGTAGTTCAACAGGTGTAAACTGAAGGAGGAAGATGAGTAATTCTTCCCTGATGAATAGTTAAAGTTGAGCTGCTTATGGGTTAATGGTGCCAGTGACATGGGTGGGAGGAACCATGTGTTTGATGTGAGGCTGGAAGTAGAGTGGGGGACCCTTAACTGTAGCTCAGGTTTCTTAGTAAATAATCCCACTTTTTTGTATATAATTTAGTTTAAGCCTTAATTTGGAATGTAAATTATCTGTGTCTATCTCCGAGCCTTGTCATAGTTTCTGCGCAGAGTGGAGGTGGAGTCTTGGATGGGAGAAGTCAGGGGACAAGGAGTGGGGGAGAGATGGATGGGTCTGGGGGTCCCAGAGGGCCTGCCAGGGGGGTGGATAGGGGTCAGGGCAGGCCCAGGACAGAGAGCAGAGGGGGTTGGTTAGGGGGAGGGGGTGCCAGGAGGGGACAGTTAGGGGACAAGGAGCAGGGGGGATTGGAGGGGTCAGGCTGTTTGGGGAGTAACAGCCTCCCCTATGCAGCCCTCCATACTGTTTTGCACCTTGAGGTGGCCTCAGGCCAAAAAGTTTGCCCACCCCTGAGTTAGAGCCTATAATAGCAACCAGTATTTAGGGCACTAAGGCTAAGAACAAAAAACAATAATCACTATTTCAGCTCAGCTTACACAAAAGCCCATTATTAACTATTTAAATACTCAAGGTGTGTTTTAACCATTCATTATGTCAAGAAAGCTGGAACTAGAGAATGCACCTTTTAAGAGCTTTTTACTAGTAATGCATAAACAAACTGCATTTCAGTATCACAGCGTGAAAACAAGCAGAAAAACTCCTAGTGCCTTTCTTGCATATAAATAATTGCCCTCATCTCTTGGAAGCCATACAAAAGTACATGCACCATGACAGCTTGGAGGAAGAAGGGATTTGAAAAATTAACACTTTTGGTTTGTGTTTTATCCTTAAAGACTGAGTTGAAATACTCTCCAAGGTGAAACTTACTGGTGGGACTCCTACTTCATGCAATTTATGGTGCTTAGGCTGTAAGCTCAGTGCAGGTGTCCTTTGTATGTAGTGCAAGGTTTAGCAAATTAATAGGCACCCCTGTAAGTTAATGCTAACTTCCATAGGCCTGGAAAGAATGAAATGGCTGCATACTGTGCTGGCAAATGTAGGCCCATTAGAGATGAAATACTGACAGATAAATAGGACTAAAAAGTTCACAAACCTTCAGGCTAAGTTACTTCTGAGGGTGCCTATTACACTGCTACCCTGCAAGTCATCACTTCCATTAAAACCCCTTGCTTGATATGAACCAAATCCAGAAGGGCATGTGGGTGAGGCATGGGCAAAGATAAAAAAAAAAAGCCTCCACTAATGGATGGCAGCCCTTTACCTGCTATGCAATCTTTTTCAGACACAGGACTGTGCTGCAGCAGAGCTGGGTTCTAGTCCCACCTTTGAGACAAGCTTCCTGTTGACATTGATGAAGGAGGTGCTGTGATTCCCCCATCTGTAAACTGTGTATTACCTACCTCACAGAGGTGTTGCAAAGCTAAGAAACAAATCCATCTCCTGCGTCAGGGGGGCAAAGTTCAGAGGTACTATGCAATGCTGGGGGGTAGGGAGGAATAGGGTCTCTAATGGAGTAGCTGTGTCTCCTTTCCATAGCCTACATCTATTCTCAGTGCTCAGCCCAGCTCCTTAGGCCCAGGCCCTAGGATACCTTAGGGGTTGTTAGGAAGGTGCAGCAGTATGAAGTACTGTTTCTAACACACAAGCACCCCATGTTTATGCAGGGGCTGGCCCTTTAGACTGGATTTCAGAAGTTTCTAGAACTAGACGTATCCAATTCAAGACTGACTCTTTCAAAAACTGGTTTAACAAATGTTTTCAATGAAAAACAGTTTAGACCAGCAGGTGGCAAGACCACTTATTAGCCCTACAAAAAGGCAGGGTGGTAGTTGCTACACAGCATGGACAGGATTCCTCATTAACCCCTGAAGTGCTAGGTCTCATATACTTGCTGTGGTAATGTTACCCAGTACTGTGACCAATGGGAGATTAGGAGGTATCTGAAACCTTGGCCACACAGCATCTTGTGGTCTGCGTGGGCTGACCCTTGTTAGTTCTGCATCTGTCATGTAGTTAAAAGAACAGCCTGCCTGCCTGCCAACTAGAAACTAATATATAGACTAAACAAATGCAGCATCAGTTGAATAGTGCATAGGTCCCCTTTTGTGCACTTGCAGGGTGACTGTGGACTTGGGGCTTGTCTACACTGGCTACCTCTGCTAAAGGATTCTCCCATCAGCATAGGTCTGGGGTTCTCAAACTGTGGGTTGGGACCCCATTTTAATGGAGTTGTCAAGGCTGATGATAGTAAGATCCTCCTACTATTGGCCAGGCACCAGTGTGGATCTAGACAGGAGGGTGGTAAAATGCTCTGGACTGGTGCTAGCCCAATCGTGGGAAAATCTGTGACAACTGTCAGTATACACAAGGCCTTGGCAGCATACATTTTACCTTCCTACATAATGGAAAGTTTGAAAACAGCTTGAGAGCTACCCGCAGGAGAAATTGCTGATAAGTTGCAGAGAGAAAGAGACAGTAATTTTAAAAAGTGCAGTTCTTACAGCACCTGGAGAGTCTTCTTATAAAACCCAGGTTCTAAAATGCATTTTATAAAACTATGGGCCAGATCCCATGGTCTGTTCAGGGTGCTTTGTGCTACTCTAGAACTCAACTGGCCAACAGAAGATTCCCTTGATCTAGAGGAATCCTCTGATGGCATGAGACTAGCAGCGAGGCTCCTACATCATCCTCCCACCACCCAGTATAGGGATACATCTGGGGGAAAGACAGAGAATGGGGCCAGGATGCATCTAAGTCTTGGCAATCCTCCTTCTGGAATGGCCTCTTCAGAGACATAGACTAATGAATGTAAAATGTAATACCTGTGGCTGGCCCAGGACTGGAAGGCTGTGAAGTTGCCATAGGGATGGAAGGGGTTCTAACAGCATCAGCTCATCACCCGTACAAATACTGAAGGAAAGGTTTAACTTCCTTACTTCTCCCAAGTTCAGGTGAATGGGCTCAGGCTGTAATAGGGCCTGACTGGCTTGTGTTTTGAAGAGAATGCAAGATCTATGTCTGGTTGGCTTTTTCAGTAGAGTGATCAAATAACACACACTAGCTGTTTTCTTATTCGGGTATTTTTTGTGAAATATTAAGGAAGATCAAAAGCATATTAGTGAAGTCAGAGGAAAACAAGGGAATGGAAAACAAGACTGCATGCCTGTGATTAATATTAACAATTCAGCAGCTCAGTTTTAACTTAGTTACATATCAAAGAAAAAAAATAAAACCAGCTTTCAGTCTTCTACATGGAAATGATTTAGAATTTAATGCTAAGATAAGAGGTACGCTGTTGCATCAGAATACAGCACCTTTCCCCTATCCACTGTGCGATGTCACTTTCACAAATACAATTAAAATAATAAAGACATTCCTAAAAGCTGCACAGAACTTCTGGATGAAGTTTAGCATGATTGCTACCTTCATGCCTGTCTAAAGTTGGAGCTTCCCCCACCTCCCTACCTATGCAGCCAATCCTAGAAGGGAGAATCAGAGAACAGACTGGTTTTTGGAAAATAAATTATGGTGTGTGTGTATTTTATTTCTTGATAGCCTTCCATTTTGGTCTTTGAAAGACTCCTAGTACGTCTCCCACAATGCACATCAACTACAGGCTCCAAAAAGATAGGTTGTGTGTAGTTATTTCAGATTCTGTAAAAAGTTCAGCGCAACTGATCCATATAGGAAGAGTTAAAATTATATACAGCTCTTCAGCTTGTGATATGGAAGGTTTTGGTAGGAACTGGTCATACTGTACTTTTCTACTGCTTAGCAGAAGCAGTATTTTAATGCAAAACATACTTTAATGCTTAGAGTCCAGTGGGTCACATATGCAGTTATATTGCTATTCTAAAGACTATTTTGACCTGTTTCCTTTCTTTCATGTAGCCCAGTAAGTGTGAAAATCTTACTCATCAACACTACAAAAGAAACCACCATTTGACTTTTACAAAATCCTAAAAGGCCATTCAAATTTTTCTTTACAATAGTTTGCACATGAATAATTAATACACACAAAGGCTATGCTCCAAAGACATTTTATTGTCCCCAGGTTTTTTTTTCTTCAATAAAGGACTTAATGAAAAAACCCCATAAGCAATATCGTCACCATGAATGTTGAAAGAATTTGTTTTATACACATGAGAGCTGCCACAAAGGCCTGTTTGCTACCTTCATTGCAGCTGTTAGCAAGGCTGAGCTGGCTTTGAATTCTCAAGAACTGTTTTCATGTATAAAATACAAGACCATTGCATTGTCAATGACATTTTTTTAAACCCCTTTTGGGTCTCTGATGCACTTATACAAGTCCTAGTTTTATTAAACACAGAGGGAAAAAAAAAAGATTTTAAAAACTCATTGAAATGAGCTCGCTGTGCTAGTCCCACAGTCTTTTCAACAGAAATTCATTTTACAATGTCTATGGAGAGAGGCTCAACTTTAAATCTAATAATATAATCAATATACATATAAATAAGACTCACTTTTTTTTAAAATCTTCATGGGAAAGTCAATTCCCATTGCTCAATGCATGACAGCTTTCTAAATATTAATAAATATATTACAGACATTTACAAACTTTTGTTTTTCTATTCTGACACAGATATGAAATTTAAGCCATAAATAGGACTTTGTGGGCAGCTTGATAAGGTACGCGGGTAAAGTGGACTGGTCCTTGACACTTGGAATGGGTTTCGGACACTAGCATGAACGGTGAGGTGGAAAGCTCAAAATAGTCCACTCCAGACTGATCCAGGCAAAGAGTGGACAGTGCTTCTTCCGCCTTTGCTTGAGAAAGAGAATTGCATTTCTTACTTTGTTTCCTCTGCCAAAGTAAAGGCCAGCACATTGTACAAGAGTCTATTTTCCCTAATATAGATGGAAGCAACCAGCGTGGAAACCCCCCCAGAGATTGGCAGCTCTAGGGCAGGATTCCCCTCTCCAGGTTCTTGTGGGAGTCTCTGTGTGCTACCATCACACTGCCCTGGAGTGGCCGAGACAGGCGGATGGGGGTAGAACTGGAAGCCGCCAGCCTTTGCACTCTGCTGCCCTCACACACTAATGGACTCTTAAGCTGACGACCATTCACTAGTTCACAGGACCATTTTTTGTTCTGTGTTTGTACAGTGCCTAGCACAACAGGGTCATGGCAGGTGACTAGGTCTGCTAGGTGTTGCAGTATCACAAACACCACAAAGTTAGTAATGATGCTAGAAGCAGCATCAGCTCTCCTCTACAGCATCTATGAGGATGCACTGATATGGGAGAGAATATCTCACCAAGGAAGCCATGCTGCAGGGAGCAGGGATGATGCACAGAGGAGTAGGCCTTCATGGATGGCCCAGGATCTGCAGGGCTGGAGTCTGATTTCACTGCTCATATACTGGATGTGAGGCATTATGAGGCTATGGCTTCTATCACAAATCCCTCCCAATAGAAAGAAAAACATGCTGCATACTCTGCACCCCTGAGAGCCTCAGAGACATCAAGGAATGCGTTTCCTGCTCCTGCAGCTTTTTCCAAGGGGCCATGAAGAGGAGCAGTAAATAGATGTAAGGGGCGTAGAGGGGGATGTTTCCCAAGAAAAATTAAACACAGAATAATGGGGGTTTAAAATAAAAGCCCCATGTGCTTCCCTGGGAACTGGTCATCTGGTGTGATTACTAGGCAATACAGCAAGGGAAAAAGGGATGGGTGGGTAGCTGGGCTGCAGGGATTGATTTTGGCACAGAAACACAAGTGGCAAAAGAAGTGCTACCATGACTAACGGGGGATCTTATTACCCATTTCACATGAATTGCACTGTGCTACCCCACTGTCATAGGTCCTTAACTCATCAAGATATTGTAATTCCTTGAATACAGAGGTGAAAGTAAGCCGGTACAGAGTACCAGCAAGAGCCGGTGCGCCGTACCAAACTGGCTTCCCCGGCGGCAATTTAAAGGGTCTGGGGCTCCCAGCAGCGGCTGAAGCCCCAGGCCCTTTAAATTGTCGCCAGATCCCCGCTGCTGGACCCCTGGGGTAGCGGAGGCAGCTGGGAGCCCTGGGGCTCCGTTGGCAATTTAAAGGGCCCAGCCGCCGCTACCACAGCCCTGGGCCCTTTAAATTGAGATTTAAAGGGCCTGGGGCTCTGAAGGCCCTGCCTCTTCCAATTGAGGCCCCACCCCTTGCTCAGGGCTCCAGCGTACCGTTAAGTCATTTAAGTTACTTTCACCCCTGCTTTAATATGAAAGACCCATCGTCCTGAGGTCCCCAGACAGAGGGTGTAACAGCTGCATGGCCCTCTGCAGAAAGGAAAGGGTTAAGAATGGGGACTCACACATAACTCTGAACTTCCTGGGATCATCAGTTCAGGCAAACCCTTAACATTATTACCCGATACTCGCTGTGTGTGCAAACTATGTAAATACGATTAAAGGAAAATGAGGATGGATGTGTCCCAGGATGGGTTTAAAAAGCCCTTTGTACAAGCTTTTCAGAACAGCCCAAACACACATTTACCTAATAGCAGACTAGCTGCTTTGGAGCTATTACAACTTAACTTGCAAATATGCCTTGAAAGGGGAAATCCTGCACGTTTGGGGGGCAGGGAGCCCAGCCTACTGTGAAACTGGGGCAGCTCCACTGCGTGGATTTGGGAAGCCTGTGAAGGTGGTCCCAGTGGGTGGCTACTCCCCTCCCACACAGCAGGGATGGTGCAGCAGCAGTTGCAGAGTGGCTCTAATGTTGCTCAGTGGAATGTGGGAACCATACTCCCATCATCAACCCAGAGCCCCGACATCAAGTCTAGGATTTGGCTCCCAGTGACTTTTTAAAATGCATAATATTTGGTTCAAGAGATTCTATTTTGTAAATATGTATTTAGAGTTTGAAAACAGATCAACCTTAACTGTATTACAAAAACCCTGTCTCAGCTACTTTGGAGCAGTTCTGAGGTATCTCTCATCAATCTCTAGTACAGAAATGTTAATAAATTAGATCTGAATCTTTCCTACTATGATATTATATAATACAGAACTGTATTGATATTAAATGTCAATCTGGGTATGAAAAATGTTATGAAAAAGTTACTGTGTACGCACAGTAGTTGATTTTCAAGTATTAGTAACTTGGTTGTGTTAACTTATCTCCATATTATGGACTAAACTCTAATTATGTTTTAACTGCTTTAAAAACAAAACATCTGAATATAAAAAAGAGCAAAAAGCATGTGATGTTTGTTAACATTGTAACATTATTGAAACTTTTAACAGGTAGACTTTTTTCTCCATAAGTTTGTTAAAAAGCAAAACAAAGTGCTCCTAATCTGAGACACAGTTGTCCCAAATTTCATCAGGATCCTAAATTTTACAGCCAAACTATAAACCCCTGAAAAATGGGATTTATAATGGATATGCTCCTGAACTTTTAATAATAGCAGTGCTTGTGTGTTCCACTATAATACAAATATACATATTACCCATACTTCCTCTCTGGGTAACCATGTTACATACTTTACAGGAATTCAGTTAAACTTAGAAGCCTCTCTTATTTCCCACCCTCCCCATCGAGTGTACAGCTCTATCTACTGCTAAAACTACGACTACCAAATATAATAATCACAATACATTCAAAATAAGGAATCGACTACTCTTACCTGCACAGGAGACACTTCTAATTACACCAGGGCTTAGAAGTACAGCAGCTCAGGGTAAATGGCCCACCATTTGGACATACAGCCTACTGAGATATTTTACACTAGAACACAGACATTATAAAGTTCCACATTGAACCATGATCTCAGAGCAGTAACAACAGTTGAAAGAAAGATAATGTTGATAGCACTAGCAAAACCTTCTAGGTTTTGTGCTGTGAGACAATGAGACCAACAGCCCACACTAGGTTTTTGGTGTACAACATGGTTCCATGTGCCATATAAACTAGAACATGAACACTATTAGGTCGGTAATGCCAATATGACTTACTGCTTACAATTGTGCTAACATTGACACCTGTGTTAGATTTGGTTCTCCTTTAGGAATACAATTCAGCTCCTGTCCTAAAAACAATTCAAGGAATGATGAAAAACTGAATGCAAATAAAGGGTTTCTATCTCCACAATGCACGCGCACACACACACACACAGGGAACATTTTCAAACTATTGTTTCCTTCCAGTGCAAACGAGTTATTGGCTGACCTATTACTTATCATTATCTATAGATAGGAATGTAGAGTCTGTGGAAACCACAGAATAGCAAACCCTGTGATCTAATGCAAATTCAAGCTCGTTAAGTAAAACAAAGGGAAGGGTAGTTTCAGTGATCTTTCTCACAGATGCTGACCTCATGAAGACAAAAGCAAAGAAAAAGGCACAAGACTCAGATCTCATTGATCGTTCTCTCAGAAGGGCAGTATTCAGAGTTGCCTGGTGATGCCATGCAGAATGATTGTGTTTTCCTTTTTAACCTGGCTCGTTTGTTGGCCAGAGAGAGGCTGCGCCGGCTTGAGCTGATGATTTCTGAAATAAACTTTTTGCAGTCCACGCACACGTCCATGGTGCTCCAGTCCTCCATTAACTCTTTGGGAAACTGTAGATCTTCATTTGATTTATCCACAGACTTAGACTTTGCGGACAACCTGAAAAACAAAGAATCCGTCCCTTACTCATTATCATTATTTACCATTCAGCCCAGTTTTGGACACGAATGGAAAGAATATGCTATTCCTGTCCCAAGTCTTGCTGTCCCTGACTTAAGGAGAGTGCAAAAAAGCAGCAAGGAAAGGATGGAGATGGGAAGACACGTCAATAAGATTACATGGTTATTCGGTGAAGGCTAGTGTAAAGCATGATTTGGCAAAGAGAATTTTATGAATGACTACATGGATGTCCTAATTTGGCTAATTTGCGTGTAGGCACCCTGGCAGACAGACTTCCACACAGAGAGAGGGGTCCGTGGATCTACAGCCTGACCTGATCCAAATGTTATTTCTGGGATTAGCTTTAATAGCAGCCTGTGTTCAAAATGTAAAACCAAAAGATAAATTATCACCAAAGCCAAAATGAAACAAACCTATGGCTAGAGAGTAGAAAGAGTTTGACATGTGTAAGTCATTGTTTAATAAGGGAGCATTTCCCTATTCAGTTACCAACAACATACGGATTTTTCTTCTAAGGATCCATCTACACTAGAAAAAAAAAAGTGACAATATTTATCAGCTGTACTAATATTACTGTCATCAGCTATAGTATAGACAAGGGACACAGCACATTTTAAATATCATGTCAGCAAGTCTTATGTAAGTAAATATAGTTTATATTTACTAAGTAGTAAATGAAAAGTAATCAGGATGGGTTTTGTTCCACGACAAATGTAAGGAAAAACCTCAATCTTGAAATTGGTAAGGAAAGACATTTATCTTTGGGTTTCTAAAAAGATATGACAAACTTTGAAAAATTAAAACAAACTACAAAAACAAAGCCTAGTAGATTATGTCTCATTAGCAACTAAGAGACTGAGAAGATCTTATGAAGAGCTGATACCAGAAGTAGAAGCTGAACTAGGAATGTCTCTCACCTGGACATGCTCCTAAGCGGCCGGTGGTGACTGGTGGAGGGTTTTTCTGGTCTCATAAAACTGTCTCCTCTCTGCAAAGCAGAAGGTCCCAGAGAAAAGATAGGAAGGGTGGAGTATGGCTTTGATGGCAATCGCATCTGTTACAAGAGCAGGAGAATGACAGTGTGAAGTATCATTACCAAAGACACAGCCTTTCTGAAAGGAACAAATAGTAGGTTCCTGAACTTACCTTTTTGCAACACTGTGAACATACAGGCCTGTGTAGGAAAGTAAAAGTCTGAATCATTCAGTGTAAAGAAATGTTACTTAAGTAAGACACTGTGGGGTGCATAGAGTTCCATATTTACTGCCTTATTGACTATCACCTTAAAGTTTGCTCAGTTTACAAGTAAACATTTTTCCCCCAACTGCCAATACTACCAACTCAAATTAAATCTGAAATTCTCTTTGTTCTTTTGGGTTCACATGTCACCCCCCAGTAATGAGGATTCTGTACAATCTAATTGCCTCGTACCCATATGGGCTCTGCTGGGCTAACAGAGGAGTACTGTTACTGTTTTATTCTAAAACCTGAGCAGCTCTGAATATGAATATTTTAAGGGAGCAGATATGTTGAATAAGGAAGAGCCATTTTTACAGTCGTTTTTCTGACCATAAATACATTTCAAAACCAAAACCAAACAACACTGTGAATTAAAACAGAAACCAATGGGGTATGAATCCTGACATTTCACACTGAGCAAAAACTCACCTCTTACAGAACTGACAGGTGTAGGACCAGGTGAAGAAAGAAAACCTCCTTGTTCGACAACAGAAACAGAGCTAAAGAAATTGTAAACAGAAGAGACTGCAATGTCAGCAGTTCAGTCATGGAAATAAAATTGCATGCTTCTAACCGGGCCTTCGGTGAAGACGCACAGACTGAAGTTGGGATAGATAAACTTGTCTTATGAAAGGAGACTCAGGGCTTGTTTAGCCTAACTAAAAGAAGGTTGAGGGGAGATATGATTGCTCTCTATAAATATATCAGAGGTATAAATACCGGAGAGGGAGAGGAATTATTTAAGCTCAGTACCAATGTGGACACAAGAACAAATGGATATAAACTGGCCACTAGGAAATTTAGACTAGAAATTAGACTAAGGTTTTTAACCATCAGAGGAGTGAAGTTTTGGAATAGCCTTCCAAGGGAAGCAGTGGGGGCAAAAGATCTATCTGGCTTTAAGATTAAACTCGATAAGTTTATGGAGGAGATGGTATGATGGCATAACATGGTTTTGGTAATTAAATATTCATGGTAAATAGGCCCAATGGCCTGTGATGGGCTATTAGATGGGGTAAGATCCGAGTTACCCAGGAAAGAATTTTCTGTAGTATCTGGCTGATGAATCTTATGCTCATAATCTTAATGAATAATCTTTAAGAATCTTAAACCCATATGCTCAGGGTTTAGCTGATCGCCATATTTGGGGTCGGGAAGGAATTTTCCTCCAGGGCAGATTGGAAGAGGCCCTGGAGGTTTTTCACCTTCCTCTGTAGCATGGGGCACGGGTCACTTGCTGGAGGATTCTCTGCTCCTTGAAGTCTTTAAACTACGATTTGAGGACTTCAATAGCACGGATATAGGTGTGAGGTTTTTTTGTAGGAGTGGTGGGTGAAATTCTGTGGCCTGCGTTGTGCAGGAGGTCAGACTAGATGATCATAATGGTCCCTTCTGACCTAAATATCTATGAATCAGTTGAAAATATAGATTTGTTTAATGTGCAGGAGCCCAGGGGAGGAAAAGGAGACACTGTAAATTTTTTTTTCCATGATCTGTAATCTATGGAAAAAAAATACACTGGCAGATGGGTGCTCTGATATTAAATCCCCCTGGGGCACATGATGCATGATTTCCCAGAAGCTTTAAATTCCTTTTAGCTTGTTACACATGAGCCTCCGAATGTCATGCCTAAGGCTCAAAAAAAAAAATAAGAGTGTGAGATTAATGCACCCTGCTTACCTTTGGAGGACAATGCAGCCTTAAAATCATCCCACTTGCTTTAAAACTCGGAATATACAATTCAGCCAGACAAGGGGAAAAAAAGATTCCTCACTCATTTTATTCTAAATGAATGAGAAGAATTTGCTGACATATCTCATTGTCTCTTTCATACATAAGGGCCTGGGTTCCACACTCTTTACACAGGGAAAGCATCTGTGACAGACTGGGGGCTCTGGGTCAAGTTGTGAACCTGGTCTTGTTTTGTGGGTACCATTTTGTTTCCAGAGCTCCACTTTATACTGTAATCTTCATGTTGGAGTGCGACCCTCATGTTGTATTGCAATCTCCAATGGGGATTAGCGCAACTATTTTGTAGTGGGGGCTTCAGATCTAGTTGAATGACTATACCTGATAAGTTGGCACAGAGCAATCCAAAGCCAGCAGTGCTGTTTATCTCTTTACTGCTAGCCCAACCATAAAAAGAAAGATTATCTGCACAGAAACAGAGACATGGTGGGGGTGGGATGCGAGGAAGGGACAGGACCTACCAAAGGGGTTATATAAGTGGGAATACCCTATGTGAAGGAGCTGTCCACTGCTACATGCCGGGAGAACAGGCTAAGGACAGAGAAGGCAGGACCGGCAGGAGGGGTGAGATCAGACTGGGGGCTGTATTCAGAATTTTTTTTTTCAAACATCTGTAGCTTGCTCATTGTGCTTTGTTAAGAGTAAAGTGTCTGTGGTTAAGAAATTCCTTTGCTTAAGACTGTGTTCCTTGCTTGCCTGCCATGTTGTCCCTGAAGGGGCAAATCAGGAAGCTCAAAGCACTCACAGAGAGGTGGAACATATGTAAACAATTTGGAACTTGGTAGGGCTGCGTCACTGGTTCTAGGGTCCAAATGGAGTCCCAATTCCCAAGAAGGGTAGCAGACATGGGATCTGCACTTGGGAACATGCTTGAGAAACCCAGAGCTAGGAACAGTGACCAGACACTATCCAGACCCAAGGCACTTAGAAGCATGTGGGAGTCAGCAGCTGGGTCCACTCACAACAGACTGGTGTCCATTAAGACAAGGGAACTGGACTTGGTTGTGACAGCTTCCATTTAAATGGGAATTAAAAAAAAAGATACTTTATATTGTAAAACTTTTATTATATCCTATTTTACCTGTAGCTCTGGTCTCTCCAGAAAAAAACAGGAAGTAGCATGGCTGTGTATGTGTGTGTGTCTGTGTCTAGGGCAGAGGTGGGCAAACTATGGACCGCGGGCCACATCCTAGGCTTTCAAATAAGCCTGTCTTGCCACTCTGAGCGGCAAAGGAAGGGGGTGGGGGGGAGGTGGGGTTGAATAAGGGGCAGGACGTCCTGGGGGGGCAGTCAGGGGACAGGGGGCGGTTGGATGGGGTGGACGTCAGGAGACAGGGAGTAGGGGAGATGAGGTCCTGGGGGGCACGACAGGGAGCAGGGTCCTGGGGGGAGCAGTTAGGGACAGGGGTCCCAGGGGGGGGTGGTCAGAAGACAAGGAATGGGGGGGTTGGATGGGTCGAGGGTACTGGGGGGCCTGTCAGGGGTTGGGGGTGTGGACAGGGGTCAGGGCAGTTCGAGGACAGGGAGAATTGGACTGGTTGGGGGTTCTCAAGGGGGCAGTCGGGGGCGGGAAGTGGGAGGGGGCGGATAGGGGGCGGAGGCCAGGCTGTTTGCGGAGACACAGCCTTCCCTACCCGGCCCTCCATACCATTTTGCAACCCCAATGTGGCCCTCGGGCCAAAAAGTTGGCCCACCCTAGTCTAGAGGGAAGGATGTTTTATTAAATTTAAGCTAAAAAAAAAAAAAAGAGAGAAAAAGAGCGAGAGAGAGTGAGCACACAACAACTACTGTAAACGCTACTGTGTCTGTATGGAGGGTCAAACAAATGTGATATTCCAATACAAATTTTTGACATTTCCATATATAAACCAAGGAAACTGGCCCCTCTGTTACCTCATGTAGAGAAAGTTTAGTTTCTCCAATATAAATTGAAAGTCAGACTGGTCAATCATTAATGAAAATCTGGCACCTGCATTCTGGTTCCAACTCATATTCTTTCACTGACTAGAATCTGTGTGATTCACCTCCCTCCCTAACAGCTCTCAGTAGATCATCTGAAACAAGCATACCTTTCCTTTTTTGAGGGCAGTGTAGACATCTTTATATTGCTGATACTTTTCCAGCTCTGCTTTCACTAGCACCTGACGAATGTGCATGACTTCCTCCACTGTCAGAGCCAGGCATTCCACTGGGTAACAAAACTCCTCCTGGAAACGAAAAATCTACATTACTATGTAACCCATCATCTTTTCAAGATTTCAGCCTAGAAAGCCAGCCACCTAGTTAGTAACTTCAAAGAAAAGATTTCACAACCCAAAAACGGAATAGCACTGGCTGATCCATGGGCATCACAAGAGTTTCAAACCAACTTAAGAGACTGATATTGTGCAATTTTTATTATGAGCACTTATATCATCTGACACCTGTTTCCATTTATTTGATTTTATTTATTATGAATATTTGTTTTAGCCAATTACAATTCCATTTTATCATTTGAAAGGACACAAGGTGATTTGATACATAGGTGTAAAAGATATTTCTTGGCACGGTTCCCTTTGATAGTATGTTGCTTAAAGACAAGCAGCTTCTCAGAGACTTTGTGGTGCCCAGAAAGCAGTTAGTAGCCCCCGCCAAAAGAATTTTTATTCAATGGTACCACATATTGGTAATCATGGTTATAATTAGATCCCGTGAACAAAATCTAGACCAAAACCATAGAAAATGTATTATATGCAGTAATACAAACAGTCTTCCTTCCCTCCAAGATGATGATAATGTCAATTTAAACTTTATTAAAATAATCTTAAAATATAAAGTTTGAGCAAAACAGTTAATCCATTGTTGTGTTCTTACTAGCAGGGAATTACACCCAGGCTACTTATGATGGAACTACTGCCCATCTGTGAAACTTAAATACGCTCTGTGCTAGTGCGTTTAAGAGAACAGCAACCCTGAGCATATGGCCTCTAACTTCGGTACCACAGAATAAAAAGCCTCGTTCCCATTTGTAATCCAGCCCTGAGGTTGATTGCATGGTTCTAACAGAAAGACAGAACCGCTCTGGGAATTCCCATCACTTTTTGCTTAGTGCACCTGTTCACTTAGCCCAGAGGGGCTATGGTGCTGAAGTGACACAGAAATTTAACGTTCTCTGAATAAATACAGGAAATCTCCTTTGTACACACAAAGGCACTGATGACAGCACTCTACAGACAGCTTGGAAATGTAATTTATAAATCAGAGTGATGATTCAGTTTAGTGGTAAAGTGCTCAATTTAAATAGATAGTCTTAAAATTCTGTTCTGACTTTCAATTAGAGAGAAAATATTTTGATCTCTCTTGCAGACCTGGCAAACATTAGCATTTTAGAAACTATGTTGTCTTATCTACCTAGAAAAGGAACAAACAAAATTTACTCTGTCTAAGGTACCCACAAAAAGCTAAAATTTTGGTTTTCTTAGACAAGCCAAACCTCTGGGGTATGTTCTTACTGGTGACACTTAGTTTTCTGGAAAAAACAAACTATCAAAACCAAATGTGATTTGCTGTGAGGTGTAAAACTCCATGAACAAACAAAATATGTCATTTCATTAGCAGCAAACTTCCACATAACCAGCAGTTAGCTGTCAGTATTGTATTTTAGATCCTTATGAGGATGACAGCACTATTCGATATCAACAATGCTTTGGGAGGGACCGAGAGGAAGAATAATGGGTGACAGAATGTGGGGCAGGCAATGCCATTGAGAAACTTATTTTCTACAGGATGGGTTGTTAGGATGGTGTTTGTGGCAAGTGAGATTTACTGAATGCTTTTGATCAATCACAGTTTTCAGTCTTTTAGAAAGCTATTTCCTTATAGGAGGGATATTTTTCCTTTAATATAATCAAGTATCATATTTAATTCTTCCCTTAGACAACAAAATGTTCATTATGATGAATATTTAAAAACTAATTTGTTGCATATTTGATGACATAATAAATACCCATTTCAACTTTTAAAGTTTAGCCTCTTTAATATGTTTCTTTAATCTCTTAAGATGCTTTATCAAGAAAACTTTGTTCCTGTAAAACTAGTACTTCCGGTGTTTACTAGGTAGCAGAAGAATCATGTGGATCTGTTCTTGCAACCATCAAAATTAATTTTCATTACAATTTGTGTGACTAGCCAGCAGGCAAAAGGGGGAACATGGAAAACGTTCACTTGTTTAAATGCTAATGTTTTAATTCCAGCGGTTACATAAGGACAACAAAGCTTTAATGCAACATTAAAGAAAAGTTAAAGGATATACTGATTTCTGAAGAATGTTTAAATGTTTTTCCTTCTCAGAATAAAAATAAGTACACGCCAAATCTTTAATTTCAACATTAGCTCAGTCTTTAAAGTAAGCTAATCAAAATTACACTAACCAACGACTAAAGTTTACAAAAACAGTAATATTTTAGAGTTTTAGCTTTAACTCCTATCCATAATCCTTGTCCATGTATAGGGGCTGCATATGATAGTGTGTGTAATATCCTAAGTCCTCTGCAATACCTACACTCAATGGAGTGTGTTAAGGACAGAACCTGGCTTCTGAATGTCCTTGTTTTTCTGGATTTGAATCCAATCATCAATTGATATTAAAGACAGTTTAGTGTGGTTATTTTTAAATGGAAAAAAATAAGCCATATTAAAAGATAATTAACTTTTTAAGTACAGAAAAGTAACTTATAAAGAATTTGCTTAATATTTTGACTATGCAGTCACAGCATAACAAGGGCTCAATCAGAGCTATTCTAGTGTAACTGTGGTGAATTTATATCAAGAACAACATGTAGTCTGAATATCCATAATACGAAATAAGCGCTTTGTAGATTATTTTCAATATATCCTCACCTAAGAGCTCATGCTACTTATGTATAAACAGTACATGTTTCATATTAATGTATTGATTATACTCAATGTGTTGTAAAACTTTGCATTACAAGTCATTACCATGTATTCAAAAGCGTCACAGCAAGGAAGTACTGCATCTGCAAGTGCTGGGTGAAATACAAAAGTTATGCAATTCAGATTATGTTAGGCACTCTAAAGTCTATGCCTAACTAGACATCTTCAGTCTGGACTACTCAATTAGATATCTCTAGACTGTAGATAGCGTTGCAATATTTTCTGGTTGGGACCAGAAATGGGAGGAAACCCCCCGACCAACTTTGAGAACCTTAAAAATTTTTGTTTCCTGTTCAGTTCTAAAAATGGGTTTGGGGGAGTTCTTATTTTCTTCTCAATTGGTTGACCTAACCTGGTGCAAGCCAATTACTGATCATGCTGGAAGTTCTGATACTTAAGTGCATCAAAGACTAAAACCATTGTTAGGGTTTTAAGTAATATTTTGCTTAGAAATGCCATTCTATTCCATGATACTGTATGTCCTGTTAAAGCAACAAACAGCTTAATCTTTTCAACACAGTCCAAGGATCACAGTGGTTTTGCTTGTGAAGGCTGGTGGATCTTCATGTGCTGTATATTTAAGATTTGGAAAACGTGTCCCACTGATAACCTTATGATGTTGCATTTTTAATTTGCTGTCCTTTCACAACTGATTTCTTTTTCCCTTGAGGTGATTGAAGGATCTAAACACACACAAGTATTCTACAAACACTGAAATCAATCTCAATCAGGAGTAGTGTGCCAATCTAAGCTGTTAATGCGTGCCACAGCTTAGGAAGTGCTCCTAGAAGGCATGTGCTTGTAAAGATAATCTCCAAAGCCAGCATAAAGAGGCAAACCTTTGGGGGTTTCCACCTGCTGGTAAAAGCTCTGTCACACAGATAATACATAGCCCTTGCCACTCCAACCAGGGCTGCTTCAAAGGGATGAGAGCTGAGCAGAGAAGCTGTTTGTATGGTTGAAAAAAATGGTCTGAAAGTCATCCTTGGGAAAAAACTGGTTATCCTAGGAACCTGAACAATAGATAGGAAGCAGAATAGGGAACGCTGAACATGAATGAAATTGTTAGCAGGGATTCTGGATCATGAAAATAAGAAAAGTCATGAAGGCTTTCACATATACACCTCAGTGCACTGACTGTATCTTACTGATTAGGTACCAAGTTGGGTGACTTTTGGAGGTACACCACAAGGCCAACCCTGGAAACATAGTGAACTCCTGAGCTGCAGTTTCTGCGACGTCTCATTTACCATTGATATGTTGACATGAAAAAGGGCTGTTTGGAATTTTTCCAAGTTTGTTTCGCCCCACTCCTCTTACTTTAGCTCTAATTCCCTTGGTATGCTGAGATGCCTGTTCACAAAATCCTAGTTCGTATGCAAGACAGACCAGTTGCCTGCTAATCCTGCTAAGAAACTGTAGCAATGGCCTTTTTTCATTGGCACTGATGGCTATTTAATGACAAGCTCTTTCACCTTGAAGGGAAATTTCTGTCACTGGAGCAGATAAGAATTAGAAACTCCATCAATCCTAGAGGAAAGGATGAAGCAGCGTGTAGTCAAATAAAAAGTAAAGCATTTTTTGCAGTTATCTAGAGGCTTCCACTCAAGGAACTGCAGCATCACAAATGCAGTGTCTGGTATAGAAAATAAGAGATGCCAGTTTGTATGAGTGGTGAACAATTCCATGTTAGGGTGCAGGAGCTGGTTAGGTTACTGTTAGACTAATACTGAAAACCTTGCACTGAATTAAAACAAAAAGATCAAATGATTTATCAGTTACCCACCTCCAGAGGGCACTATTTCAAAGATTAACAAATATATTTAACAGCGGCACATAAAACAGACTGCATTAAAAGATCATTTCAACATCAATTTTCTTCCTTTTCACTTCATACACAAAAGCATGTCGAACAAGTTGGGTGAGGGATGACAGAGTTCTTTAGAGTAAATAAACTGTCCCAACATGATCTGAAACACTCATTTATGTGACCCTGTAGGACTCCCACAGATGTTTCCTTGCTGCTTTTGCTTGAGGTTTCTGCTGCTTATTTTTGTTGTTGTTTCATTTTGGTAGGCTGATTAGAATTTCTCTCTATTGGTTCTATTACACACCCCCACTTCCACCCCTCCATACACCACTTGACAGTTGCCAAAAACCAATGAATAGCTTATACAGAAGGAAAGAAACAGTTATGATCATTTGAAATAAATCATGTGAAAAACTTAATCAAGCTACTTAAAACAATGACCTCATATTTAAGCTTTTTTAAGTCACATGGTTCTCCAAGTTTTGCGCTGGATCAATATCAGTAAATTGGCTGGATCAATATCACAACGTAATTTGTTTAGACATACTGAAAGTGTAAAACAGCAAACACCTCAAAATGATACACAGAGCTTTTTTCCTTTGCGTATTTCTTGCGTATTCTGTGAATACCTATGCAAAAATAAATCTTGTGGTCCCACATATAACAACTGCTGCACATTACGGTAATGAAATTCTTTTTACATTGATCATGCCCTCATCCATGAACTCTCCTCTTCAGTGTTAGAGGTTCCAAAAGTTACACTCCAAACAAACTCTTGGAGAAAAAATTCTAGTTGTGCTATACTCTGCAGGATTCATTACTGTTCCTTGAAAAATGAGTGAAGATTACTGAATGCCATTCACGCAGGACCAGAAGCTGTATTCAAGTTAGAAGCATGTGATACAAAGTCAATTTTTTCCCTTGTGTAGAAGTGGGGAAAATATCCTCCGTATCCCTGAAGACTATTGTGTTATTACACTTCAACCTCATCATTCTGAAGGACTTGCCCCACAGCCACCATCTCTTTAGCCAAAGAAAAATAAATAGGACTTCAAAGCCCATCAGTGCCACTCTGTCAAGTGGAGGACTGGTGAGTCCTCCTTCCACTGAATGCTCCTATCAATCTCTCTACACACAGATACCTCAAAGGGGCACTTTGAGCCCCTGCTGCTAAGGAAAACAAGAGACCAGGAATTGAATCCAGGTCTCTCACATTAAGTTGCAAAGTACACCGTGCCAACACAAAAGAGCCAACATTCCGTCCCCTTTGCCACTTAGGCTCCGTTGGAAAATAGTTCTCAATTAAAGCTAATTGATCAAATGTACTGTACTTTCTTTTCAAGGAGCAAAACAGTTTATGCCTCAGTGACCTCAACAATGCTATGTGGTCACACCAAGAGTTAGACTCTTTAAAGATTTTTCTCTCACATTAGGACTTTAACCAAACTAGCTCTTTACAAGGGAGGAAGAGAAAGCCATCCATTCCTTCAGCAGTGAATTAAAATACCCCAATAATAAAGAGAAAATGGATTATCTGCTTTTCCATTTGAAAGGAGGCAACTCCAAATGTGTTATTTAGAAGCTATATTATTTTCTGAGACAGGCTGAAATAAAAACTAGAGATGGGTCTGAGTCACCAAGTTCAGATCAGGATCCCATACTTCTTCAAAGTTCTGGGACATCTGAACCTGGGGTTTTGGTTCAATACAACATCAGAGAGGCAGAAAATTGAATCTTGATCCAAACTCCCCCAAAAATTCAGGACTGGTTTGAATTTGGGATTTTGCTTTACATCCAGCTCTAATCACAATGTAGCTAAGTTTTAATGTTGTTTAAACTCTTAGAAAGCTTCCGTCTTATCACCACTGTGGAGTTATTGACCTTCTCACACTATAGCCAATGCTCATGATACTTACAAGTGACTTGGAGCTCTGTTTTGAAGGTGGTAGGAACTGTCTCACGTTAGTCGGCGTTTCCTTTTCAATGGAGTGTCGTCTCTGCGGTGGTTGCCGCCTCTCTGGCTGTGGCGTGGATGATATTGGCAAAAACTTTGGAGGCACTAAAGATTCAACCAGCAGAAGTTAAACAGTGTAATTGCATGGTCATTGGACTAACACTGGGAACAGGCACAGTTTTGGCAGAAAATCTATTGTTAATTTCCAAAGTAACACAAGATAGAATATCTTCATATAGTCTTTAAATGGGCCATATTTTCAAAACCAGGCGATGAAGTGTGTGTCCCCACAAAAATGCAAAGGCACCTACAGTTTCACCCCTATAAAAAAATCTTGTGGGCATGCAATTACACTAACGTGCAAATGCCAATCTTTGTGCATAATTCAGGTTTCTGAAGGCGCAGTTTGCTGGTATTCACTCATAGAAATTCCACCCTTGTTGAATATAAATTTTAAAATCAAAGGGCACTGAAGGATGCACTCAACCTACTTTGCCACTGTTTTCATAGAGAGAGTGTATGAAAAAAATGCTAACAATCATACAGAAACGATTTCAGAGAAATCTATACATTTTAGAAACATGAAAATATTTAGAGACACTGTCAAATTAAAAATCATACTAATGTCAATCTGTTTTAACTAAATACTGTTACAGAGTAACATCTAAGATAACCGTAATTGAAAGAGATGACAGCAAGAAAAATATTTGTTTTTTCAGTTGTTTTACTTGATGCATTGGCAGCACTTTGTTTATTGGAAACACTAGGGATTTTTAATGTACTTACAACCAACTATTCTCAGTGGAATTTTATAAAAAGTTCCAGGACCCATTTCTATTTGTCTTAAGTTACATAAAATTTTATTTTTTACAGAATCTACATTTACAGCCAACTGTGAGTTGACAGTGATCCTCTAAGGGGCCACCCACGTGTGCTGAGAAAAAGTCTGATTCAACAGTATTAGAAGATCATCCATGTTAAGCAACCAATTTTTGTCAGTCCCTTGAGTGGTTGATGATGACAGGTTTCATTGTTCATCAGAATAATGTTAACGCTGTAATGATATTTCAAAGATCTAAATCAACTACTTGATAAAGAACAGCAACTGCAGCATATACTGCTGTACAGTTGAAATGGTTAAAAGACAGTTTATGCCTTTGCAATGACTAAACTAACTGTATCTTATTCCTAAAGGAACTGCACAGTATGCACACACTGATTGGGGAGCTTCTATATGTCTCCTCTTTTCCTGTAATATGGAAAGGCAAGGCCAAATCCTACTCTTAGTTATGCCAGCGTAAAGCCAGAATAACTCAGCTGAAGTCTACATTAAGACCAGGTGGAGAACAGAATCTGTCCTTTAGTCTTATAAATGTATGATCTTCAGATAAAGTCTATTTTGACAATACCAAATAAAACTTTAAAATGCACATTCACTTTTCATTCTTTTTCTCATTATTTGCAAAAAATCGACTCTACAAAGCAATTTTTTTTCACTTTATAACTATAAAAAGGAAATGTAGATTCTTTTTTAGTTCGACTAATATCCTCTTTAAAATTAAAAGGAATATAAGAGCTTGTTTACACTCGATACACTGGTCTACAGCACAGCTGCTGTAGCATTGACCCTCAGTACAATGACAAGAGTGGCGCTCCTGTCATCTAGTTAGTCTACCTCCCTGTGACACTCTGCGTCTCAAAGTAGCACCCTGCAACTCCCATATTCATCACTATGATATGATTATAATATATTTTGTAGAAAGTATGCCTTGTGAGAAAAATCTTGATCTGTTGAACATTAATATCCTGTTGGATTATATGTGCTATCATTGTATGTAAAGCTATAAAGTTTTGCTATGTGTGTGTTACCAAAGTATGTTGTGAGGTTGGCAGATGCTCACAGCCAAGCTTTCAATTACAACAAAGGACCAGCCAGTGGTTCATCAACATTTTATCCGGGAAAGAATGCACTATCCCAGAGACTTCTCAGAGAGAGTATGCATGCAATGGGGACCAATCCCCACGTCACAGCAGAGATCTTTCCAGCAAGCTGGAAGAAAATATAAAAGAGGGAAAGTGACATCACCTGGCCTCTCTCCCTCACTAACTCAACACCTGGAGGAACGTCTGGAGGACAGATTTTGAACTGGGAAAGGGTGGTCCCAGGCTGGAAATGGAGTCTTGTCTGCGTATTGAAGATCTGTAACCTGTTTGTACCATCTTTCAGGGTGATACACTGCTGGATTCAAAGCCTGTTTAGTTTGTAGAACTTAAGAAACAAAACTAAATCTGTAGTCTACGTAACCAAGTCTGATCTCTATGCCTTCAACTTATAACCACTTAAAATTTAGCTTTCTGCAGTTAGTAAACCTGTTTTATATTTTACCTAAAACAGTGTGTTTTGGCTGAAGTGCTTGGGAAACTTCAGCTCAGTTTACAAAGGCTAGTGTCAGGTTTCAGAGTAACAGCCGTGTTAGTCTGTATTCACAAAAAGAAAAGGAGTACTTGTGGCACCTTAGAGACTAACCAATTTATTTGAGCATAAGCTTTCGTGAGCTACAGCTCACTTCATCGGATGCATCCGATGAAGTGAGCTGTAGCTCACGAAAGCTTATGCTCAAATAAATTGGTTAGTCTCTAAGGTGCCACAAGTACTGCTTTTCTTTTTGTAAAGGCTAGTGTGTGTCCATTCCACACTGAGGGAGGGGCGAACTACTTAATGAACTTACACTGGCCAGGCTTCTGACCAGTGCAAGATGGTCCAGTTCTGGGGTGTAAGGCTGGGAAACTGGCTGGAGCCTCCCATTAATGGTTCAAGAGTGGCTGGGAGATGAGGGCTCAGCAGTCCCACAGTCCACATTGGATCCTGAGGACCCCGTCACACGCCCCAAAAGGCAGCAGCTAGGTTGACAGAATTCTTCCATCGACCTAGTGTTGTCTACAGCGGGTGTTAGGTTGGCTTCATTATGTTGCTGAGAGGTGTGGATTTTTAATACCCCTGAGCGACATAACTGAGTCGACGTAACTTTTGAGTGTAGACCTGGCCTCAGTCACGGAATATATGCAACTCTGTCTTCTGAACAGTTTCTTTTTGTTTTGTTGTTGTTGGTTTTTTTTTTTTTTTTAAGAGGCACATCATAGTATGAATGCTTCAAATAAATATTTTTAGTATTTTAAAAAGGAAAGAAGGGTCACAGTAATTTTGTGGTGATCAATTATTCTATTAAAGTAAATGAGTTAATTCCATTGCATGGAGGCCTCTGTTCATATAGCAAATTCCGTTCTAGGAAAAGACTATTTTCCCCATTTGACAATATTTTCCTTCATTTAAAATACGTGTATTTGTTTTACTTGTCTTCAGAACTAGGCAGCCTTGTAACTTATATCTGTACAGTATCCAACAGACCTACGCCTTCATGTTAGTCAAGAGGATATTTAATCAATGTTAACCTATTCAGCAGGTCTCTTTTCCTGGGGTGAGCACCACACACTTACCCACGAACACTGATCTGCTCTGACTATTTAGCAAAATATGCTCATGCAAAATTCATGTGACAGAAAATGCTAGGAGGTGGGAAAGCAAAACAACTACTCTGTTTCTATTTAAACGGGCTTTCCTAGACATGGAACACTTACTCTTTCTACCAGAGGTTGTCTCTTGAAAGGAGTCTTCCATTTGGGAAAGAGAGACACTGCTGCTGCTTGCTGATTTGTGCATAGACTCCTCCTGGAAGTAAGCAAAATTGGAAGAATTAGAATTCTTCAGAGGCAGTCTCTCTCACTCTCAACCACCCACCCACCCCATATGGTACCACAGATAAATTATATCATTAAATCACTTATCTTCCAACAATACACCTGCAAAAAATATTGAAACTAGGCTTGCCAAGTTAATATATTGAAACTAGAGTTTTTCCAAGTTAATCTTTTGCTATAAACTGGAATATACAGTAATTATATTATTAAAAACAGGAATAGAAAGCTAGGTGACTCTGTTGTAATCTGCCTTTTCCTTAATAATTACTTCTGGCACTGAGTGTCTAGCAGGGATTTACAAGCCAAATTAATACAAGTATGTACCTCATATCAGCAAGAAATCAAGATTCAAGCACTTAGCTTCCTCTGGTCTCCAAAGGAATGAGGAGTGACCCTGGTGACCATGTGACCCGGTAAAGAGCAATTAATCTAATCACTAATTTCCACAACCCTGTTCTCTAATCTCTAATCCTGGTGCACTTCTCTGTGTTTAAAGAAGTCTCATTCATTACATAAGTATGTTCTCATCATAGCAGCCAAGCAAAAACAAATTCTGGGAGATGAATTTGAATGAAATGGTCTTCGACTAACACTTTTCAGTTAATGGGTGGCTAAAGAATCGCGCTTCTCTGAATCAATACCCTTGTAGACTGCCCTCACCTAAAACCTACAGTCTAAATTATCTCATACAAACAAGCTGCAGTATATCACTGGAGCATAACAAAAGAATACTGGGCTGAAGAAATGTTTGTGAATACTGTTGAATTCTGACATAACTGCTTTTAAAAAAGGAGGGTTGCAGTGTTACCTCCTGTACTCTTGGGGTTTACAAATCAAACCAGTGACTCTCTCTGAAAACAAGTAAGCAACTCAGCCTCTCAGTCTCAGAGGCCGTGAGGTCTTGTCTACACTACAGGGGAAATTAGATCTAAGATATGCAATCTGAGTTACGTGAATAGCGTAACGCAAATCAACGTAGCTTAGATCTACTTACTGCGGGGTCCACACTACGCGATGCTGACGGGAGACGCTCTCCCGTCGACCCCCCTAGTCTTCTCAATCCAGTGGAGTACAGGAGTCAGTGGGAGAGTGATCTGCAGTCGATTTAGCAGGTCTTCACCAGCCCTGCTAAATCAACCGCCGATGCATCAATCACCACTCATAGATCCCCTGGTAAGTGTAGACAAGCTTTTTGTGAGGTACATGAATCTTAAAAAGGAAAATCTCCAGTAACTGAAACAGTGCCCCCTCTGGTTATGAAAAATCAGAAGGGAAAAGCTCACAGGAACAGCACATTAACAAATGGCAACTCCAAAGCCAGAGAGTCACAAATTATGATCAGGTTTCAGAGTAGCAGCCGTGTTAGTCTATATTTGCAAAAAGAAAAGGAGTACTTGTGGCACCTTAGAGATCAGGCGATCAGTATGGACAGACCCTGATCGTCGGCAGGTGGGATCAAACCTTGGGCCTCTGGAGTTTAGTACATGAGCTTCTACTGCATGAGTTAAAAGACACACGTCTGTTAGCTAAGGCTGTAGAGCAGACTCATTAATCTCTCTGTAAGTGATCTCGGTGCCACGAGCTGGGACAGAACACCACACCCAGAGGTGTGTGGGTTACAAGTACTCTATGCTGAACACAAGAAACCCAAGAAAAACCTGGGAGTTAGCTGCCTGCATGGAATTTAAAAAGCAGTCTGGTAACATTTACTAGGTCTAAAGGAGGGTTCCAAAAAGTTCTCTTACAGCTGATAAATATAAAATTTGCGAAGAAGAATAATTGCTATTCAAAATGCAACATTAAACTTTTAGATTGGTGAAAACAACTATCGGTGCAGTTAAAAAAAACAAAACCCTAGGATATTATAGTCATAGATGTATTTCATTTATTCTTTCATGTACAGAGAGATGAGCAGCTAAAAAGTTAAGATGAAGAGATAAGAAACCTGCTAGTGGTAGTGCCTTTTTCGAATTAAAAAGCTCCATGCTCCCCTTTGTTTTTACGATTGGAGGGGAGCCAATGCCTGTGGAGCAGGCTAGATGAGCAGCAGACAGGGGAAGGCTGGCTCTATGGCACACTCCCTTCCCGTGTCCCCCTGTGGGATTACAAGGGGTTCCACCTAGAGCAGGACAGAAAATGGGGGTGGAAAACCGTGAACATTTTTGACAATTCCAAAGTCGTTCTTCTCCACAGGTTTCTCAAAGGAATTATTTTTAATTTACTCATAATGCTTAAGAACATTTTTATTGAAAATTTCTGTTTTCAAAATTTTTGAGTTTTTCATTCCCCATCCTCTTCTTCCCTTTCTCCTCTCCTCCACTATTTTTTTTTTCTCCTGGAGGGAAGAGGAGAAGAAAAACTGCCCAGGAAAAAAAAAAAAAAAGACTACATTTTTCAGCTTCACAAATTATATTTTTTTAAATGTTTAAAAAATGAAAATTTCCAATTTTGAAAAAAGCTATTTTGGTTTAAAATAGTGTTCAACATTTTTAAATAATTTCTTGTTTCATTTTTGAAGCCTAGGATGGATTCGGGGGCAGGTCTCAGTCAGATGCTGCCCTGTCCAAACCCACTACAGTACACAAATGTCTCAATCCTGTTCCCGTTTGTATTTGTGGGAGTTTTGCCACTGAGTTCAGTGGGAGTGAAATTGAGCTAAAATTCCGCAGTAATTTGAGCTACTTCTCACTCTGTGCTGTGGAACAGCATCTCTTTCAGGGGAGCTTCTGGGGAGTAGCCATGGCAGGGGAAGTATCTGTCCAGGTACCATAGAAAATCTGGCTGAAAGAGGCAGGCAGCACCAGTGAAAACAAAGGGCTTCTATAGGGATGCCTACTGCCCCTGCCTCCAGAATCATCATCTTTTTTCCCCCAGCAGGTGGGCATGGACATTCAGCTACTTCTGAGGTGGGCTAGACCTTGCTCAGAACCAACATAAGAATTCAAAGGAAACTATTCGTTTTAAATAATTTAGGAAAGAATGAGAGCGATGGATATTTTGTATTTCCCACTGTTTATAAAAACCAGCTCTGCTTAGATAATACACACTCCATACGCATTATTTTTAATTGTCTCTTTGCCCTATCCTCCTCACATGCACAGAAAATGTGAACTATTCTATTGTACTGTGACTTCTACAGTGATAAGCTTCCTTAGCAAATTAATACTACTGAATCATGTGGAGTAATTATTCATGATTCTTGAGAGGAATTTGCTTAGGCCAATGTCTTTGCTGTTGATTTCTAATGCAGGCAATATGAAATCTCACAAGCAGAAGTGGCATGAAATTAAAATCCTGGATCCAGACACCTTTGGACACATTTAGATCCAGATCCAAACAAGTATAGTCTCCTAGCTACTGAGAAAGGCACATCTGCTTACAGGCATAACTTGAGGGGAGTGCCTGGATGTGTCACCACCAATATTATCGTGTGTGTGTGTGTGTGTGTGTGTGTGTGTGTGTGTGTGTGTGTGTGTGTGTGTGTGTGTGTGTGTGTGTGTGTGTGTGTGTGTGTGTGTGTGTGTGTGTGAGACCGACCTTGTTAGGAGATGATTTCTATAATTATTTAAAATACCCAGGGCTTAGATTATCACATCCTTATTCAGACACGCAGGCGAGTATGGGTCTCCTTATTCTGATTGTGACTTTAGTAGAAGGGTGGGAGAGCAGGGCCTGCTTGCCTCATACTGATCTTTGCACGTAAGTAGGCAGGGAGGGGACTCCAGACCTCCCATCACAGCACTACCCACCCAGCTAGATGGGTATATAATAAGCCGCCTCACAAAAAAGCGGAGGAAATTTTGTCCTCCCTCAGAACAAAGGAGGAGCAGGGGAAATATTGTGAGTTGAGCCACAGTTAATTCTCTGGTCTGCTCCTGGGGCAGTGCAGCTGTGTGCAGCCTCTTTTTCAGGGTAGATTGTAAAATCATAATCTGGGGAACCCCAGTGAGTAATTCTAAATAGGTTAGCTCAATTCATTCTCTATACAGTCACAAACATGGAAATGACCGAGTCATTCACAGACAATTAGAATACCAATCCCCATCATTTATATATGCCACAAACTTAAAAATCAGAAAATAAATATGGCATTTCAACATAAATAATGGTCTTGCTTGGTTCTCTTTAATTTTCTTCACAGGTCCTTTTACCCAATTTTTGTCAATCTGGTAACTTCCCGCTATTTAATTTATCTTTTTTACTTCTTCAACATTAAACACAGCACAGTGCCCAAGACCTAATCAGCACTGAGCAGGGTAGCATGATTATCTTGCTTGTTTCACAAGCTATTCAGTTAATTCAACTCAATAGAAGATTTGTCTTTTTTGCAACAGTATTGTATGGTTGATTTACATTCAATTTATTATTTGCTCTATCCTCCAGAGCATTCTCTATGGGTATCTCAGTCTATGCTGTACTCCCCAATCCATAATCATGCATTTTATTATTCCTTCCTATGAGGATCAATTTACATTTATCTTTCTGACTCTTTTTTTATGTACTCAGTTCATTTCTCCAAGTGAAAGATCATGATGCGTTAGCCTAGCACTGAGCTGCAGCTTACAGGAACATGAATTCTAGTCTCAGGTCTTTTACTGACTGCTGTTACTATTTTGTTGCCCCTCAGTCTTATTATTAACAAAGCCTCATCTACTACTATTGTATACCTAGTTTACAGATTAGATAAGAGAGGTTACTTCAGGCAAAGTTATGAATAAGACCCAAAATCTCATCCACTTTGTGTCACACTGCCTTTCAGAATGAACATGCCCAATTATGTGCTTCCATAACCCACAAAACTGCAGTGATGCTCTGTCAACCTCTAGCAGCTTGACCACATACAGAGTTTTATGACTCTACTGCCTCCATTCTAACAGACACACTTCTTTAGCATAAGTGATAGAGACTCATACTTTTACCTCCAGATACAGGTGCCATGTTCAACTCTCACAGCTGACCCGGAACAGGGACACTGTTACACTTGGCTATGCTTTCTGTAACCTCCAAATCACACTCTGCTCCCAGAACCAGGAACAGATACCACAAATACTTATGCCCAACAGTCCACTAGTGTTTCACAAATGGCTGTATAACCCACTTGCGGATCGTACTTTGTTTCCCCCTTTATCAGCTGATTCACACAGGGGATAACAGTATGCTTTCCACTACCAGGGCTTCAATAGCTCATGTGGAAGAGATCAGCAATGTGGATTTTTAGGTTGCAGGTTCAAATCCTGTTAATGAACCATATGGAAGCAAAATGTGTGTGTGAGAGAGAGAAAATAAGTGTTTTTGTTGGATTATTTTTATATTGCAAAACATTATATTTAGAAGTTATTTGGATGGTGTGTTAATATTTGTTTTATTATTACATTTGAGTGTTTGTATTTTGGTTAATGGGAGCTGTTTCTTTAAGAACAGGATGGGGAACTTATTGGAGAGCATATTTAGAGACTGAGCAGTGTGTCAGAGAGTTTGTCGATGAGTCCTCTCCAGAGAGGTAAAGACTGCCTATGTAATTTCCCAAAAGGTCAGAACTTGATTTAATAAATGTAATTTTTCAGACAGCAAGCAGGTGTAATGTTTTTCCTGCAGGTCATCAGATCTCTGCTTGAGCTGAATCATAGAATCAACAGAATCATAGAATATCAGGGTTGGAAGGGACCTCAGGAGGTCATCTAGTCCAACCCCCTGCTCAAAAGCAGGACCCATCCCCAATTAAATCATCCCAGCCAGGGCTTTGTCAAGCCTGACCTTAAAAACTTCTAAGGAAGGAGATTCCACCACCTCCCTAGGCAACGCATTCCAGTGTTTCACCACCCTCCTAGTGGTGAAAGTTTTTCCTAATATCCAACCTAAACCTCCCCCACTGCAACTTGAGACCATTACTCCTTGTCCTGTCCTCTTCCACCACTGAGAATAGTCTAGAACCATCCATTCCTGAGCTGGATTCAACGTTATTTCCATCTAAAGCAATGGTTTTCAAACTGGGTCGCAGAATGGAAGGCACTGGGTCGCAGTGGCCCTGGTCAGCACCACTGACCGGGTCGTTAAAAGTCCCGTTGGCAGTGCTGCCCGGCTAAGGCAGGCTAGTCCTTACCTGTTCCGACACCGCACTGAGCCCCAGAAGCAGCCAGCAGCAGGTCTGGCTCCTAGGCGGTGGGACCACATGGCTCCGTGGGCTGTCCCCACCCCCAGCACCGGCTCCACACTCCCATTGGCCGGGAACTGGCCACTAGGAGCTGGGGAGGGCGGTGTCTGCAGGCGAGAGCTGCACAGTGCCACTTGCACACCTCCTCCTAGAATCCGGACCTGCTGCTAGCCACTTCTGAGGCACAGCATGGTCTGCGGTGCCAGGACAAGCAGGAAGCCTGCCTCTGCACCCTGGCTGCGCCGCTGACCGGGAGCCGCCAGAGATAAGCCTATGCCCCAACTCCAAGCCCCAATCCCCTGCCCCAGCCCGGAGCCCCCGCAAACCTGGAGCCCTCTCTTGCATCCCAAACCCCTCATCCCCGGCCCCACCACAGAGCCTGCACCCGCAGCCCAGAGCCCTGACCCTCTCCCACACCCTAACTCCCTGCCCAGTGCCCCCTCCCACACCCTGAACCCCTCATTCCTGGCCCCACCCTGCAACCCTCACCCCCCACACTCCAACCCTCTGCCCCAGCCCTGAGCCCCTCCCACACCTCAAACCCCTCATCCCCAGATCCGTTGGGTCGCAACTGGGTTGCCAGAATAAAGTTTGAAAACCACTGATCTAAAGAATGTGTGGTTGCCCATAAAGGAGATGAGTTTTGTAGGTCCCAGTTTCAGCTCCCACATCATAAACTCATGCCCACACTTTGTGCTGAATTGTAAACTCCTTGGGAGACTGTCTCTCACTATGTTTTTGTACAATGCCTAGCACAATGGAGCCATATTCACAGTTGGGGCCTTCAAAAAACGCTCCTGCATGGGGACCAAAATTATGTTACTTGCAATACATTTACAAGACTTGCTCACATTGTAACTGCCATGATTATTTAGGATCTGACTTACGATTTTTGAACTTTTTGGGGTTGGCAATGCAGTAATCCAATCCTCAAATTATAACTAAGAAAACCCAGGATTAAATAGCATCTATGAAATTACTGCCCCAGTTTATTAGTTCCACGAATCAGTAGAAAGACTAAATTCTGCAATTCAATTGAGGAGAAAGCATGGGCCCCTGTTGTCTTACCTCTGAATCCGAGCTATCCAGTTCAGCCAATGTAGGGGCTTTAAGGAGTCTCTTTCGCTGCATTGTCACTTGGGTAGTGCTGACGCCATTCACCTTTGCTTGTGGTGTCAAGCCACCATTTGCTACAGAGCTGTCTGCTAATTTTCTTGAGGCCTCTGGTGTGGACACATCTGGTAAAAGAAACAAAATGGTTGTACTTGGAAGTTAGAAGGAATAGATATCAAGGCAATCAACTTGTGATGCCCCTCTCAGCTCTTACTGCCAAGGCAGTGTGCACAGAGAAAAACCTCACTATGATAATTACATGTGTAAGGTTATTTTACTTTAGCAATATGTTGCTCAGAAAATTACAGGTCGTGGTGTGTGGTACAGACATGATGTGAGAGAATGAGAGCAGTGGAAAAAATAGCAGTGCACTTTGATTTTTTTAGACTTCAGCATTAAAAAAAAAATCCTCATTTAAAGGAATAAACATCCTGCCACCTAATGATTTGCTACAATTAGCTAAATAATCAGAATCCAAAGAAACAGGGATGCACTGCTAAAACCAGACACGTGGATCTCCAGTGAATACCAAGACCATTCTACATTGAAATTATGAGTTTTGACACAAAACAAAAACAAACTATTCCAGTGAAAGTGCAATTATGCTTTCTTTTTCATATACTGAACAGCAATGACAGTGAGTTATAAACATCTTGTCTAAAATGTGCATAATCCCATGTTTATATTTTAATGCATATTAAAAATGAAAATGTATGCATTTGGTCAAGTCTTGCATCATGTAACAATGGAATCATGGGACCTGATTCTGTTTACACCTACACAGATTTTACATGGGTGTAACTTTATTGAGTCCAGTAAAGTTGCTCTGGATAATCACTAGTATGAGATCAGAATGAGGCCCATATAATGTTAGCATGAGGTCTGCTGCGCCCAGTCTAAACCTAGACAATAATCTAGCTTTCGATATTCTGGGGGGGGTGGGGGGGCGGAGAAGGTGAGATTGACATGTCTGTTTTATCCCAGAAAAAGAGCAGAGAAAGGGTGAAGTTTCAATATGTTTAAAAATTTTCTGTGTGTTTGGAAGAGGCAGCATGTAGTGGGAAAATTTACATCTCTGGTTTGCATATTTGCCTACACATCTGGCCTTTCTATCTATCTATGCAATTGTATGATCCCCATCAGTGTAGTGAATAAGTACCTCATAATGTATTTGCCCTCACAACACCCTTGTGAGTTAAGGAAGTATTATTGCTTACAGCATTTTACATCTAGAGAACCGGCAAAGAGAGGCTAAGTGACTTGGCCAAGGTCACACAGGATCTCTGTGGCAAAGCAGGGAATTGAACCCAGCCTCCCAAATCCGAGGCTAGCACACTAACCACTGGAGCATCCTTTTTAGTCACATGTGTAGCTGCACTGGTGTAAATAACTAGTACAGACATAGTTTATTCTGGAGCTGCAGGAAGCGGCGCAGGCCGAGGGATGTGCTGGCCGCCATTTCCCGCAGCCCCCATTGGCCTATTTTTAGACAGGAAGCCCAGAACTGAAAGAAGTAATTCAAATATTTAGAAGTGTTTACTGATTTACTGCAATACCCTGAAATACAAGTGAAACTTCAGGTAAATCTACTAGAACATAATATATCAAATTTGTTTTGAATAGCTCTTAAATACGACATATCATCCATCATCCCCCTCTACTCTGAGGAAATCCAGAGGGAAGGTTTTTTTTGCAAAATAAAAACAAAAACCCACACGCACCTAATTTGCAAAAAAAAAGTTTGTGAATAAAAGGTTTGAGTTCAGTTTACTGTGATTCACGTGGTCAGACTATTAGTTATTTGTGAACAAGTGGACAACTGCTGGGTACTTGTGGAAAAAAGTGTGAATGAATAAAGCTTCACAGATTTCAGCACAAACAATTTGCCCAAAAATTCTAACAGTGTTGTTTGTTACCCTCTAGTCACATCTGTTATTCTCCGGTTTAAAATGTTTCAGTAATCTAATCAGGAATCAGAAACATTGCCATGTGCTGATTAACCACACGGCTCCTAAAAAAAAGATTGAATAGTCAAAGTGGACAGCTCAGAAATTACTAATAAGTATCAGTTTATTGGTTACGAATGCCCATGAAGAAAATCAGGTTTGGTTTGCAAACAATTAGCTGAAACCAACAGTGGACTAAATTTATAATAAAAAAATACCCATAAAATATTTGAACCCGTTCTAGATCATACAAATGATTGTGAACACTTCTGAAGTGATTCAGCTGCTGCCCAGACAACCATGTGTTTCTAGGGGTTCCTGGAGTGACCATTGTATTACAGTAGAAATTAAGTTTTGCCAGAGATATAGGGGCAGTGACTGGGTTGCAAGTCACGGATTCCAGGGTAAATACTATCTGAAGCATTAGGACAAATACTTTTGGTTTCTCTGAGATTCTCTTAAGCTATCAAATATTTCAGACCACGTGGAAACAACAAAAAGCTTTGGGTTTGATTACTTGACTACATAAGCCATATTCTGTTAATTCCTTATGTGTTACTACTTCTGTGTCTCTGGCTAGTCTTAAGGTATGTGTGTGTGTGAGAGACAGTGAAAAGACCAAAAAAGCTAGGATAAATTGAAATTTATTTTTATTTACATGTAAGACTACTTCTCTTATGAAACAGGGAATTAAGTAGATCACAGATTATATGCTAACTAACCATATGGTGTTTCTGTCCTAAACAGCTTTCATTGACACATCATGGGAACAGAAAACTGGACCTGGTTTCTACTGTAAAATATGCTCCTTTGCCTTAACATTTTTACAGCATGTTAAAGCGAAGGCAGAAAAGAAAATGGATTCTCCGGACTAATATAGATTTGTCCTACATTAGTTACACTGTGAGAATACTGGGGAAAGACTATATGATGAGTAATTGTAGCACAAAGGTATGCTCTTCATTATGATAGAGGACTTGCATATTCAATTCAGACAAGAAAACTAATCAGTATACTGAAAAATTTATCTTTCTAAGTGTGGGTAGCATGCTCATTACCATGGTAACTAAACTAATAGATTATCTGCCTTTCCTCAGCATTTTCCTGACATTCAAATGGTATTCAAATGATGTGTGATCCTGCTCAACCTCTCACAGATTTGGGCATAGGAAGAACCACCCCTACTGGAGCCTGGACACAGCAGCTCTGGAAAACAATGAAAGCATTAACTTTGTAGATATGAAAAACACATTATTTCAGCAGACGTTATTTCATTTTTTTGTGTTCAATTTAGAGGACGAAATGGGTCGTATGTTCAGGGTCAGATGCTCCCGTCTTTTGAGCCATGTTCAACACAGGTCCAGGGAAGCAAAAAAGTGGCTTTAAGCTATCTTTAAGACTGCTGTAACTTACATCCAGCTACTAATGGCTCTATTTCACAGCTGGGAATAGGAAAGTCTTGTGCACACCTTATTTCCCCTAGAAATGCTCCCTGTGCCAATGGCTGAGAAGATTGGCACATACCAGCCACACTGGCTCAACACCCTCAAGTTTCCCTAACACAAGGGGAATCCTCCACTACTTGGTTAAGCCAGCTTTACAGCTGCTTTGGACCACCAGAACAGCACAAAGCCGCTGTAGAAGGGACAAGAACATGTCCTTTAGCATGAAATTTGAGAGGAAGGTTCTTCTTTTCAGTGAGAGTTTATATCTTTATGACATCTCTTCAGCTGGGCAGACAGCAATGAAAACAAACATCAAGAAAAAATGTGAAAATAATAATTACAAAATGGAAGCAAATTTAAAACCCTCCCATCAAAATAAAGAATAAACAAAAGTATCAACAAAGCAACAAAATTAAACAAAACTATTTGTCTGCTTTTTATTTACATCCCAAACTAAATCATTTTGTGTTGTCTGATCTGTTGTCTCACTTCTCCCTAAGAGAATGTTTTGATCGCCCCCGAATTTGCTTCCAAGGACTATGTATATGGATCATTCAGACAACAAAGCAGTATCACATCTCAGTGTGAATCACATGAGTGTTAAAATACATTTAGCAAATGGATAAAGAAAACAGGAAGAGTTCTTCAGTGGTCAGTCAGAAAGATCAAATCCAAGGCATAGTTTAGTACTGTAGGTTGCTATGAAGTAGTTTGTATTTAACAAAGATATTATGATAATGAATTAATAAAGGATGGTTAAGCAAAATCCTTTTGTATTTAAATAAGTAGGAACACATCTCAGATCCATGACTGAACAGGAATCCTGAAAAGAGCAAGTTAACTGAAGACAAGAAGAGAATAAGCAAACAGACACATGTAGAAGGGATAGGGCTGGACGTCCTCCCTGCTATGCTAATCAGTAAAGATACTCTTGCCATGTTCTGTTCTACTCTCCTGCACTATCATTCAGTTTTATTTGGAAGTAACAGAAGAGTTGAAAAATAAAAGTTTGACCACTTACACTAGTATCTGACCTTATGTGCAAGGAATTTCCAGATCTTAATAGGACACAGCGTAGCATCTAACATGAGCACCGGCTAGGGGAACATTTTGCAGCCATTAGACAATGTTATAATACACTATATTAGATGCTCACTCTAAACTCTGCTGCTGGGATTACCAAATCATTGTGCTTCTTTACATCATGATAATAAACCATTAAAATATGGTCTTTCTAGAGGATAAATAGGAAAACATTGGGCCATATTACCTCCTCCCATGTAAAAACCATAGGAGGTGATTGGAGGTGAAGGGTGAGAACTGTGTGAGAGTCCCAGGATATTCCTTGTGTGTGATGGCGAATGAGGGATATAAAAGATTTTGCTTCCCCACAGAACGAGGGGATGGATTTTACTCGGAACCAGCTTGTCTTAAGGATCTACTGGAGAAACAGGATCATTCATGTGGCGGTCCCATAACCGCACCACCTCTGAGTCATGCCTACTTAGCTGCATGGAAAGGATAAGATCTGAGTGTACAGATTCCTCTTAGTGCATAGGTCTCAGGGGCTGATGTGGTGCATTGGTATGAGGTAAGAAAGAATCTAAATGGTTGTGAATGAGGGCGTTTGGCTTCACACCTCAGCACACTCCTCTGAGAGTGTTCAGGAGCACTGAAGGCCCCTTACAGTCTGTTATTGCTTATACCCTTACTATAAAATAAAAGGCACTAGAGAAATCTAGCCATCTATTAGGTTCCCATCCCAGCTGTAGGCAGAATACTACAGCAGAGATGGGAGCCTTCACCGAGTAGAAGGTAGTTTTCTTTCTCGGGGGTCAGTCTCAGCGATAAGTCCTGCATCCTCATTAGGAACTTTAAATGCTTCATTTATGACTACTGAGACTTCCTCCTCAAAGAGAGGGAATTCACAGAGAATTAGACAGAAGAACCTGGGTACATTAAAAATGAATAAAAAAATCCAAGATGCTGGCCCAGGAGTGAGTCCCCATGGATTTGTTAGAAGATTTACACTCTTCTTTTACATTTTAATGCTGCAAAGCTTATTGGAGCAAACATGTATAACTAACAAATATTCTAACATAGCTGAAAGTAGTGTGGTTCTTCATAAGAGTTTCACAGTGCACTGACAAATGAGATTAAGTTATACACACTATATAGATATATACATTGGTGCAGTGTGTGTGTGTGTGTGTGTGTGTGTATGAAATGTTAATTAAGAAAATTTCAATGAAAGATTTAACAATTAGTTTTTGAATAATCTCAAGAAATAGAATATTGCAGAAGATGGTCAAGTCAAAAAGTGACTCCCTAGACATTTGATTTTAACACACTACAGTACTTATATTTATTGGTCAAACCAATACCAAAAGACTATAAGATTTAACTAAAAAGCAAAGCTTCAGGGGAAGGGCTGATTTAGTAAATAATAATAAAATCAGACTTTAAGGTGAAATAGTGTACCAAGCCTTTTCCTAGGGTTTAGGGCTAGCTGCGGACCACCTTATTCTTCACAAAATTCAATCACAGGTGAAATATAGTAGTTCCTCCTGCGTGCACATCCCTATTTGGTAGCAGAACTATAGATTTTAATAGGAAATCTAGCTGAATCTTTACTTTCACTGACCATGGCTTAGAAGAATCCCTTCAAGTTTCTTTCTTACATGAGGGTTAAACAAACAAATGGATGGAACAAATTTCACAGTAAACACAATAACCACGTCAGGTGTTATAGCACCTTTTACCTGACAGGTCAAAACTGTAAGACATGCTAAGTGGCCGCATTGCTGAAAAAGGAAACAAAAACAACAAAAGAAAACAATTCAGCTGTTAAGAAAAGATTAGGTCCACTTAAGACATTTTGGATTCTGACGCCCAGGCTAATATAAATCTAAAATGTGTCTAAAACATGTTTTTCTTTATTGTGGTAGCACTGGAAGTGTAAACACTATAATAGCATCACTGGCACTTGCAAATACAGTATGTGTAAAAAGGTTTCAGAGTAGCAGCCGTGTTAGTCTGTATTCGCAAAAAGAAAAGGAGTACTTGTGGCACCTTAGAGACTAACCAATTTATTTGAGCATGAGCTTTCGTGAGCTACAGCTAACTTCATCGGATGCATACCGTGGAAACTGCAGCAGACTTTATATACACACAGAGACCATGAAACAATACCTCCTCCCACCCCACTGTCCTGCTGGTAATAGCTTATCTAAAGTGATCATCAAGTTGGGCCATTTCCAGCACAAATCCAGGTTTTCTCACCCTCCACCCCCCCACACACAAACTCACTCTCCTGCTGGTAATAGCCCATCCAAAGTGACAACTCTCTACACAATGTGCATGGTAATCAAGGTGGGCCATGTCCAGCACAAATCCAGGCTTTCTCACTCCCCCCCCCTTTTTTCTAGGGACACACACACACACAAACTCACTCTCCTGCTGGCAATAGCTCATCCAAACTGACCACTCTCCAAGTTTAAATCCAAGTTTAACCAGAACGTCTGGGGGGGGGGAGGGGTAGGAAAAAACAAGGGGAAATAGGCTACCTTGCATAATGACTTAGCCACTCCCAGTCTCTATTTAAGCCTAAATTAATAGTATCCAATTTGCAAATTAATTCCAGTTCAGCAATTTCTCGCTGGAGTCTGGATTTGAAGTTTTTTTGTTGTAAGATAGCGACCTTCATGTCTGTGATTGCGTGACCAGAGAGATTGAAGTGTTCTCCGACTGGTTTATGAATGTTATAATTCTTGACATCTGATTTGTGTCCATTTATTCTTTTACGTAGAGACTGTCCAGTTTGACCAATGTAAATGGCAGAGGGGCATTGCTGGCACATGATGGCATATATCACATTGGTGGATGTGCAGGTGAACGAGCCTCTGATAGTGTGGCTGATGTTATTAGGCCCTGTGATGGTGTCCCCTGAATAGATATGTGGGCACAGTTGGCAACGGGCTTTGTTGCAAGGATAAGTTCCTGGGTTAGTGGTTCTGTTGTGTGGTATGTGGTTGTTGGTGAGTATTTGCTTCAGGTTGCGGGGCTATCTGTAGGCAAGGACTGGCCTGTCTCCCAAGACTTGTGAGAGTGTTGGGTCATCCTTTAGGATAGGTTGTAGATCCTTAATAATGCATTGGAGGGGTTTTAGTTGGGGGCTGAAGGTGACCGCTAGTGGCGTTCTGTTATTTTCTTTGTTAGGCCTGTCCTCTAGTAGGTAACTTCTGGGAACTCTTCTGGCTCTATCAATCTGTTTCTTTACTTCCGCAGGTGGGTATTGTAGTTGTAAGAAAGCTTGACAGAGATCTTGTAGGTGTTTGTCTCTGTCTGAGGGGTTGGAGCAAATGCTGTTGTATCGCAGAGCTTGGCTGTAGACGATGGATCGTGTGGTGTGGTCAGGGTGAAAGCTGGAGGCATGTAGGTAGGAATAGCGGTCGGTAGGTTTCCGGTATAGGGTGGTGTTTATGTGACCATTGTTTATTAGCACTGTAGTGTCCAGGAAGTGGATCTCTTGTGTGGACTGGACCAGGCTGAGGTTGATGGTGGGATGGAAGTTGTTGAAATCATGGTGGAATTCCTCAAGGGCTTCTTTTCCATGGGTCCAGATGATGAAGATGTCATCAATATAGCGCAAGTAGAGTAGGGGCTTTATGGGACGAGAGCTGAGGAAGCGGTGTTCTAAATCAGCCATAAAAATGTTGGCATACTGTGGGGCCATGCGGGTACCCATAGCAGTGCCGCTGATCTGAAGGTATACATTGTCCCCAAATGTAAAATAGTTATGGGTAAGGACAAAGTCACAAAGTTCAGCCACCAGGTTAGCCGTGACATTATCGGGGATAGTGTTCCTGACGGCTTGTAGTCCATCTCTGTGTGGAATGTTGGTGTAGAGGGCCACTATGGATGTAGAAGCCATTATTAAGGATCTACAACCTATATCACCAACAACCACATACCACACAACAGAACCACTAACCCAGGAACTTATCCTTGCAACAAAGCCCGTTGCCAACTGTGCCCACATATCTATTCAGGGGACACCATCACAGGGCCTAATAACATCAGCCACACTATCAGAGGCTCGTTCACCTGCACATCCACCAATGTGATATATGCCATCATGTGCCAGCAATGCCCCTCTGCCATTTACATTGGTCAAACTGGACAGTCTCTACGTAAAAGAATAAATGGACACAAATCAGATGTCAAGAATTATAACATTCATAAACCAGTCGGAGAACACTTCAATTTCTCTGGTCACGCAATCACAGACATGAAGGTCGCTATCTTACAACAAAAAAACTTCAAATCCAGACTCCAGCGAGAAACTGCTGAACTGGAATTAATTTGCAAATTGGATACAATTACTTTAGGCTTAAATAGAGACTGGGAGTGGCTAAGTCATTATGCAAGGTAGCCTATTTCCCCTTGTTTTTTCCTACTTCCCCCCCCCCCCCAGACGTTCTGGTTAAACTTGGATTTAAACTTGGAGAGTGGTCAGTTTGGATGAGCTATTGCCAGCAGGAGAGTGAGTTTGTGTGTGTGTGTGTGTGTGTGTGTGTGTTGTGTGTGTGTCCCCGGGAAAAAAGGGGGGGGGGTGAGAAAGCCTGGATTTGTACTGGACATGGCCCACCTTGATTACCATGCACATTGGAGGGAGAGTGGTCACTTTGGATGAGCTATTACCAGCAGGAGAGTGAGTTTGTGTGTGGGGGGGTGGAGGGTGAGAAAACCTGGATTTGTGCTGGAAATGGCCCAACTTGATGATCACTTTAGATAAGCTATTACCAGCAGGACAGTGGGGTGGGAGGAGGTATTGTTTCATGGTCTCTGTGTGTATATAAAGTCTGCTGCAGTTTCCACGGTATGCATCCGATGAAGTTAGCTGTAGCTCACGAAAGCTCATGCTCAAATAAATTGGTTAGTCTCTAAGGTGCCACAAGTACTCCTTTTCTTTATGTGTAAAAAGATATTTTAAAAGATAGAGCTGCAGAACACTGGTTTTGGAATACAATAAAACCAGATGCCAACACAAGAGATAAGCATCTTGAAAAACAGAAAGTAAGGTTTTCACTTAAAGTAACATTTATGAAAGAAAAACCTGTAGCTGAAAGAGAAAAAAATTAAAAAGTACAGAACCACATTTCACAAAAATTTCAGTGAACCGAAACAAAGATTCTTATATTTTTGGAAGCTTAATCTCCCATGATCATAACTAATTAAGAGAGAGATTAAAAAAAATCAACGTTTGGCATCTTTATGGAAAAAACACCCCCAAAAATCTGACAGTGTGTGTAATGCTGAATTCTGCGCCTGGTTCAAAGTTGCCCCCTGTTCTGGTTTGCCTCAGTCTTCAAAATGGATCTAGTATCCTGCGGTCTCCTTTTCAGCCCTCCAAACAGTTTGTTCCCATTTGTAGGACAATAAGCAATCAAAGGTTAACGGGGTCTGGACAGTTTATTTAACTAACATCCATGTCCTATATATATATATATTCTCAGCTCGGTCAATGCACCTCACTTCTGACATACAGCGCCTGGACCAATCCAGAACATAAACTGCCAACTGTATTAAAATTGGTCCACATTTTCAAAAATATAAAACGTCTAGTAGGGATTAGCATAATGTCAGATTCGTTCTTACTTGAGACTACTTTAGCAGGTCATATCTGCACCTATTTGCCTGAATGCTGATTTGCCAGCCTGTAAAATGTGCACGCTTGTATGAATGCTCCAGCAGCCACACATCCCCTTAAGCTATGTGTTTAAAAAAGGTTGCATAGGGATAAGCCTTGGAAATGGGAATCAATTAAGGTTATGTATAGTAGGTGTCTGACCCAGAGCCAAACCTGGGAGTGGAGGTACTTTTCCTTTAGAGCAAGAATGGACAATATAAGCCAGAGGCAACAGCAAATGCAAAAAGAATGGCTAAATATATTAAAATCTCTGTCCACTTAAATTACAGACAGGTTTTAAATTATTTTTTCCAATGGCACACCCCTCACTACTAACCTAAAGCAAATGAAATACAGAAGGGAAGAACTGGTTTTCTCCAAAGCTCCATTAGCTCAACTTTTTCATACCAGGAAATAAACCCTTTCAACTACAGGAGATACACTTTCTATGTTTCTCTTTTTCTTCCATTTTATTCAGACCTCTTATGAGCCTATATAAACCGCTCATTTCTATCAGACACTTATTCATACTGGTCACTCCTATGTTGCAAAATTCTCTGTGTGTAATTGGTTATGCACAATATGATTACCAAGATAAATTACCATATTCCAAACAAGGTTTCTTTATGCTTTTGATAACAGAAAAACTCCAGCACACATATAATATACTCTATATTTTCATTGATACACTCCAAAACTTCATTTATTTTCACTGTTGCCAACTATGCCTGTCCAGATGGTTTAAATGCATTATCCACAATCATCTCCACATCTTTCTCCCATCTGTGTTCTATGTTGGGCTTCCATTTAGATTTAAAATCCTTAAGCCTTATTACCTTACATTTTCACTACACTAAATTACATACAATACTTATCTATCTGTAAGTCAGGACTATTTATAGCTTTCTGAATGCGGCTGCTCTTTTCCCATCCCCAAATCTATCAAAAAGATATAAATTTTGCTCTGAAGAAAATTTTGATTTTTCACACAACAAATCTATTGTGTCAGTTTCAATATGAAAAAAGAAAAAGCTAATACTTCTAACACAAGAAGCAATACCTTTGAATGAGTCACAAAATATTTTTTCTTTCTTCATGCTAATGACAATTAAGTGTTTACACAGGTGCTGAGAGAAAAAACTTGTTAGTCTACTGTAGTCTGTACAATAAACTCTCTTGAATTCTCCATTCATAGCTAAGCATGCTCTAATATTCCATTTTTCGAACCATATAACTGAGTGGTGAAAAATCTGACCGGACTGAAAGAGGACTACCACAAGACTTAGTCCTGCCTTCAGTGCAGGGGACTGAACCTGAAGACCTTTCATGGTCCCTTCCAGTCCTACGATTCTATGATTCTAAGACAGAGTTCCCAAATGGAGAACATATCGTATATTAAAGCTGAATTTTTATATTCTTAAGTAAAGAAACTGAATCCACTTGAGATTCTGCTGAGCTTCCAGTCTTTCATATAAGAAAGGGTCTGAGAGGTAAAAAGAAACCAAACCATAAAGCAACCATAAATCAACTCCACAGCAGGCTCCAGATGGTCCACAAAACAGTGTTCAGAACATCCTGCTGCTAAAAAGCATCCAAGTGTCACACAAACACCCCCCAAAATTGGCTGAAACAAGAGTGATAACAATTTCCCCTGACAGACGATGAATAAATACAACCCATTTGAGTTTGGACCACTGCCTTTAAACAAATGTGCTAGGCGTAGATATCCTGCCAAACAGAACAACAGAAAATACAGGTGTATGTTGTTTTTTTGCCACTTTAGCCACAACATGTCACTCTTTCTCTGCATAAATCCAGCTAACAAAGCTTCTCTGTGACAGTTAAATACTTTACTCTTAAAGAAGGAAAATGGAAGTAACAGTTTAGAGTATTTGCAACATCTTTAGTGGTCACACTTTGCTTTAGTTCAATGGTTCTGAGGCACAAAGTGGCGACTTGTGAAAAATGTCATACTTATAGAATTTTATAATAGGCAACTGATTGTTTAATGTACACTGCAGAAAAACTGCTTTGCAATATAGATCTGAATCAGTCGCTTACTGAAATTCATATGAACGCTTACTGCGGCTCCATAACTTTATACAGTGAAGCAAAGATTTACATTCAAAATGACTGCAATGCTCTCAGCTCAAAAGTTCAGGGAAACTTAAACACAGATAATCAATAAAGAACTATGAGCTTAATGAAGCTGAGAGCAGGAAACAAGAATAAAATGAATTTAAAAAACATCTGTGTGTAACACATTATATTGCATATTAGGGAAACAAACTTCCATTCCCATCCATGAGATGATCTAATGTAACTCCCACTGCTCAATAATCAACATTTTGTCATTTAAAATCCCCTAATTATGACATCAGAAACCTGATGCAATCAGTCAAAATCACACATCTTTTATTTTTAAAACAAGAAAATAATCATTTCACGGTACTAAATTCTTCTGTTCCTAAAGTTACCAGAAAGGATGCAGAGCCTGCAGGGTCGACCCTCTTTTCAACGGGTACGAGTTATTTTATTCTCCATTTTAATTGAGCTCAGTGCAGACATTGCCAAGATCCTTATATGGAGCACTTTTGTGCAAGTACTGCTCCTCAAAACTAGTATAAGCAAAAGCAAGTACTCACCTAGCCTGCTACGCCTGATCTCATCTGGTGAGACAGGGCGCAGCTTTCTTTCTGCCTTGATTTCCTCCAGTATCCTTTCATGGAGGCTGCGTGGCCGTGGTGGGGTTGGTTTCAGTTTTCTCGCAGAGGCCTTGGGTATAAGAAGAATGAATGTTCATTCTAAGCATTGTTCCTGGAATGTGATTTCACAAGGATTCTTTCAAATAGCAAATTATTGTGAAGTGATTTTACTTTCATTCACTTATAAACACGGTTGAGTACGTTCCTCACAAAGATTTTTTAACAAGAACATTGGAAGTATAATTTTATAAGCAGATAAGATCAACACAGATTCACAAAGATACTGGATAACTGCTAAGGGTCAGTGTTAAGGTTTCACGATTTTACAATGATCTTCCTAAACAGACCAGAAAAGTTAAACAGCTCTTGTGTGAAACACATAAGAATAAATGCACAGCACACAAACAAGAGATATAATTTGTACTACTACACTGTTTTAAAACAAAACACTAAAACACAAACACATTGAAAAAAGCCAGCCTTTCACTGTGAAGAAACATATTGGATTGCATACAGGATTTAATGGGGGTCGTGATCGGATGAAATCCAGGATTTTTTCATGAGCACTCTTTTTTAATCGAGGTGGAATATCCCCATTGACCTGAAAGGAGGAAAATGAAATTAATATTTTTATACTTTATATTCACATTTTTGCAGTGTAATGAGATCATAATATACCGAGGAAACCTGTAGAATTTCAAACTTACATTAAATAGATCCTAAAACTGTCATCAGACTCAAAGAGAGGAATAATCTGTATGCAATACATAGACAAGAAATGCTGCAGATAAGAGCATTTTGGTTTTACAAATGGAAAATGAGTGCGGATGTACAGATGTAGAATAAGTGCAATTGCAGTAATGTTAATTAATAAAATTTAGGATTAATCGTTGATGCAATCAGACATCAGTGCTTCCAGTATGTTTGTGGGAGAAGACTGGGTTTGTGACTAGGGAAATTTGTCTATACCTCTCTTTGGAGGACAGTGTGTCAACAGGCCTCAAATGAAGAAGTATTAGAGCCACATCTAGGAAAGCAACTCGTGAGGCTGGCAAAACCATTAACTCTTATACTGCCTCTAACATTCTTCTTTCAGGGAAGGCTACTAAGAAGGTCATAATGAGGCAACTTTGGCACTATCGAGGGTCCTGAGATTTCCTTGACTTCTTTTCAGCCTTGTTTCAGACCTGAGTACAAGCACACACACTGCTAGTCCCACTGACTATCTGCTTCTGGCAATGGAAAAAGCCAACTGTCCATTCTCATTCTTTCAGATCTAGCAGCTGCTATCAACCACAACGCCTATGTCAGCACACCTTACCAGGAGTAAGATGGTGCTAGTATGGAGTGGCTGCATTCTGAATTTCCTGGCCTTAGGTCACCTTACAAAGTTTATCAATTTACTCATACTTTTAAAATATTTTGAAGTATAAATGAAGCTTGGAAGTGAACTAAAGAGTTTGATAACATATCTAAAATTAATACTTAGTAAAACTAAGCCAGCAAAAAGTATATCCTGCAAAAGGAAGAGGAAAAAAAAAGAAATGTCTCTTTGTATGGAAGAGCTTTTCTTATCTTCAGAGCTACAACATCATTTCTTTTTCAGAGGTCTCAATTTGGAGATAAGGAGAAACGTACACTAGAGTATTTCTCTGCAATACGTCAGTAATATATTGTAGATACAGGTTATATAATAAAGCAGCTGCTCTCATGTAAGGTACAACTCATAGAGCGTGCTCCAGCAAAAGATTGCAGCAGTTTGGCAGCTGGGGGGGGAGGGAGGGAGGGACTCAGTGGCCAGTTTGAGGCAAATGAATGCAGCAGTGACCTTTTGCTGACTGCATTCTGTGCCTATTGCATGAAATTCTCTGCTTTACCCATGTCACTGCCATGAATTTTCTAAAAATGAATGAATAAATAAATAAAAGTCCATGATTTTCACAAGGCCTGACTTATTAGTCAGCCAGAACACAGTATTCAGAGAAATGGGTTAAAATAACAGATGGCCTACACGATGCATGTATCATATTGAAACTAAGCTTCTCCCCTTCCTGGGCCAAGAGAGACAGCCAGCCTCTGCAGCAGTCTCTCACTATCTCTTAGTAAGAGACTCATTGCCAGCTGCTGCTGCCTGCTCATCCCCTCCTTTCTTTAAAAATTGATAGGCCGGAGTCATTAACAGTTTAGGGTCCCTTTGTTCCTTGCTCAGGCTTGGAGAAAAAGCCTGATTGCCTGGCTAGAGCCAGGCAGGGGAGCATTTCCCGTAATAGTTCCCCCATCATTCCTTTAAGGATCCTTGGTATTGTCACTGGCGTATTTTTTCCTCTATTGATGTTTCATTTCCTGTTTATTTCCTCCTAATAGCTTCCTTTGATTTAATTCTCTGCAATCAGGCAGAATATCAAGAAGGTAAATGGAGGCGTATATATTATTGATAGAAACACAGAACTCTCCCACATCCTTCATGTTCACCAAAAACATTAAAGAAAACTTTTCAATTAAATGGTTTTTATTGACATTTGATGGGGAGAATATTATTTTTAAAGCAATTATGTTTTCCCCCTTCCTTGTAAAAGAATTGATAGTTTTCACAGGTCTGCATGATTCACTTGATTGGTAATGAGACTTGAAGTCTTCTTCCTCCAGGTCACTGGTTCAAGCATTGTCAAAGTTAGTAGTGATGGAAAGTTGTTAACATTTGACAGCTGTTTGGTGAGCTGGCAATCTCAGTCCAGTCCCAACGGGACAGTTATCAACATCACAATATAAAATAAATAATAAACAACATTGCAGTTCTAGAGGACCTTTGATCTGAGGATCTCAAAGAGCTTTACTCCCTGAATTAACCTTCATACCATCCCTATACAATCAGTAAGTATTTGAATCCCTATTTCACTACTGGGAAAGCTAAAATACCTAATTTGCTCAACTGATTTCCCCAAGGCCACAATGGAAGCGTATGGCAGAGTAACTGATATAGCCTCAGTAGAAATGCCAAGGACTTATGGTCAAAGCTGAGACTCTGCACACTACTGAAAAGCTTTCATTGCCATTGTAAATGCTGTATTTTTTCTGCAGTCAAACTAACTTCTGTTTCCAAAATAGACACTCTTTCACAAGCATTATTTATTAAAAAGTGATTATAAGAACTGGTGGTTATGAATGCCCTTACAGAAATAGAAGTCTTGGCTATGGATTAAATAGATTAGGTCAGATATGCACAGTACAAGCATATCTGTGCCACACAGCCAGGCGCAGAAAAAAAGTGTTAAATATTTGTAATTCTGTTCAGATACCAGACTGGAACCAACCACATACTGATGTTTAATCAAAGTATCTCAAAGCACTGCCAAAAATATCCTATATGTAAAAATCAAAATGAAAGAAAAATGCTTACATTTAAAATTCTGAAGAATTTTGTACAAGAGTACATTAAAACTAGCAACATTACCTATTAGAAAAAATGTGGCCTGAGAGTGCAAGATCTACCAGAAACATAAACCACCACATAGCAAAAGCACAGTGAGATGAAAACACAGTGAAGGTGGCTTCCTACACTTGCTTTCAGCCCACCACTTTCACATTCAATAAACAAATATGATTTGCAGATAAACAGGTTGGCTGCAAATGGCAAGTCTAATCTTGAATGGTTATGATAATAAATATAATTGTGTATTTATAACATGCCTTTGATCCCAAGTGATTGAAAAGCACATTACAAATGACATTCAAAAGAATTGCTTTACTCACCATTGAAATGAAGCTATCTCAACACAGCCACACCAAGCAACACTTTAGAAAAAGCACAGTAGAACAATGTATCTAATTGACAATGCAGTCAATTCAACTGATACTATGTTTTGTATTGTGACAAAGTTCCTCCTCTGCCTTGGCGGGTCCTGCACTTATTGGCAGATTTGCTCGCCTCAGAGATTCACGGCCGCCCTCAGTTTGGCCACTTTTGCTAGGGGCTCAAACCTGCCATTCACTCAGCTAACCTCATCACTGGGCAGCACGGGGAAAAGGAGGAGAACAATCCCCACAGTCTCTGCTGACTCACCTAGTGGGTCGGGGGATAGGCCAGGGACCTTCCCCTCTGGTGGGACCCACAGTCCAGGTCACCTACTCGTCTCAAATAGGGAATTCAGGGGGATGGGAGGAACCTGGGCCCGCCCTCTACTCCGGGTTCCAGCCCAGGGCCCTGTGGATTGCAACTGTTTACAGTGTCTCTTGTAACAGCTGCGTGACAGCTACTTCCCCATGGCCTCCTCCCAACACCTTCTTTACCCTCACTGCAGGATCTTCCTCCTGAAGCCTGATCACGCTTGTACTCCTCAGTCCTCCAGCAGCATGCCTTCTCACTCCCTACTCCTTGCACACCCTCCCCTAACTGATGGGAGGTCCTTTTTAAACCAGGTGCCCTGATGAGTCTGCCTGCCATAATGATTCTAGTATGTTCTTAATTGGCCCCAGGTGTCTTAATTAGCTTGCCTGTCTTAATTGGTTCAAGCAGGTTCTCCATTGCTCTAGTGCAGCCCCTGCTCTGGTCACTCAGGGATCAGAAAACTGTTCATCCAGTGGCCAGTATATTTGTACACCCCACTGGTCTGGGTCTGTCACAGTATGATCTGGAAAATTTCAGTTGAAGTGAAATTGAGCAAACATGGGCTGATCACAGGTGAGCTATGCTACATCATTTCTAAAATAGTTATTCCTGGACTCACATGAAAACATATCCACCATGAGAAATACCAATTGTGAAGCTAAAATGCTATATACAAATACTAAAGTAAAGTACAAGTGCACTGGACAGAGAGCTCTGAAAATTTCATCATCTTCTCCTTGCTACCTGCATTATTAATGCATTATATTCTTTCAGTAAATACAATTAAACCACAAGATTGTATATATAATTTTCTGTGTGCATGTACTATAGGTGACTCAGGCATCGTAAAACTCTGTATTTACACTCCCCTTGTGCATATGCATTATGCTATTATGGGATTGTGACCAAGTGGGACTATTCTTAATGTATCCTCTGAATACAGTTTCCCCTATGCATTTCTTAAGTATCTAGGTGGTGGGATAAGGGTGTATGATCGTTGCAGAGCCCTAGAGGGCAGGTGTGTGTAGGGCTCTGGACACCGAGAATAGCCAACACCCTGTTTCCTGGCAACTGATGTCCTGGCCCTTTCCCCCCTGCAAGATGAGAGCTAAAGGGTTGGAGAACAAAGGAATCAGGTGACCTTCTGGACCGGGAAAGGGACAAATCCCAGAGGAGGAGGGGCTGGAGAGAGTTTCAGTTTGGGGCTGGCTGGGGACGAGGAGTGAAGTGCAGACGTGGTTGTCTGGCTCACTGCTCCCTAAAATGGACCCAGCTCAGGGGTCCTGTTCTCTGTACCTACAAGCTCTGTTTTAGACCATGTTCCTGTCGTCTTATAAACCTGTTTTACTGGCTGGCTGAGAGTCACGTCTGATTGTGAAGTTGGGGTGCAGGACCCTCTGGCTTCCCCAGGACCCCGCCTGGGCGGACTCGCTGTGGGAAGCACACAGAGGTGCAGAGGATGCTGAATGCTCCGAGGTCAGACCCAGGAAGGTGGA